CACAAGGGTGACGGCAACAAGGGAGGCAACTCCTGGTCGAACTCGTGGTCGTGGGGTGACAAGAACCACGGCGGAAACAAGGACGGCGGCAAGGGCGGCAACTCCTCCTCCAACTCCTGGTCGTGGGGCGACAAGAACAAGGGCGGCCACAAGGGTGACGGCAACAAGGGAGGCAACTCCTGGTCGAACTCGTGGTCGTGGGGTGACAAGAACCACGGCGGAAACAAGGACGGCGGCAAGGGCGGCAACTCTTGGTCGAACTCCTGGTCGTGGGGCGACAAGAAGGACGACAAGAAGCACTAAGTGCCTCGACTCCTCTTGCGATCCGGTGATCCTCTGATCTCCCTCGCTCTTAACACATAATCCACACCCAAATTCCGATCCATTGCCACTAGTTGATCTAGCAGACAATGCTCGTTAATAAGTAAAATCTAATAAAACCAGTAACAAGTAAAAGTTGAGAAAGTAAATAGCCATAGCCGTACACAACAGCTATGCAGTGTGAAGTGTAAACAATTATCGTGTTGCAGCTTGTTCTCCCATCGCTCTAACTCCTGCCTTGCTCGTCACTGGGCATGCGAGGTATTCCTATCCCAGCGCCGACTGCCACCTGCCGTCGTCTAAGCAACACAACTTCATCCCGCCCAGCTTCAGCCTCTTATCTTACTTGTGCAACCACGGTGGTCATGACAGTGTTCGATCCAGCACTGTGCCTTCCGTCTTTCAATTCGAAGCGCCAAGACCTCAGAAGTGCGCTATCTCGGCCCTCGGTGTATTATATCCGCAGATTTCCCACTGCTTTCGTTCTTCTCCGCCCAGCAAAGCTCAATACAAAGTACAATGCTTACCAGACGCCTGCTCGAGAGAGGACCATGGAAGAGCTCGACGTGTGCATAAGTTGCACCGTGACCATCAGGGATTATGTGAAGTCAGAACAGTTCCAACCAACGAGACATGATGACCGGGAAAAGCATCGGTGATCACCGGTTTGATCCCGTTGGACGGCCCGGCGCCGTTCGCGCCGCACAGAACTCCCGGCTTATTCATGGATGCTCGGATCGATCGAGTCGAGAAAAGTCAAGTCAGACCCTCCGAGTCGTTATCTTTCCCATTGACATTCCACCATCGTCATCGCGTCAGCTGCTTGTCGTGCATAGCTCAGTGACTTGAGGCCCTCGACAGCACAGAAGGCCTGCCGTGACGACCCCACGCTTCCCCGCATTGCTTTGCTTTCCCTCCACGATCGAACGAAAGACACGAACGGCACCATGACAACAGACACGCTCAACTCCGCGGTCCCGCCCCAACCGGCCACGACGCCGGGCACGCCCTCCTCCTCCTCCTCGTCAAACATCAAGATCCGTCCCCGGCTCGATTCCGACCTGGACGAGGCCGTGCAGCTCTGCGAGCTTCAGCAGCCCGGCTCAGAGTACCCCTGGTGCTGGCCTCCGCCAATGCCGCCAGCCGACTTCGTGAAGCGCGGCTCAGAGCTGTTTTCGCTCGTTGCCTTCTCCGGATCCAAGATGGTGGGACATGTCGCTGTGCAGCGCATCGCGCGCGACGACGAGGGCATCACGTGGCTCGAGGGGCTCGACATCCCCGTCGGAGAAGAGGACCGTATCCGCAGCGTCTCTGTGCTGTTCCAGGATCCTGGACTTATGGGCTCCGGTCTTGGAGGACGGTTACTCGACTCGGCAGTGCAGCTCATTCGCATGACTGGAGCTATTCCTGTGTTAGACGTGCTCGGCAAGCGCAAGGCGCATGGCGTGTACGTCGCGCGGGGCTTCCAGAGCCTCGGGTACGGAGACCCGGACTGGCTGAAGGGATGTCACATCAAGGAGCGGGTCGAGTTCTTCCACCTCCCCGAGGATACTGGACGTACTACCCTTGACATTACGGCGGGACGAGTGGGCGGGAAGGAGAAGACGATCTTTGGCGACATCTACGTGCCCGTCCAGGCTGGGCTGGAGGGCGAACTACCCCGTCCCACGATGAGCGAGGGAGAGACGGACCTCGTTGCGTGCCGAGTGCTCGCCGAGGAGGGACCGGAGCGGGAACGAAGGGGAAAGAAGGCGTGGCTTGCGTCCAGCGGCGATGGAAGCTTGCAGCTGTACGTCGAGAAGGGCGCCGTGCAGGAGGGCCAGAGGATTGCGCTCGGCGTGCCGTCCCGTGCGGTTGCTGTCAAGCAGTGAGCAGTAGTCATATAATCAAAACACTCATGCATATGAGTTCTAGAGCAGGTTGAGCAGCAGCGTTGCCCCGGGCCAGTGAGCCAGCGGGAGCGGGCCCCCACGATTGTGCCCCTCGACGCGACACCAATCCACATGCGCCACCTGGATCTTTCTCACATCTTCACACTTCCTCACTCGCTCGCCATCTCTTCCCTTTCCACCTATCCTCCCTGCTCTTCTGACCCCACCCATCCATTAACAGCACCTCTGCGCATCCCTCGCACCCTCGCGCAAGCCACAGCCTCGCCGCGCGCCTCACTTTCGTCCAAAAACAGGACGTTCTCGTGGTGTAGTGGTTATCATACTCTCTTAGGGTGATCTAACATCTTGAGCTTTGCCTCCAACGGTCTCTGGTTCGCCAGAGATCGAGCTTGGGAGTGGCCCCGGGTTCAAATCCCGGCGAGGACCTTTTTGTGCAGTTCTCGTGCATCGGAGGGGTCTGGCGGTATCGATATCGTTGGGCAGAGATTGCGACGAATGATGAGTGACAGTGGGGAGGTGGGTGGAGTGCCACTTTGACTGCGGACGAGATTCGGTTCTCGCAACTGGTTGTCAACACTTCGAGTGGCAACGGGTGTGTGTGTAGGCCCCGTGCACGCGAGTGTGAGCGTTGCATTGCAGCAAGAGTCCTAGGATACGGTTACATTTGAAGGTTTCAAGTTATAGTCTAAGTACACACAAGTCCGAGTTGAGTCAAGACAACAGTCCGGCTTCGTTGAGAAGCCCCCACTCTATTCCCTCACTTTCCATTCGTGATCTTCCTGAGACCAAGAATATCCTCCATCTTCCTCAATCCGACATCGAGGTTCTCCCTCGCGACGGAGAAGGTGATGCGGTACCATCCCGGCACGGGGTTGTGGTATCCGCTTCCAGGGGCGACGTAGACGCCTCCGTCAAGCAGCTTCTGGAAGATGCGCTTCTCCTCGTCCGCCGTCTCGATGCCGAGGATAGGGCCGAGGTTGACCCAGGCAAAGTTGCCCGCGTTGGAGGGATAAACCTCGATGCCGCGTGACTCAAAGAAGTCGCGGGTGTGCGCGGCCGCCTCGGCGAGACGGGCGCGGTTCGTGGCGAGGAACTTGTTCAGCGTCGGCCGGTCCTCGAGCAGCGTGCTCCAGATGACGTCGGCGGGGGAGGAGATCTTCATGAGCATGCTCGTGTTCGCCATGGCGCGGAGGAGGAGCGGGTTGTGCGGGCTGATGAGGGCGCCGACGCGGAGCCCGTTTGCGCAAAAGTCCTTGCTCATGCCGTACACGACGTGCAGGCGCGCCTTGTCGAAGGCGATGCCCAGCTCCTTCTCTGGATCAATGCTCAGCATCGACGTGAAGGGCACGTTGTCGGACTGCGGCGAGTCGTACACGCTCATGGCGTAGATCTCGTCGCTGACCAGGTGCAGGTCCCGCTCCTCGCAGAACTTGGCGTAGGCCAGCAGCGTCTCGCGCGGATACGTGCGGCCGATGGGGTTGTGCGGGTTGCACACGATGACGGCGCGGACGCGGTGTCCCTGCGCCGCGAGCTCGTCCATCTTCCTCTCAAAGTCTACTCGATGGACTCGGGCGAGAAACCCTCGCAGGGCGGGCAGACGGGGACGAGGTTGACGCGCGCACGGCCGATGAGGTCGCGGTCGAAACCGGTGTAGTACGGGCCGATCAGAAGAACCGAGTCGCCCTCGTCCATCAGCGTGTAGAAGAGCTGGTCGAGCACCGCGCTGCATCCGACGCCGGTAATGAGAGAGTCGGACGTGAGCGGCTCTGCGGGGTGGAAGTAGCTGGGCGTCAGCGAGCTCGTCGGACCATTTCCGAGCCCTACTTACTCATTCAGGAACGATGAGAGGGCGCGGTTGATGCGGCGGGAGCCCCAGAGTGAGTCACCATAGCTCAGGTCGCTGGTGAGGAAGTTCTTCGCGAACGCCGTCTTGAAGTACTCAAGACACTCGTCCTGCAGGAGGAAGTTCTCGGCGACACCGCTGTTCTGTCAGCTACTTGCATCGACTGTGTAGCCTGAGGGTAACTCACAGAGACACGATACCCTTCGGGTTCGACTTGCAGTGGTACTCTGGCCGTCAGCTGCACACTCGACGTGCTCGATGTGGAGGTTCGCCAGGGCCGGCTGAATCGCGGGATTGTGATTTCGGGCTGATCCGACGCCACCACCGCGGAGGCATAGGTAGTCACCGACCTGCCCGCGGCTGCGCAGCAAGCTCCGAGATCCGCCCGGCATCGACGCTTGGCGCCCGTGCCACCCTTCCTTGCTTTGCAATTGTATCGTACTCACGGTCCTTGAACAGACACGAGAAGCGCTCGATGAGTGGTCCTGCGTCGGGACCTCCAGTCGCGCGGTCGCTGAGCTTGGGGCCATGGTAGATCTTGCGCTGCTCGTCGCGCGTGCCGAGGGGCGAGGCGACGGGCTTGGGCGGGGTTGGGAAGCGCGACTTGCTGCTGTTCAGAGACAGGTGGTTGAAGCACCCGATGAGCGTGTTGCACCCCGAGGGGCCGGCGGGGAGCTGGGAAATACCGATCGGAACCTGCATGGAGTACGGGACCGAGTCCGAGTCGTGCGACGAGGGCGATGGCGAGGTCGTCATTGTGCTTATGTCTTATATAGGTGCGGAGAGAGACGGGGTCGAGGAAGCGGAGCAGCGGGCTCGCAGAGTCACGGGAGACGGGCAGCGGTGCAGCACACGTCACACGTAGCTAGTCGTCACTGAGATTGTCAACTTCGCTCGGTCGGGTGTCACAATCCGTCCCGCGACGCTCGTCACTCGCAATTGCGGCTGCGCAGCACTGCAGCGGTGGTGCGGTGGTGCGGGCTCTTCGCGGGCCGCACAGGTTGCGCACCGCAAAGCTCGCGCAAGTTGCACAGGCCGCGCACAAGTCACGGCGGCCATACAGCGGGCACAGCGAACGACTCACGGGAAGTGCGGTCTCGTCGGCCGTCAGTGGGAGCTCGTGATGACGCGAGATCGGGTGTGTCTGAGACTTTCTGAGGTGTGCTTGGGTTAAGCTTCAGCTGAGCCGAACACAGTAAGAGAGATGGTATGCCGAGATGGCTGAGCTTGTCGGGGGATTAGTGCTTGCTGGTTGCGGCAGTTGAGTGTACTGGTGACGACAGAGCAGTCCAGTTGTCGATAAGAAGAAGGCAAGAGAGGACGGGATGGGCTCGTGTCTAAGCACTTTTAACGTTGACTACGGGCCGAGCACCTGATCTCGCTCGATCGGCAGGATCTAGAGGTATGCCAGCACGGCCACGGTGGCTCTAGCAGTCCACGAGCAGCGATGGGAGACATGGCACAGAGACATTCCGAACTCTAACCTTGCACTTGGAAATCGATATCGGCAACATCGCCGCGGGGTCCCGCGAGATCTCCACGTGCAGCCTGAGCTTGGGGGGCTCTGGGCCTGAGGCCTGCTGGCTTTTGCCGCCGGTATCCGTACCGACGAAGCGATCATTTCCAGCGCCGCGGCGTGTCCGAATCGCGCCCCTTCAAGTAGATCTCGACCGATGCAATATCTCCCATAGTCTCTGCCTCGACGTCGCTGCGACGGGAGCCCGCTGTAAACGTTGCGTGGAGAGATATGTGCTGTCGGTTAGTTGGGCGGGACCGATATCCAATTTGACTGGTTTATTTGGTTCTCCAGCCATATCTCCTAGGGACGACGGTCCCACCCTGAATCGATCGGATCTGCCCGTTGCAGTGTATGGTGCGTACAAGCAGAAGCAAGCGCCGACCTTACGACCGCTCTGGTCCTCAATCTCGTATCGTAAACCCTCAATGCACAGAAAACACATGTCCTCCCTCGGTACCGAGAGAAATTGGACAGAGGGGACTGGAGGGTGGAAATAAGACACTCCGCTGCGGCTATGCACGGCAAGGTGGACGGCTCTGCACACGGATAACCACCCGGCAGTGCGCAACACTCCACCGAGAAGAGAAGAAGGATGGCAGGAGCGATGCATCGACATGACATCAAACGTGAGACAGAGTGCAGAGAAGCTGACGAGGTGTCGTGAACGTAACGGCAGCGTGTCGTTATCACTGCTGTGCGCAGCTTCTCAGCCTGCTCACATGCTGGGCTGTCCCGAACCTTACTTGGCCTTGTAAAAAAGTCCAGAGAGAAACCAGGGTGGTGGTCACCAGAACGGTCAGCCTCGCCCTGCCCTCTTGCGGAAGGGCTGAGCATAACGAGCCATCAGTACGGAATCGGTGTGCGACGTGTGCTGGTGGATATGGGTGATGGGAGCGATTGCATATGCGATCTGTGGGTATCGCCCATTCTTTAGCGCTAAGCGTCGCACTCCACTGATAAGCCTCGCACTGCTCTGGGTGACGGGTGGGTGCTGTGGGTGTCGGTGTCGAGGAGACAATGCTCGAGGATACAGTCCAGTTCACTCCACAATCGTCGATGGTTAGCGAGTTTGTCTGACGTCCAGAGGAGAAGGAGAAGGAGGGACGGACGGTAGATCGGGGGAATTGATAGTTTGGGAGTTTGCCACAACCAGCATCGTCCCGTGGCCAGCCATCGCCATCGCCAGCGTCGTCCTCGCTTCGCCTTCAAGGTGCCGGGAGTTCGTAGCTGATCCGTCAGTCGTCGAGCCGGTGCCTGGTCGGCCGACTACTAGATACAGCCCTCCATCTGTCTCGAACAGGTAGTGACTAGACCTGGGTGCCTCGATCCTGCCTGACTTCCAGGAACTGGCGAAGCATGAAGCTTCACACCTATTCAGAGAATCACCAATAACTATTCCTACAGTGACGCAACCCTCGTATTATAGCATCGCACCTGGTTTCAAGTGCATGTCAGATAGTCATCGGCACTGTGCACCACCGGATACTCCAAGTGGATATCGCGCACGTCAGTTAGCAGAGCAACGGGCAGGCTTGGACTGGGGGCTGACCGCAGCGTACCTCGGGGCGCCCTCACCGCCATCCATGTCCGTTCTTCCGTTTCCGCCAACATCTGCAATGCACTTTGGGATCGCAAATGCTGTTGCATATGCATGCATTTCTGAAGAGTACGCAGCACCTGCAATGGGCATGCATGCATGCATGCACGATTGGCGACGTTGCATGGACGGGGGCGACGGATCCGAGGAGGGGCGCAGACGCACTAACCTGCGCCCCTCGAGCTAACGCTGCGCCCCTCACCTGAAACACGACGCCCTTCGTGGTCTGTGGCACTTCTCATCATTTCTGACTTTCACAACGTCACAACTCGTTCTTTCGGCTGTTCTCGAGCTGCAAAAGATAGGACATGCAGTGAGGAAGCAGAGGAGAAAAAGATATGACCACTGACAGGATCGAACTGCCGACCTCCGCATGAACTGATAATCGTCAGATTATTAGTACGATGCTCTAACCAGCTGAGCTAAGCGGCCTTGAGTGCTGAGAAATAGCAGAGTCTATGAGCACACTGGCGGAGATCTCGCCGTTCTTCGCTGAGGTCCGCGGGGGCTCACTCGTTCATCTGGTGTTCAGCAGGATGGTGTAGACTGGGGATGCCGGACGGCTGAGGTACGAAGGAAGTGTGCTGGATGAGTACGAACGCTGACGTGAGCATTGCTGGGCCCACGACATGTCTCGCTGCCAGACCACGTCGCACTCTGCACCGGAACCGAGAGCTAAGTCTTCTCTTCGGAATGACTACAGTGCGATTGACTACATTGCATAGTTGATTGACAATCACTGTGATTCAGGAGGTGGACGTCTAATATCTTCTCATCTCGGCCAGGTGTTGCTCCACCGCCAGTCATCAGTATCGATAGTCAACTCAGCAAGCTAGAAGGTATAAGAGAGTACACAAATACATACACGAGTTCCAACCCAGGATCCTGACTCAGTCGCTCTCCGGATATGACAGTTTGGCCATGATGGCATCCAGCCCCTTATTCCCTCCAAGCTCCTTCAGCTCCAGCTCGATCTGCTGCTTCAGCTCATCAAGCACCTGGCGCGTGTACGCGAAGCTCTTGGTCGTGTTCTTGAGGTACTCGACCGTGTGTCGTTTCAGGGAGTCGGAGTGGGTCTTCTTCTGGAGGACGTCTGTCTGTCAGCTAAATGTTCAAACCCACTTCCTAGCTGCCAGCGAATGCAGTAGTGCATCACGCCCATAGTCCAGACTCACTCAGGATTTGTCGGTTCGACGTGTCCGCCCGCACGCCGTGGACGATGGGGAAGGAGAACTTGCCCTCGGTCAAGTCCTCGCAGAAGCCCTTGCGGTCCGCATACTGATCACTCTGAAGGTTCATGTAGTCGTCGCGGATCTGGAAGAAGACCGAGATGAGATCAGCGAGGGGGATATAGTCGCTGCGTCTTGTCAGTTACTCCCTCGATTGTGCTAACTTACACTCTCGGCTTCTTCGACTTGGCCATCATGAGCTTGACGGCAATTCGAAAGAGTCCTCCGGTTTCTGAGGTCAGCTTGAATGAGGAAAAGATAGCTGAGGACTATAGGGCAGTCAGACTCACTCCCAAGCACCATCTGGACGTACTCCTCCTCGGTCGGACACGTGAGCGAGTCGCGCCAGAAGAGCTCCATGCCCTGTCCGCGATGCAGGCTGAGCATCTCGTCCGTGACCATGCTTGCGAGATCGTGTCCGCCGTCGTCGGTGCCGTTCTCGTCGCGCAGCTTCAGCAGCTCCTGGAACGCGAGGAAGTAGACATAGTTGGCCGTATTGATCGTCTGCGGTACGCCATAAATCGCGTGCGCTACTGGCACGCCGCGACGTAGCTCCGAGTCGTCCTCCACGTCGTCCATTCTGATGTCAGCTATTGTTCACGTGCTCCAACATAGCTGGACCAATATCGCAGACGATGATCAGGCACGAGGTGTAACAGTTGCGCTGACAGCGGTGACTCACAGCAAGCTCGCGTTGTGCAGCATCGTGACGACCCTTCGTATCGTATCCAGGTCCTTCTCCTCAATCCCCATCCAGAGATTGAAAGCCTCAATCAACCGGCTCCGCACCTCCTTCCCTGGGATGTTGCAGATGTACTCGTACGGTTCTCTCAGCACCTGTCCAAGTTAGCTGCTAGTCTCCGACGCGATAGCTTACCTTCTCCTGCGCCTCGGACCAGCGCTGTGCACTATCCTGCTTCAACTGGGAGCGCAGCTTGGAGTAGTCCATCGTCGCTGCTGGGAAAACAATGGGTGTTGTGTGAGTTGTGAGAGGAACAATGGGTGGCAAGGTGCGTATGTCGCGGTGGACTCTTTGGGCCACGACGGTGGAGGTGTGGAGGTGGAGGCTGTGTCGAGATGGTCACGGGAGCAGGCTACCGTGGGAAGTCTGCCGACGGATACGGAGCTGCTCTCCGTAAAGAGCTGATCAGTGCGATTTGTGATCCCGGTGGTGCTGTGCTATGCATGGTTTTGGCTGCAAGCGTACTTGCGTATGCATGCCATGAGCGTTGAGGCGTACAATCCATGAGCTTGCTCGTCTGAGAGGCAAAGCATTTCGCAGTCAGAGTGATAAGACAAGAGAGAGGAGCTCGTGACGATCGTGACGGACGAGCAGGGAGCAGCTACGACTGAGACACAGTCAGTCACCTCCTCTCACTGCGTCTGTATCAACGACCTCCTCCGCGTTTTCCGTATCGCTTCTGAACTAACTCAGGTCTAATGCGGCATCGTCCCGGGGATCTCCACACGTGCGCTATCGGCGATGAGCGGGCAACCCTAGCACGCAGCGTATCCGACCTCGGAAGCATCTCTCTTCCTCGCTTCAGCGCTTCCCTCAAAGCCAACTTCCAGGACCGTGATCCCGTGAAAGCTCGGTAATGGGTCGGATAAATGCCCCCCCGATCGACACTCGATTACGATTAACTCGTGCTTTGCGCCTACGTTGGCAGTCTACAGCCACATCGGCGCGGCATCGGCACGGGTGCGCCGTGCGTCTGATGGGCTTGGCAAACTCGGACGATGCCGAATCATCCTGTATTCGCCTGGGTTTTGACGAGAGCTGCGAGCTTCGCGAGCTCCGTAGCCTAGCCCTGGCCTGCGCAGTTTGCTTGCATGCATGACAGGCATGAAGGGGCCGTACATTCGGCCCGCTGAAAATCGCTCACAGAGCACAGATGGTGGGTCGTCGGACCGAGGCCTCCGCTCCAGTCAGCAATCCTAATGAATGAGCGGACCTGGCCTACGTCGGCGCGCATAACTTTTTGGCTGGTAGGATGTCTCGGCCCATGGTTGTTTCGCTCATCTGCGTCAATATGGCGCCAAGCCTTTGCATTTGGAAGTCATTTGTGACTGTTGGAAAAACCAGACGGCATTCTCCGCATCCTTCTCCTTTTCCATGACTGTGATCTGTGGTGGCGTCCATGTCTGCAGGATTGCAGGATGCACGGTGATTTGCCCGAATGCTGAATGCTGGTGATTGCCAGCCGAGCACGGAATTCGGCTTAGCCCGACCTGTTCTTGTTGGGTGCGCCGTCATTGTGCGCGCCCGCATTCTGGCGCATTCATTCTGGCGCATTGTTGCGCTCCACGCCGCACCTTGCAGGGATCGCAGGGATCGGTGTCGGCCGTCCCCGACGAAAGATTGTGCATGTGACACCATGTCAACAATGGCCAGAGAACAAAAATGGCAGCAGTAGTTGGAGCATGGGAGTGCGTCTGCCATTGCTGTGATGCAATCGACACTCCGGTCCGGACCACTGCACTACTCATGTGACCACCATTCCGGCAACTCAGAGCACGGGGGAGGACACGGGATTTCCACTGCTGTTGAGGAAAGACGCATATACGAGAGGTGGGAAGTGGGAAGACGGAATTCAGCCCAATGCCGATTCGCTCGTGTGCGTCACTGCACGAGGCCCAGATCTCTTCGAATCGAGCGCATTGACAGTCCTCATTTTGGGTGCTATCAATATACATGATTAGGTACAATGGGGCTAGGGAGACGAGAGAAACGAAAGAAAGAAGAAAAAGCCGCGGCTGCTTCCCCTCTTTGGGCTCCAACAAAGGCTGGAACATGCGGCGCCATGTTCCGCTCGAGAGGCAAAAGAAAAAGAGGTATACCCAAATGGCCCAAATGGCGAATGGCGGGAATGTGAGCTAGACCGAGATACGAATGGAAAAACTCGCACGGCAGTCGAGTGCCGGCTCCAGCACGGCGGTACGCAAAACCGCAAAACGTATCGGAGCTGGCCGTCATGCCGCATCGGGGTGGGATCAGGTGGCAGTGTTGACCTTGGTGTCCGCCGTCTGGGTCTCCGCGGGCTCCGCAGCCTTCTCTCCGGGTCCGCCGTTCTGCACTGCCGTCGCCGCTGTGGCCGCCGCTGGCGTCTCGCTCTTGACGACAGCGGGCTTCTCGTCCTTTGCCTCAGCGACGGGGCTCGTGACGCGCGAAGCGGCGCGCGAGCTGTTCGCAGAAGCTGCAGAAGCAGCCTTCTTCTTCATGCACATGCGCTTGGCCAGGAGCGCGGGCGAGTCCTCGCACTGCCTCTTCCTTGGGGAGGGGGGCCGGCTCGCCGTCGGCGTGACCGTGTCGTCGTACCACTTGGCGGGCGCTTGAGGGGGGTACGAGCACGGCGCGGGTTTCGGCTGCTCGTCCCGCCGTTCTGTTCGCACGGGGGATGTAGGTCGCGACAAGCGCTCGGGAGCGGGGCAGCGCACGACAGGCTGGGCAATGATAGCGCGCGGAGGCTCGGGGCAGTTCACGATCGCACCTCCTTTGCCTGCTGATTAGTCATGGAAGTCAGAGGATATCGAAGTGATGCTTACTCAGGTACGCGGCGTAGTCTGCGTCGAGCCGTCCGCGGGTCTGCGGGAAGGATGTCGGCTGGTCGGCGACAGTCTTCTTTGACGTGCACGAGCACGAGCACGACTTGTACACGCTCGAGTCGGCGGAGGGGTGCGCAGGCGCAGGTGGCGGCGAGTTGAACATGGGGAACATGCTGGCTAGTCGATAAGGCCCGCGGGCCCGCTAGGCGGTGAGTTGGGAGTGTTGTGCTGGGTACTGGGAGAGAAAGGAAAAGGAAACGAGAATGGGTGTGTTTGTAAGAGGAAGGACAAGCGAGGCTCGTGATTGAGAGAGGAAGGGCGGCTGCGATGACGGTGTCTTGTGGCCGGGATCGATGATTGATCTCGTAGGACCGAGGGGCCGAGGGCACTCAGCGCACTCAGGCAGTAGGGAGCAAGGGATAACAACTTTGCTGCAGTGGACGGACAAGTCCGACGGTTCGACCGCTTGTGCCGCCGCTCACCCAGTGGCCAGGTCCCAGCCCCGCTCACGAGCGCGCGCTGACGAGCTTTGGATCTCTCACCCTGCGCCGATCGCTTCAATGGCCAGAACGGAACCATTTTCCAACGATCAATCGGAACGATTCGGAACCCGCTAGGCTTCGACACGGATAAATCCGCACTTAACCGAAACACCTCTGCAGTGACGCTCGTGCACATGGCAAAATCCCATAGCCGGCGGCACTGGACGCCCCTGTCAAGCTGGGCCCTCGTCCGCCATCGACCGCTCATCGCCGCCAGTGGCTCTCTGTCACGCATATCGCGACCGGGCGCACCATGACCAATGCACAGTCACTCACTGCCAGCCGAAAACTCGCCCATGACCGCTCTCGAACGAGCATACCATTACATACACCATCTACGCTATACCGCTAGGCTACAATGCATGCTAGTACAATCCACGGCTCTTGCCCCACTCGTACGCCTCGCCCACGGCCCAGTCCCCAACGTGCTCGTACCGCCCGTCCCCCCACTTCTTCAACGCCCGGCTCACATTGCTTACGATATCCGCCTCGAGGTTGACACCGCGCTGTCGCTCCGCCTTGCTTCGAAACACGTTGCTGAGGCGCGCCTTCTCCTGGCGCACGAGCGGGACCATCAGCGGCGCAAGCAGTTCCGGAAGCACAGGCAGGTAGGATTCTGCTTTCGACCCAAACGGAGCGGGAATGCAGATCAGGCCACCATCCTCCATGATAATGCGAATTGCCCAGGTCACTAAGGAGCGTACCTTGACCGCCGTCTCTTCCTTGTCCAGCTTCCAGTGACCCTTGCTGCGCCCCTTATCGAGTCGCGCCTGTATCTTGCGCTGGTCGCGGAGTGTCAAGGTACCATTGGCTTCGCGCTCCCTCATGGCTGCCTCTTCCTTTTTCGCCCTGCGAGTAACGACGAGCGTCGCCAGTGTGGCGAGTACTTCGTTCTTCATCAAGGACTCCACAGTGAATACCGGGAGCTCTGAACCAGGAGCCCCGAAGCTGCTATAGTCGAGAGGTGCCGGCTCTTGAGCGCCTCGCCGTCTGCCTGGAGTCGGACTGCCTGGATCGGGTCGTCTGTTGCTTTGTCGTCTTTCGCGATCGAGGGTACGCTCGGCCCTCGATCGGAATGCGGGGCTCCTCTCCGGCGTCTGTGGAGGCGAGGAAATGACGATGGGATCTGCTCGCGTTCCAGATCGTCGAGGCCGGGCTGGGCGCTCTGGCGATGTCGGGTCTTTCCGATTCCCGAGCCCTCGTTCGCGATCTGCCCGTGCGCATGACGATTTGCACGGCGTCTCGAGCGCAGACACCTTTGTTCGGAGACCGGCCTTTGGGGTGTCGTTGACACATTTCGCAAGCGGCGTGTTGAACGACGTGCTGCTCGTCAGAGCACCAGGGAGAACACGGCGGGTCTGGGTCTGAGGCGGTTGCATGGCCTCTCGGTATTCCGGAAATCTTTCCGCGAGCGCAGGAACGTATTGGTCCTGAAGCAAGAGACTGTCGCCCTGAGTTTCAGCACAGAGCTGGAGGGCCATGCGCATCGCCACCTCGGTTTCGCGATCAACGTGATCAAGCAGATAGTACTTGAACGTAGCATCTGTGTGGCGCGAGGACGAAAGCCGAGATGGATGACGAAGCTGACGCTTTTCATCCGGCTCATCGTTGCCGTACTCGCTCGGTGCGATGGAGGACAGAATGCTTTTGCTCGGCGACGACATAGCTGGCGTAGGGGGTAGCGAAGCTGGAGGCCGCGACAGGGTGAAAGGCTGGGAGTAAAGAGTGCGGTGTAGCTCCCGGACAATCACAACGTGCTCATACAGCTCATCTGGCCAGACCGTTTCTGATGTCAGTTGGGCAGAACGTCCCCTTCAACTCACTGATAGAGCCACCGTCCGAGACCAGATCCACAGCCACCTGCCTGATGACTTCAGGTCCTGACCATTTCGGTCTTGTCCATTGATCTACACGTCCAACGACCCGCACAGTGTCACCAACATGGACATCCGGCACAACGTATCTCCTGATCGGTAACACTTTCGCTGGTGGTTTCTGGGCTTTCCGTTCGTGGGCCGGCCGAAACGTGGTTGTGGATACCTTCTGCAGTGCAGGCATTTGCACCTCGACGCTCTTCAAGAAAACAATAATCGGCAAGGTGCATCCGCTGTGATCGTCCACTGTATCGTCAGTTCTGCGTCAAACGCCCATACCTTACAAGTTATGGTTATTGTGGTGTCTTTCCGGTCCACGCCGGCGACGAACCCAACAAGCTCAACTGTTTGACAGGGGAAGCAACGAAGAAAGAATACATCTGGGGTCAGCTTAAATCCAATCTAGCACCTCACCCTTCGGTACGGTCTCGATCCCCCCGCACGCCTCCGTGACAGTTCGTAGCCTAACGATGTCATCGATCCGGCACGTCGCGACAGCCTCTTTGCGTGTGACCCAAGTTCTTAGCGTCGACAAAGGTGGAATATCGAGTGTCTCCTTCGATGTGGAGGCATGTCTGCTGGTCATCTGAGGTCATGGGGCCGGCGCCCCTCGTCAAGAGAGTCGAGATGGTGGAGATGGACCCGACTTTGTTGTTGTTGTGACTGGGTGACTGGATCGTAATCCCACGTGGTGGGTTCGGAATCAAAATATTCGGAGTTGCACTCGGACTCCGAACCTGACATCTCGGCGGCGTCTGGCGTCTGTGAAGGCCACTTCGCAGCGAGAGTCGTCTGTCAGCTCCTCATACACCACCATGTCGAGGCCATTCATGTTCTCGGCTCTGCGAGGGGCGTTCCGCCCTCGTGCGGCCGGCACCGGCTTTGCTGGAGCCTCGTTCCGGTTCCAGCAACGACGAAACGCTGGTACGATCACCTCGACCTCCCTCAAGTCGACTATCTTCCGCCCAATCACTCTGGTCCTTCTCATCGCCCCCCTTCTCACTGGATATCTCGGAGTATGGCAGGTTCAGCGTCTGAAGTGGAAGCTCGCCCTCATCGACGAGGTTGAGCACAACCTCTCCAAGGACCCATTGCCCCTGCCTGGAAAGGTCAAGTGCGTGGGCACGCTCGTCAATTCCTGAGTAATGAGCTTACCTCACAGCATGAACGCCCTTCCCGACTTTGCCTTCCGACGTGTGCTGGTTCGCGGAAAGTTCACCGGCCCTCCCATCCTCCAGGGCCCGCAGACCCGTGACGGAGTTGCTGGTTACCACCTGATCCTCCCGTTTAACCGTAGTGAACACGGTGGCTCGACAATTCTGGTCAACCGTGGCTTCATCAAGACTGCTGAGGGTGACGAGATCCGCCGCGGACAGCGTCCCGTTCCCGGCCTCGGACCCAACGGCGAGCCCGGACCTGAGGTTGTCGTCGAGGGCATGATCACCAAGATTGACCCCGCGGCCAAGAGCTACTTCACTCCCGAGAACAAGCCTGAGCAGGGAGACTGGTTCTGGAAGGACATCCCCACCATGACGGAGTTTGCCGGTGGCGAGCAGAACGGTGTTCAGCCCGTCCTGATTGATGTCATCGACAGTGAGCTCAACAGAAACAGACAGAGCTAACTTATAGCTGAGAACACCCCGGCGTCCCTGCGGTTGTCGAAGGGTGAGCCTGTTGGCCGTCCTCCTACCATCGAGCTGAGGAACCAGCACATGACCTATGCCATTACTTGGTGAGTTCATCACATGGTTGTCTGAACTAACAGCAGGTTCTCCCTCTGTGCGGCTACCTCGGCGATGCTGGCCATGGTGATCGCGAAGGGCCGGACGAGGAAGATGCCCGCGCGCCGCGCGTTCGGAGAGAAGAGGCGATGAGCACTATCATTTTGTACAACATCTTATCAACGTTGCATGCATGAATCCCACTCTTGACGAATTGTCACGTCCGCATCTCGCCTCCTTGTTACAGAGCTAGCAGACTCAGGCTGAAACCGAAGCTGTGGGCGTCGCTGGTCTCCGGTGCCTGAATCCGGCCCCGTCTCTTTTATTCCACGTGTATCGCCTCATACGCGTCTCACCGCTGATGTCGTGTTTCTAACCGTCCCTCCATCCCTCATCTTACACATCATCCACCATGCCTCCTCCCCCCGACGCCACCTCCGTCGTGGATGCCCAGTGAGTAGCTGCGAACACCGTCGTAAAGTGATATAGCTGACAGTCCAGGAAGCGCGTGAGTATTGGTTTCGGTCGTGTGCGCCTTTTCCTTCCTCGGTCATGCTCGGCGAACCTCCACGATAGCGGCAGCGGTGTCGGCAATGCATCGTGTCGCCGTGTGGGCGACTGGACAGATGGTCGTTGAACATCGTCTGTTGCGGAATTGAAGTAGCTATCTTGTTGGCTTGGGAAGAAGCATCTGTTTCTAGGTGCATCGAAGGCTCCCGCAGCAAGTGGTACGCGCAGGTGGACGCGCGGCGAGTGCGCGGCGACTTTGCAGGCGGAATACACATCCTCTTCGGTTCTGCTAGCGTACATGCTGAAGCGACGAAGATCTGGCTGTGTGTTCGGGCCTAGCTCAGCTGCGGCGACAGCATCCACATGGGCTATGCATCGGAGAGCTAACTTCAGGCGGCCCCTGAGCTGAAGGCTGTCGCGGACTTCCTTCGCGGAAAGAATGGACCGAAGGTCCGTCGCGGAGTCCTGAACGGCAAGCGTGTGGACTTCTTCAAGGGTAAGTCTACTGGCATCCGGAGTTGCAGCTGACAATCAGGCAAGACGGCTGTCCGAGTTCTGCTGGGCCCTCAGTACCAGAAGCTGAAGAAGGTCCCCGCCGTCACGAACGAGCAGGAGGCCCACGAGCTTATGACGAAAGTGCTGCCTTTGTGAGTGTAGATCCAGCTCACCCCAGTTCTTTGGAAGCTAACGAACAGCGGTTTCTTTCTCCGTGTCGACCGCCCGAATGTGGACCCGCCTCCCCCTAGCGGTGTGCCCAAGCCGTTACAGCTAGCGCAGCAGCAGTCGTTCGCCCCCGACGTTTACTACGCGTGGTTCTACGACGGAAGCCCCTTCTGGAACATTGTCGGTGGTATCGCCATGGTCGCCGTCATGCTCGCCGGTGTCATGTTCCCCCTGTGGCCGACAAAGCTCCGTGTTGGCGTGTGGTACCTTTCGGTCGCCGCGCTCTGCATGGTCGGATTGTTCATCGTCATTGCAATTATTCGTCTCATTCTTTGGTGCATCACCAAGGTGGCCATGCCGAAAGCGATCTGGATCTTCCCCAACCTCTTCGAGGACGTCGGATTCGTGAGTGTCTGGTTAACCACAGTATATGGAAAAGCTAATATCAGGTCGACTCCTTCATTCCCGCGTGGCAGTGGGACGAGCCCAAGAAGAAGAAGCTCCGCAAGGTCGGCGAGGAGCGCAGAAAGGAGAAGCGGGAGAAGCGCGCCGCTGCTGCCGCCAACAACGCGCCCGTCGCGCCCGCTGGAAACGACAGCCCGGCCCCTTCTGCCTCCCCCGCGCCCGGCGGATCGACCGCCACGGCCACCGGCGCCGAGGCGCCCATCACTCACGCTCACCGCCGCCAGGCGACGGTTGAGGACGTTGAGGACGAAAACTAAGTAGACTAGTACCAATGCATACGCTCCCTATACCCTACAACCTGCTATCAGAGCACCCAAGGGGTGACATCGAGCAACGAAGCTTCATACAACCGCTGACTCGCTGAGGATGTCAGCTAAGAAGGAGACGTGCGAGCTCACTAGACCACCAACCGCTGGCAGCACTACGCACACCGGAGCTCACCCACGCAGTCTCAGTATCGTGATTATTCACCATTCTGCAATCGTCAGCTACTATGCGAACCCTCGAAGCTCACCTAGAACGATCCCCTCGGCACCTGGGGTAACCCCTGTGCGGTCTCCTTAGCCTTCTTGTTCATCTCCTTCCTCCGGAGCTCATTCCTCCTCGCCTCGAAGATATGCCTGTGGAGGGCATACTTGTTGTGCGTCGTGACGTTGCTCGAGGGGACACCCGTCATCTCACCAGCGGGTGAAGCAGGCGTAGACGCGGGGCTCTTGGCGCCCTCCTCGCTCGGCGACCCCGAGATGAGCTTGGACCCCATCTCGAGCGCGGAGCCGAGGAAGCCCTTCTTCTCCTCCTTCTTGTCGTCCTTGTCGTCGTCCTTCTTCGCCTGGGCTGCTGTGCGCCGCGCCTCCCGCGCCTGGTACTCGGACACGACCTTGCGGATGTCCTCCTGCGTCGGGCCCTGCGCCGGGGCGGCGAGCTTGGTCGCGCTGTCGTCAGCTCACGTATCACCAAGAAAGCTGGGAACGCACAATCCACTGCAAGTCAGCTAACATGAAGCGAGCGATAAAGCTCACGGATCACTCAAATGGCCGTCACAGGTGTAGAGGAAGTCCTCGGTCTTGATCGTTGCGAGCACGGTCTGCGTCGGCCGGTTGCAGATGTAGCATGGCCGTGCCGTTGCCGTTTTCTGTGGTGTCAGCGAACTCGCAACGCACTGACACCAGAGCAGCTAAACACCAAGGCCAGGTTAGCTGCACTCACCCGTTCGTAGTAGACGTTCTGGAGTGGTGTTGTCATGGTCGATGGGGGGAAAGGGGATGGAGCACAGTCAAAGGTGCCCCGTAGGTGACCGGTGGAGGTTCAGTCGAATCAACAAATGACGCCGCCGCGCCGCAGCCCTGGTTGAAGTGTCATGTTCGATCGCTGCGTCCGCTATTTTGCCTTCCTCCACGCCACCGTCCTTTGCCACCGCCTTGTTTTCCTTCCTTTCTGGTAAGCTTCTTCGATGGCAGGGATAGCTGACATCAGCTCAATGGTGAACAAGGCGCCCGCTCCGCGATTAAAGCTCGTCGTGCGGCGGCTTCCGCCCACTCTGCCCGAGGCGACATTCTGGTCCGTCGTCGAGCCGTGGACCTCGGGCGCGCTCTGGAAGCGATACGTGCAGGGCCGGCCGGGAGATAAGTGAGTTTCGCTCATGCATGCATGCTGCTGCGGCGACGTGGTTAGCTGACATCAGTTTCGGTGCGCACCCCGTGCACTCGCGCGCATACGTCCTGATGCCGGACGTTGCGTCAATCGTCGCCTTCCACACCGCTTTCGACGGGCACCTCTTCCGCTCCAAGACTGGTAAGCTACATTCTCTGCTGTCTGCTTAGCTAACATTGCAGGACAAGAGTTCCAGGCCGTGGTCGAGTTTGCACCTGTCGAGAAGACGCCGTATCGCGTGAAGGAGAAGAAGGATGCGAAACAGGGCACGATCGACAACGGTGAGCTACCCTAAGTCGGGCAAGCTAACACGCAGACCCAGACTACCTCTCCTTCCTCGCTGCCAGGGATAGTGTCCCCGAGCCCGTCGAGGTGACCGGTAAGTATCGCACCCAGCTAGCCAAATCACGGTCTCAGCTGACAGAAACAGTCTCCACGCCCGCGCCGCCGCCCGAGTCCACCCCCCTCTTAGACGCGCTCAGGGCGCAAGCGTCAAAGAGCAAGCAGAAGCAGGCCAAGAAGAAGGAGAAGGCCGAGAAGGCGAAGAATGCGGCGCTCGCGTCGGTGGCAGACGCAGCGAAGAATCGCGCCCCCACCGGCGGAAACGTCGTCATGGTCGCAGGCGCAGGGCGCGAGGTGTACGTTCAGGACGGCGGGGCGCCCTCGGAAGAAACCTCAAAGGACTCAAAGGACAAGAAGAAGGCGCCGAGACGGAAGAAGGGCAAGAAACCTGAGGCCGCTGCTGCCGAAGCCGGCGCTGGTAAGGACGACGCTGGCGAGGGTCCTTCGCAGGCCCAGCAGCAGCAGCCGCAGGGCCAGGCGCAAGGGGAGAAGAAGCCCAAGTCGAAACCGAAGAAGAAGCCGCAGGAGAAGAAGCCGAAGGAGGAGAAGGAGAAGAAGGACGGCGACGAGGGTGCTGCCCCCGCCGCTGGCGAGGGGGAGGAGAAGAAGCCGAAGAGCCGGAATCGCGGTCGTGGGCGGGGAGGTGGTGGTGGTGGAGGAGGGAATAAGGAGGGTGGCGCCGGCGGCGGCGAAGCGAAGGAGAGTGGCCCGAGCAAGCCGCCGAAACAGAAGAAACCCCGCGAACCCCGCGAGCCCAAGAACGAAGTCAAGGCGAGCGAGGCGCGGATAGACATGTAGCAGCTCTTGGTTGATGTAACAACTGTGCATAGATTCCCGCTCTACAACTGTGGCTACAACCCTCCCTCGGTCTACAGCCTCGCTGAGCCGAAGGCCGAAGGGCAACAGCGTCGCTGCGCTCCGCGTCTAGAGCTTGGCCATCTTCTCCCCGGGCCGCACAATCTCAATCATGCCCATGAGCTTGGGCCAGCGCATATCCCGCCTCCAGCCCGCGTTGCCCTCGCGATCGAGCGTGAGCTGCATCGCGTTCGGGCGCTGCTTGAATTCTCCCCGCTGGGCCTTCTTCACGTCCTCATCGACCGCGTTCCACCAGTTCCACGCCCACTCCCGCTCCTCCGGCGTCAGCCTGTTGACCTGGAGGTGCTGCAGCACCGTGTCGCCCGAGTGCGTCACGAGTCCGCGCTTGCTGACGCTCTTGGCGACACACTCGATAGAGTACCGGACGACGGGGAAGTTTTGCTTGATAAGGTCAGCGGCCAGGAGGCGCGCGGGCACGTATACCTGCGCGTTGGCCATGATGGTGCCGAAGCGGCGCTGGGCGAACTTGCGATCCGCATCCGCGGCGAGGGGCGCGAACGAGTCGTAGAGATCGACAAACTCGGAGGAGAGCCGCGTGGAGAAGTATCGGTGCAGGTTGGGCGCAATGTCGGCTGGTGTCGGGGTCGCGTGCGTCGTGGCGTAGAACACCTCTTCTTGCAGGACCTCGCCGACGACGACGATCACGACCCCCGCGGCGCGCAGGTCGTCCCCCATCCGCGTCGCCTGGTACGCCATCGTGTCGGCTTCGACCCAGCCGGGCTCGACGACGCAGCGGAACGTGCCCAGCACGCCGAGCGAGTCCACAGCCCGCATGAGCCGGAGCGTAGGCACGAGGGCCTCGTCGCGCAGCGCGTCGAGAATGCCCGGCTGGCGCGGGTTCAGGCCCAGTTTGCGACAGAGCGAGTCAAAGTTCACCTGTCGCTCGCTGGCCGGTACGGGGTCGCCCAAAATCGCATTGCTCTGCAGCAAACAGGAGATGAAGGGCGCCTTGTTCCCCTTTCCGCCCTCGCGGGCCGCATGGTGCAGCAGCTGGTGGCAGAGGTGTGCTCCGCCACTGAGCCCGCTGAGGTGGACCTGCGCGGCGTCGCCTCCGAACGATCCGGCGATGCGCTGCAGCCACTCCAGCGCACACCACACGTCCTTGACGCCATAGTTTCCCTCGAGTTTCGGGTACGCGCTGGCCAGGAAACCGAGCACGCTGAGACGGTGCCCGACGAGGACGCGGACCTCCTGTCGCTCCTCGGCAGCCCAGAACTGCTGGTTGTACATCGTCCCGCTCGTCGATCCCCACTGCATGAAGCCGCCGTGCACAAAGACACGCACCGGCACCTTCTCTTCGCCGAGGTTGCTCAGATCGATCGACGAGGGAACGTAGACGTCCGCGAAGAAGGGGCACTCGCTCGGCTCGCCAAGGCCAAGTCGCAGCTTGGTCGGTTCTGGGGTTAGCTCTCACCGTAGTCGGGACAGCTGGAACCAAACGGCACATGCAACTCACGCTTAGAAGGGTATACGCGCGACGGCTGTGCGCAGTAAATGCCATCGGAGATGTACTCCTTGTCCTCGTACCGATGGTCCTCGGGGAGGGGTTGCGGGTCCGTCCATCGGCGGACCGGGAGAGCGTAAGGAACGTCTGCTGTCAGCTCATGACTCGTCGCACCACAGCTGTCTGTCGGCGGTCCGTCATCAGATACGCACTGAGGAACACCTGTGTGCCGTTCGGCGCCCGTCTTCCCCGGATCGTGCCCCACGGCGTCTCGGCCACGACAGCCTCGGACGACTTGGCGATGAGGTCCGCCGTCCACTCCGTGCTCGGGACAGATTTCGGGTCGAAGGGAAGTGTCTTCGTCATGTCGGCCTTCCTCCGTAGGAGTCGCATGTAGAGTTTGGAGTGAGCGGAGAAGGCGGAGTTGTTCAAGTGGGCCAGTCCGACGCGCTACTGCGCTACGGTGGTGCTCGGCTACATCCTGCGCGTGGGCCGGCCGGAGCAGCCGTGGGAAAGCAAACGAGTGGTGATTGCCGACTTCTCCAGATGTGGGCAGACAAGACAAGATGCCGATGGTCTGTGCTTGGCGAGTTTGATAGTAACCGTATGCATTAATGTACCCAGATAATAACATATGAACAAGTTGGAGACCGGGATTGCAGTTGAGGGCATCCGTCTCGCGCCACGCTACTTAGAGCTTGGCCCTAGCGCCGACGTTCTGCATGACGAGGTCGGCAGCCTTCTCGGCCAGGCCCTTCGAGGACTGGTATCCCGCACCACCAGGGCCGTACGCGTGGACAACGGTGACGTCGCGCCTCCTCTGGCCGGCCATCTTGGGGACGAGGATCTTGTTCTCGCCGAGCGTGCGCTTCTCAACCTCGAGACGGACGCCGCCGTCGCGGCTCGGTCGAAGACCAACGTTGTGCGCCACAATCTCAATGTCCCTCCAGCTCTTTCCGTTGGGGCCAGCAAGGAGCGGGTCAAGGGCATAGCACGCCTTCAGGATACGCTCAGCCTCGCGGGCGTCGGGGACGGTGCTCCAGTTGTTGCGGTTGTAGGTGCCGCCGCAGATGACGTGGCCCTCGGAACCGGGTCGCGGAATGATATACGCAATCTCCTCGCCGGGCGTGCTCTTCGAGAGAACGGTGCCAGTGCTCATGGTGCAGCGGTTCACGAGGGGAGCCTTCACGAGCACAGTCTGGCCCTGGGCCGGGTACATCGCCTCATCCTCGACACCAATCAGCGTACGGTTGCCGAGAGCGAGAGAGTTGACGACCAGGTCGACGGGGCCGACCTCCGGAAGGTCGTAAGCCTCATCGAGGGCCGAGAGACGTCGGCGGATGATGGGGACACCACGCTCGCGAAGCTTCTTGGCAAGGTGCTGCAGGTAGTTCGGAGCGTGCAGGATGTACGACTCAAATTTGGCGCCAAAGGGGAAGCCACCAGGGAGAGGCGAGTCGGGCGAGCCCTTCTCGACGGAGCACTGAGGTCAGTTCACTTCCGGTATGAAGCTGGTAGGAGATAAACCCTCTTTTTGCACCTATCGTCCGAAGGCGATATGAGCAGCGTATCGTATACTCACGTTGAAGACAAGGTCAGAGTACCACGGCTTGCCGCGGTCCTCGTCCCAGACGTCGTAGAAGGTGATGCGCTTGCACAGGTCGGGGTGCTCCTTGCTTAGCTTGCCCAAATACTTGTACGTGATAGCGTCCCACTCGGCAGCCGGCGTGCTGCCGTCGGTCTCGAACGAGCACCAGTTGCAGCCCTTATCGTCAGCATCGGAACTTTCAGTGCCATGGGACCTGAGGGCAGGTGTGCGGCGGAGGTGCGTGCAGTGGCGCGCGTGCCTCGGCGCCGAAGGATTCCGGGTGGTGTGCGTGCGCGGCGCTCTTTGATGCTAGTCATTGGCTGGATCTTGAGACAGACTGGACTGGCCAGACCGACACACGGACTCGGCATGCAGTACACGGGCCTCGTGGCAATGTTTACGCATTGTCTGGGCCGGACAATGGAACAGCGGCCGCTCCGGCCCGATCTCCCGGTCCAGAAATCGTCCCAGATCCAAGGAAGACCACCAGGCATGGCTGCAGAACGCCCCGAACTACGGCTCAGCGACCAGTAAGCGCTGAGCCCAGACCCGCAGGTCCGAGTGTCACACCCAATCACGGCCGCAAGGCACCGCCAGCACACATTCTGCCTGGCTTACGACACTTACAGCCCACGGCGACGCAAAGCCGACACTGGTGAGGTCCTCGGGGAGGTCACGAGCGACGACGGCGACCTTGACTCCACGGTCGGCCAGCTCAGTGGCAATGGTGAGGCCGTACACTGATGTCAGCGGGGTCCGAAGTCGGGGAATATGCCGAGGGCGAGTGCGAGGAAGGTGTCCGCTGCGTCGGAAAGACTCACCGCCAGCTCCGAGAACGAGGGCGTCGTAGGGCATTTTGGCGTTCTGCGTGTGTGGGAAAAAGTGCAAGAAGCGTTTAAGCAGTTAGTGGGAGTATGATGAAAGAGAGAAGAGAAAGAGGGAAGACTCGGTGATATGAGGATTGGGAGTGGGGAAGGCTGGAATCTCGGATCATAGACGACTGAAACGAAGTGATAAACGCCCGGCGTTTACTTGGGACGCTGGCCCATGGCCCCACACTCACAATCCGAGTCGGATCATCAGGTCACACGCTGGTGCTGGCTTGCTGATACGGCGCCTGCATATCCTGCATGCCTGTGTCTGGGTCAGGATCGCTATCGCGGCCCCTTGCCCACCTGCTTGCCTGACCCGCATCGTCCCGGGGTGCAGGCCATGCGCGTCAAGATCTCGTTCGCCCACACAGCGGCGTGCTCGCTTGATGCAGCCAAAACAGGGACACTAGTGGCGGCGTTCGGCAAGGAGCACGGCAGACCCCCACATTGTCACATGGCTTTCACGCTCTTCCCCACAGCTGTCGATCTTTCTCGGACCAGGCGAGGTCGAGCAAAAGTCACGGGATCTCGGAGTGAGCTCTGTTCTGGGTAGCGGGAGGATCTCGGTGAAACGGATTAGTCGTCCACGGAAGAAGCGGCCGGCGCGGCCGGGGAGGGAGAGAGCCAAGGCTGGTTGTAGGCATGACCGGCGTTATTCAAATGACCGGCCCAGCCTAGCGAGCAAACAACCACGGCGAACTACGGCTGAACGCAAGATGCCGATCATTGGCTGGAAGGGGAGGGGTGTATATTTCGCAGGTATTATTCGCGATTAATCCGAGGCCATAACGTGCTTTCGGCCCAAGGCGCACCCAGATGCACCCCATGCTGCATGCTGGGTATGCTGGGGCCTGGGTGAGCCAAGCGTTATATGCCGATGCGCGACCAATCACAGCGCGTTTGCTTCCGCGGGGGGTCGACAAGTCCCCGGTCCATCACGGCCTCCATCCGCGTCCACGGTCAAACCGGCCGCAAGGGACGAGAGAGGGACGAGATTCACAAATCGCACCAGTGACCTCTGATGACCGAAAAAAATTACAAACCCGCCCTCCCCGGCCACCTAGCTCATCCTACGATGCCGAGTCTACTTCGATGCGAAATTTGCCCTCGCATCCGCTCCCCACCCCGTACCGGACATGCATCCATCTTTCGCACCAACAGCCCAGCCCTTTCAAGAGCTCGTTTTGCGCTTTCGTAGCCCAACGGGATGGTATCAACATGCACGCTGAGCACGGAGCAGATCGAGGACACGGCCTAAGCCGCCTAGTGCCCTGGAAGACCTCGGCTTTGGGCTTTGGCGTCCCACCCAGGCAAAGTGGGGGTAACATTTAGGGGGGCAGGTTTGATTGACCGACACCCGAACAGGAAGGGAAGGCAATTAGGCAACTAGGCAAAGATACGTCGGTGTCTCTCCTCCTTTCTGTTTCTCGCTCTCCTCTCCAAGCAATCACCCAGCTTTCCACATCGGTCCGAGCCTCTACGGCGAGTCCGACTACACTCATCCACACACACCATCATCCTCTCTTATCTCTTCATCATAGCATACACCCGCCTGTCACTGCGCCCCGCCCTCTGCCAGGCCTCAGCCATCTAACCCTTCACGGCAACCCAACATGGACGCCCTCATAGTTGCGGCTACCGGCTCACCAGCCGTCTCCTCCAAACAAGGCTCTCCCACACCCGAGAAGCCTCGTCTTCGAGTCGTCGAACGTGGCTCTCAAGCATGCAACGAGTGCCGAAGGCATAAGGTAAGCTGCCCAAACATGCAGCGACAGCTGACCGGGTACTAGATCCGTTGCCACCCTGCTCCTGATGACCCCGAACACATCAAGCCGTGCGCGCGCTGCGTGCGCATGTCCCTCGAGTGCGTTTTCAAGAAGCACAATCGCGGCAGGAAGAGGAAGAACCCGTGAGTAGGACACGCAGTTGCTTGCTGTTTGCCGATGCTGACAGTCATCAGCCCTCCCGATGACGGCGGCGTCGCAACGCCGATCGCCCAGAAGCAGCCACACCTCGACGGTCCCCGATCTGGTGCTACACCTTCTTCCCAGTCCTACTGGGGTCGAGGCAGCCCCGACCGCTCTCTTTTCCCGGGTGTTTCCAAGTATCCGTTCGTCGCCGGCGACTCGGCTCAGGATGCCGACGGACCTCGGGGACCTCCCCCGATGGCGCAGATCTCTCTGCAGAACATGGTCCGTGGCCGCCCTTGGGACGAGGAGCACGAGGGCGAGTACTACTCTGGCACCGATGAGGAGTACGTTCGTGAACGCGTCACCGAACGTCCGCTGCACTCGGTCGTCGGCGGTGCCGCTGGTGGCGACGCCATCACTCTCGGTTATGTGACTCTGGAAGAGGCACGCGAACTGTTCCAGCTGTGAGTTTTCGAAACTCGGTCGGACCTTTTTTTCCATGCAACTAACCGAGCCTCGCAGCTTCCTCAAGCACTTCAACCCTGCCATGGCCATCATCGACCCGGTGCAGTGCAACCACGACTTTGTCAGACAGAACTGCCCGTTCACCTACCATGTGATCTGTGCGTAAGAAAAAGCTCGGTGTCTCGGCGATCAAGGCAACTAATGACTTCGCAGTGACTATTGCATCCAGGTACATGAACCTCCTCCCGGGATCAACTGCGGCGGCTGTTCCCCCATCGGCCAATTCGGTCCACCAGCAGATTCTTGTTCTCGCCCGCGATCAGCTCATGTGGGCTTTCGCCGAGGCCATCAGCAACGTTGACGTTGTGCAAGCCGTCATGGCCCTTTGTCTCTGGAAGGAGCCTGACGATGATAAGGCTGCATTCTACTTCAGCCGTGTCGTTGTGCTTGCCAAGGAGCTCGACCTCGGAAGCGAGCCTCCCATACATCAGGTCGCGCGCATGACCGACTCGGAGAGGAGGGAGCTGCGTCACAGGCAGCGGCTATGGTAAGCTGAATTGAGTTTGCATTGGCTGACATCAGGCTGTCTCTCTTCTCAACCAGTTCCATCTTCCACATGCAGTTCCGGCAGCCGATGCTGATCACTCAGCTGGACCCTCTGGTATCGACGTGCCAGTTCTGGCTGAAGCACACGGCGCCCGAGTATGCTCTCATGGACACGTTCAGCGCGTTTAGCGCGGACTTGCGCCGCCGCTACCTGTCGTACAAGGAGCTGCTGAACGACCCGTACCCGAGCCCTCTCACGCTCTCTGTGCTCACGAAGACGATCAACACTGAGTGGGAGCACACGAGCGAGGCCTGGATTCGCGAGATCATTGATGCTGGCGGCTCGCCGAGCTATGTGCACAAGCCTCGGGTCTGGTACGCTGCGCTCGCGCTCAACTTGAACCTTCAGATCTTGAACAAGACGCTGCGGATCCCGCCGCACGAGCGCATCGCGCCTCCCCCGCCGACGGCAGCTGGTGCGCCGACGAGCGTCGCGCAGCTCCGCTGCATTCCGGCGTTCCACGCGAGTCTGAACAACGCCTCGACTGTCCTCATGCGCGTACACGACCTGGACAAGTCGCAGATCACATTTGCGTCCGACACCTTCCTCCACTTCTCGCTGTACGCCGCCACGTTCCTGTGGTCTCTCTGCCGCCGCCCGCAGCTGTACGACTTTGAGGACGTCGAGGTCGAGTACATCCGCGACCTGATCTTAAAGGTCGCCACGGCCTTTGAGGCGGCGTCTCCTTACCCCGGCTCCTCCCCAGCCCTGCACGCCAAGTACCTGCGCCGCCTCTGCCGCCCGCGGCGGCAGTACGAGTCGAGTGAGGGGACGAGCGACGACCTTCCCCCGCCCGTGAATAGGGAGGAGCTCGAGTTTGTTGGCGATTTTGGCTGGGTCGGCGTCGACCTGCCATGGTCCTCGATTGACCCCGCTTTACAGGGCGTGACGGCCGAGCAGCCGCACCAGCCGCACCCCGAGGAGCTGGAACGCGACCGCGAGCGTGAGCGCGCCGAGCGCGAACTGCGCGAACGCGAGCGCGCCATCCTCGAGGAGGAGCCGTATGTCAACGGACGCGGGGCTTAGCATGCCCCGCATCCTGCGAGCGGGCGCGACTGGAACGCATACGTGTAGCCTAGATTCTTGTTGTAGTGATATGATATACCCTGATAGATTGGCGAGAACGTAGGCGAGCAGCGAGCGAAGCGAGCGTGAGCCGGTGCGAACGCCCTCCTATCTCCTCCCCTCATACCCCGGCGCAGTCGTGACAACTGGACCAGCGGCGCAGATCGCGCAGAGCACATTGTGGTCTGCGACAGTGGTGGGTAAAGGTGTTGGAGGGGGCGATGCACTGCTCCTGGCGAGGTTCTGGCGAGGTTGCCGCAGAATCAAGAGGCCGATGCAGTGGATGCCGCAATGCCGACTGCCCGAGTGGAAACCCGAGTGGAACCCGAGTCGTTGGCCCGAGTTGTGGGCCGAGTGCCGATCCTCGCAGGAGGGCCAGGAGGGATGGTGGCCGAGAATCCATCGGAAATGCGGGGGGTGGAGGCAAGGGCGGCAAGGGGCAGGCATCTCGGCCGCACCCGCGCGGGTCAGTTGAATCAATCTTCGGACATGCGCGCTGCATTGCTATCTTTGGCATGCATGGGGACTCCACTGTATGCTTGCATGATAGGTCTCCGACAGTGAAGACCGATGCAGCCAGGTAGCCGGAAGCAGCAGCTGGACGCGGACACCGCTCCAGTTCGCCGCACCCGAGCTCGAGCCCTTCTTTGAGCCCAGATGGCGGTCATTCCACTTGATACATACACACAAACCACACAAATTCGTCGATACATGGCCAGAGAGGGAAGAGAGAGAGAAAGGAGACTACTGGACACAGCAGTAGTTCCACTCCTGCTCGTCGGCCTCGGGCGAGCCCGGGTCGTGCCGCATGGGCAGCGCGTCCCAGTGTCCTGCCGGTGCGTGCGGCGAGGTGGCGATGAGTTCGATGATGTGCGGCATCTGCTGGGATGAGTACTGTCCTCGACCGTATCTTGACTCTTACTGTTAGAGTGTGCTTAGGGTTGTGATGCTGGGGCGATGATCGAGGCGATGAAGCTGCTCGGCTGCGGTGATCACTCCAGAACGACAAAAGGGCAGACGCAATGTTATATGCATCCTCTGGACGATACATGTCGGTGACTGTCCTCGGTGGCATGGAAGCTAGTGCTGAGGGGAGAGCAGAACAATGATGAACGCTGATGGAAGCTGATTGTCTTTCGAGAACATGTTTCAGCCGGTTTCTGAGCTTGGACTTGTGCGGTTTTGTGTTTCGACCCGCATGACTGAGGACGAGGAATGAAGGTGACGAGGTGGCGTACTGAGGAAGCAGAGGTCGGACAAAGCTCTCTGTTATTGCGGAAGGTTACCGACAGTTGTCATTGAGAGCCGCATCGCATGGATGTACAAAGGCTCCCCGACAGACGATCTCGTCCTTGTTCTCAACAGGATGGGTCTCGATGTGATGAAGTACTGAAGACGATGGTGCATCTCGCGCAGATCAAAAAGGCGCCCAGCTTGACGTTCACGATGGTCACGCCCGCTACTGACCAATCTGACTCTGACATGAGTGATCTCCCAGGTCTCTTCGTATCGCCACCCAAGGACGACACCTCGCCGACCGCACCGGACACGCCGACGCCAGCCGCCCGTGCGCCGTCACCGGCACCCCGTGCTCCATCTCCTATCCCAGAGCCGGCAGTTATACCCGCAACATCGCAAGTCCATGTTCCCCGTGCTCCGTCGCCTGCTCTGAGGGCCCGCTCTCCTTCCCCAGCACCCAGCACGACCTCCTCTTTCGGTACGCCCGATCTCTCTCGGTTGAAGCCCGACGACGCCTCCGACTCGGAAGTGATCGTGACCGAGGAGCCGACGCAGACGCCCGACTCCTCCTGGGGTCTTGCCCGCAACCACTCCAGTCTGCGCCTCTACCTCGCATCGCGGCACAATCCCTTCCTCTCCTCGCTCTCGTCTCCGGGGTCGCCCTCCCCCTCCCGTCCGCCCTCGCAGCCATCGCAGCCACCCTCGCCGACGACTCCTCGCCCGCCAAGGGCGAAACGCACCAAGGTCACTGAGGAGGGCGAAACGCTGCTACGCCGCATGCATGCACACCAGGCGCAAGTCGTACACCTGCGTGCCCAGAAGGCGGAGCTGCTCGCCGCCTACGCGGCCTGGATGCAGGTCTACGAGGCGAGTCCGGGCAAGGACGCAAAGCTGTGGAAAGTGCTGTGGGACGCATTCACGGCCCTCGATGGCGCGCCGCAGGTCACGAGGGCGCAGAGGCGGATGGAGAAGGCCGAGAAGCTCGAGAGGCTGGAGAGGGATAAGCAGAAGCGATGGGCGCCGAAGATTCTCGCCGGTGACGAGATGCTGCGGACGCTGCTCTGCGTCTTGCTCCTGTGGCTTGTTTGGCGGATTGGCGTCGAGTCGCGATAAGTAGTCCATCTTCCGAAATTCATCCATGGCGCGAAAACGATAGCACGTCGCGTCCATTTAGCGCGCTTTTTGAGGGTTCAGCAACCTAGGCTGCTGACCCAACACCATCCACAGACTTCTCCACGTCTTCCATGCAATCAACACCTCGCGTCCAAACGTCCCATAGAACATGCAAAAGCAATACACAAGGGCCAAAAGAGAAGAGCTTCCTGTCGGAGAATCGAACTCCGATCTCCCGCGATCATACATGACAAGCGAGCATACTAGCCGTTATACGAACAGGAACTGGTTGTTTGTGTGTCTCGGAGAAGGATTCTCAACACTGCGCCCGTAAACCGCGCGTGTTTTCTTTTGGAGCTTGCGGGCGGTGGCGCACGCCTTCCCGGTCGCATTTTCCAATGCTTCTCCGGGATCCGGCTGCCGAGCTGCCGAGGCTGCTCATTTGACCCTCTCGCACGCGATCGCGCGCTTGTGATCGGCGTGTGACAGTCCACGTTTGGTCCGATTGAGCTCTGCGGACCATCGCTGCGCCGCTGTCTGCACCGCAGCACCGCTACCCCCTGTTTCGTTTGTGCTATGTCGGTGCAGGGCCAGTGCAGCTCTGCCAATTTGCGCCGCCGCAGCTCTGGCGACAAAGAACAAAGGTGTAAGACGCAATCTAGTCCGCCCCATGCGCTCTTCCTCGGCGATCGACTGTGGGCGGTGCTGAGCCCTGCTGGAGGGCTCGGCGGGCGCGGCGGGAGGGCGCTACGGGCACACTACCTGGATCTAGTGACGCCGCACGACGCTGCGCACTGCGCGCCGTGCGCCCCGATTCGGCCTGTCTGCTAGCTGTGTGCCGATCTGAACTTTAGTCTTCCTCCGCAGCACAGCGTGCATGTGGTGCCATGCACTATCAGCTGGGGTGATCTCGCTATCTCTGCATCATCTTTTCGCAGCCCATCTTCTTTTCACGTCCAGCTTCTCGTCACCTTCAGTCTTCACTCACACTCCTTTCATCTGCACACTCTCTCCGCTTGACTGAACGACCTTTTACGAAACCTCCACCCGCACATCGCAATAACATGAGCCAGACTCACGATCTCGGAGCACCCGAGAAAGGCGTCCTCCTTCCTCTCTACACCGACAGCAAGAACGCTCTCGAACAGAGCGACACACCACACCCCCTCTACACCGACGAGTGGCTCAACGGCGAGCCATGGCGGTACCGCGCAATCCTCGCTATCAACCTCCTCCTGATCATCTGTGGACAGTACGCCTTCCTCTGGTAAGCTTTCTAGCGGCCGTTTCCGAGCTAACCACCAGCGGCGTGTGGCCTCACTTCTGCGTCGTCTCCATTTCGCTTGGCATTGAAGGTCTCATCAACGTTCTGACGCCGTACCTCGAGCGCGGCCCGCGGTGGCCGAAGGAGTACTGCTTCCACCTCTTCCTCGACCTCCTGCACGGCCACTTCATGATGTCTATCCTCTCGGTGCTCTACAAGCCGGATCTTGACGTCAATTCGATCCTCCGCGTCTTCCTCTGCAGGGACTACGTTGACGTAAGTTGTGAGGCTTGGGAAAACTGACACACAGCGCCTCGTGTACATCGACTGTATGCCACTCGCCATCGGCATCTTCCTCGGTTACAGCATCCTGATCCGCTCCATCGGCCACATTGCGTCCGGCGAGCCTCTCATTCCCCGCGAGGGACAGAGGTGGAGCGACAACATTGTCGTCGAGACCGTTCGCTACTTGATTCGCGATGGCGGACTCGTGCTCTTCTTCTTCGTTGTGAGTATTCACCTTTGAAGCGAAGACTCTGCAAGCTGACTGTCAGTACGGCGACCGCATCCCCTCAGTCATTTGAGAGCAACCTCCATCGACCCAGCTTACGCACAACTTTGTAGCCTCTACACACGAGCAGACGACCAGTCTACGACCATGCATGTATCCATGACCTGTGCATGACGGACGGTTTTGGCGTACGCAGTATAACGCTCACAACAGGCGAGTCGCGAGCTCTGAGTGCAGGCAGCCCTTGGGGCAGGGATTCACCCTCAGAAGGTGAGCTTGATTGCGACTCGCAGCCGATCAGCGTCTTTACGGGTTTACCCTCTGAATGGCTCTTCATCGTTTGCCCTAAGGCTGGCGCCCGTCTCTTTCTCGTGGCACTCGCTCTGACTGGTAAGCACTGGACATCCAACCCCAGGCCCATTGGCTTCGTGGCATCGTTCACAAGGCTGTTATCATCGTGCTCGTCCTTGTCGTGATAATGGACAGCCAGTCCTCGCTGATTTAAATAGCTCGGCAAGCATGTCCCCTACGTAGCCAAGCCTTCCTCCTACGTAGATTCCCCAGCACCTCGTAGGACCGACCTCGATCGTCGCAACCATGCACACCCTGGTACTTGTGATTCTGACCAGAAGACCTCCGCAGGAACACTGCCAGAGCTGCGGCGATGAAAGACCTCAGCACTGTGCCCGGCTGCGCCGCAACTTCACAGTGATGGGCGAAGGGCGTGAAACAGACCCGCATGGTCAGTGACAGCGGCCGTTGAAGTTGTTGGGTCGAGCTTTCGTCGTCTTTCCTTTCTCTTCCCCTCTCTTCACTCCTCTTCGCTCGCACAGAGTATAACAAACTAGCAATTCCCCTTCCTCCTATCCGAACGACAATGAACAGCCAAGCGAACGGTCATGCGAACGCCCAAGCAAGCGGTCAGACTGCAAGTGGCCACCCCAGCACTTCCCCATCTGCCTGGTCGGCGTGGAAGCAAGCGAACATCACCAGGACCCGCCTCACTGTGGCCGCCAATGTCCTTCTCATCATGGGAGCGCAGGGTGCGCTTCATCGGTGAGTCGAACAATCTGGATTACCACTGACTTACAGTGGTGTGTGGCCTCACCCCTGCCTCGTCGCTACTCTCACCGGCATGTACAACCTCTTGGAAGCCTGCAAGCCCGCCACTCAGCTCTCGTGGCGCAAGCGCCTGCTCGGCCACTTCCTCTGTTCCACCTTCCCCGCCCACACTGCGACTGTGGTGATGACCGTGGGCTGCAAGTCCGGTTTTGAACTCTCCACCTTCGTCCGTGTCTACACTTTCATGGAACGCATTAAGGTGAGCTCACTGATGCTCTGGCGGCTGACATGAGCAGGTCCTGCAGTGGAACTACCCTATCGGCTGGCTCTGGGCAATCGGTCCTATCCACACCCTGTCCTTCCTCCTGGCCCGCATCACCCATTTCGTGCCCGACTTCCCCGGCAAGGACGAGTGGATTATCAATGGCGAGATGGAGAGGGTTCGCGATGTGCTCAGGGACCTCATCATCGTCCTCCTTGTGCTCACGGTGAGTTTGAACGATTGAACGACTGCCGTCGCTGACTACTCAGTACGGCGAGCGCGCGGCCCCGTAATGGCTGTTTGTGCCTTCTGGCTAGTTTTGTGAATCCTATAGAGGCTCCGTGTAGCAAGGAGCAGCAAACTGTGTAACTCTCCATGTATGTATGTTTGATCCCTCGGACCATGCTACGGACGGGAGGAACCCAACTCGTTGCAACTGAACGGGGCTCTTCTAACCCCACTGACCGAGAGGGCACTTTCCGCGTTCAGCTAGCAGCTGGCAAGAGACCTGCCTTGCGGGCACTGCGCGCTGCGCGGGATTGGCGCTGCGCTCTGCGAGCATGCGCAATAAACGGGCACACGTGCATCTTGTCTGCGGGGAGGGGCGTGAAAGAATGAGTAGGCACACACAGTCGTTGCCTACCAGATAAGAACACCTTCACGGTCATAGGCTTTCTCCGCTTTGCACTTTCCGTGAACAACACATCTCTCAACGACCGTGTCTCAGCTTCAGTTACTCACAGTCAACAAGTCAAACGACTCCCACTTACACCTCTCTCAAAACAATGAACCATCGCGCCATCGGTAACAGGAACGGCTCTCCAGGCCAAGCCAGCAGCTTTGCCGCCGCCGCCGCTCACCACCCCATCCCCTCTGTCCGTTTTGGGGAGAAGGGCACTCCTTTTCGGGGCAAGCGCTGGGACTGGATCCAGCAAAACCGTTTGTTGTTCCGGTTCCTGACCTCTCTCGGTCTCCTGATGACCATTGGCGGCCTCGTGGCCCTCGACAGGTGAGTTATGTTGGCAGACTACTGCGCGTGTGACATTGACCCTCACAGCGGCGTAGTTTGGCCTCACGTGTGCCTCTTCTCTTTTATCATGGGCATCAGCATCATCATTGGCGTTTGTTCGCCGCTGCTCGAGTCCTCTTGTGAATCCTTCGCCCAGGCCCTCGGCATGTACCTCCTCGACAGCGTCCTCCACGCTCACCTTGTGACAGCCGCGATGACCGTCGCTAGCGAAGTCGGCGGTCCCGAGTTCTCGTTCGGCAGAATTACCAGGGTCTACTTCCTCGTGGAGCGCATCCCGGTCAGTCCGCCTCGTTGACCACTCGTTCTCAGCTGACATTCGCACAGTCCTTGAAGTTCTGCTGGGCCACACCTCTGAGCCCCTTCGTCTTCACCGTTTATCGCCTCTCTCAACGCTTCTTTATCCAGAAGAAGCTTGGGAAGCCCTTCCTTGGTGGTCCTCGCAAGTGTCACGAGCACGACATCCGTGCGATCGCTCTGGATCTCTTCAAAGAGCAACTGCTTGCTTACCTCATCTTCCTCGTGAGTGTTGGGCTCGGCCATCGACTAACTCACAGTACGCCGAGACCTCCACCTTTGAACTCTGAGCGCAGAAGTCCTAGGCGTAGAATTCCCCAAGCCAACCTTCTATGTAGATAGACCTCTCATAGTCACCCCAAACTGTAGCCTGTGAGCCACTTGTGAGCCACCACTCCAGTCTATGTAAACAGTAACGTGTGACATCAACCTGGGCGACTCGCTACTGAATCTCTTTCGCAGGTGAAAGGGTGGACCACCTCCACCAGGCGGAATGCGGTGTCCATCGGCCTCCACTTTGCTTGAACGTCATGGTCGGCATTCTTTCGTCTTGGCGACTCGATGATTGCTTAACGTCAGCCAGGGTCGTCTCCGGAATCTTCAATCCTCTCCATTCACGCCGCCAGAACTCATCCACAACGATGTCGCTCGCGGATCTGACCATCATCGAGCTCACTCCCGAGCAGAACTCGCGCGCAATCGCCAATACCTACCCCGCCTGGAACCGCGGCCTGCGTCCAAGCTCGTTCCAGCGTGTATGCGAGGATGTCACATCGCCGATTCACTCGTGGGCAGCAAAGGGACGCTTCAAGTCATGGGCGCTGGTGCGCCGCTCCGAGGCTGAGAACCCCGACTGTGAGCTCCTCTCTCACTGCGAGACGTACCGCCGACCTGCGATGGTGAGCGATGCCAGCGGTGTCCGGAGGCGTAAGTCCTACGGCATCGCGTCCGTCTACACCCCCGAGCAGTTCCGCAAGCAGGGTTATGCGCGCCGCATGCTCCAGCTGCTGCACTACGTGCTTGCACCGGCCGAGGCGATGCCGCCGTTCCCAGAGGCGTGGGGCGCCAAGCCGGTGGCGTACCTTGGCGACGCCGCCTTCAGCGTGCTGTACAGCGATGTGGGTCCCGAGATCTACGCCAGCTGCACGATCGGCGAGAGTAAGCCAGGATGGGTCAAGGAGCCGACGATGAAGCGAGTGTGGACCCTCGCGCCCCTGCCGCACGGCGCTGTCCAGCCGAACATCGTGGAGGACGAGATTCTCAACTTTGACGCCCTCGCCAAGCTCGAGACCGCCGCCGGGCACGTTGTGATCAAGACCGTCGAGGCGGCGCCGAAGGACAAGGTGCAGGTAGGCATCATCCCGCAACACGGCTGGCTCCGCTTCTTCAGTGCGCGTGAGGCGCTCGGTCGCGAGGCCGCTTCCCTCCCGGATCCCGGCGCGCCCCTCCGTCGCTCGGGATTCCGCTCGCTCGAGAACAAGGACGCCTGGTTCGCTTACACTGCCGAGACAAGGGGCGACCAGAGCCTCCGCCTTGTGCTAAACTGGGTCCAGGGACCCGTTCAATGGAAGGATGTTGAGCGTGTTGCGCGCGCCGAGAAGTGCAAGGAGGTCGAGCTCTGGGGCGGAAGTGAGGTCTGGGACGCTGAGGCGGGCGGTCCCCGCCTCGAGGACGACGACCACATCCCCTGCCTGGCGCTTTACGGCGAGGGCGAGTGGAACTGGAACTACTGCGTTCAGTAAGTGCCTTCGGGTTGTATGATGCTGACAGACAGCTGCTTCTGGTGCTGAACTCTCGTCAACGGAGCGGGTACAACAGCTCATGTGGACCCAGTCGACGCAAGAAGATCATTCTTCCGACCCGAGCAATATCGGTCTGTACGCTCCGGCAAACTGCCCGAAAACCGTCCGCTCAATCGACATCCGGAACACATATATGAAGATGCATCTACAAATTTACTCCTCAAGCCAAACCTGCGGTGCGGCCGGGAACCAGTTCACCATCTCCTCGCCCTGGAGCGCGCTAACATCCAGCCCCAACGCCGCCGGATCCTCATTCACGGGGAACCATGCAGAGAGATTGAGTTCCTCAGGCCAGCTAACGTTGTTCGCCTGGGGCACGCCTGCGCCTCCAATCTGCCCTGCGGCCTGCACGGGATCGTGCCACGGGAACGGGTTGAAGCCCGGGTACTCCGTGTTCGCAGCGAGGGTGGCGGCGAGGCTTTGCGAGTCGTCCATCGGCGACGAATCCGTCGTCATGCGCGTGGACGGCAGCACGCCCTGTTCCCGCGCCTTGCGTAGTGTGCGCCGCAGGCCGTCGCTGAATGGCTTCACGGGATATACGGGCAGCTTGAGCAGAAGCTTGTCGATGTTGAGCGAGATCTCATGCAGGTCGCACGCCGTCGGGAGGAGCTCAGCCATGCGGATCAAATACCGCGCTGTGGCGACGATACCTACGTCTGGGAGTCAGCTGTGTCATTTTGTCGGGTCACTCACAGTAGTTGTGATTGCCGAACTCGGACTCCTTCTCAAGTCTCTGATTCGCAAGCGATCCGACCAGGAAGGCGCCGCTCCGCATCGCCTCCTGAATCCACTCTCTGCGCTCGGGCGAGAGACGGAAGACGTCCTCGCGCTTCAGCACGCCGTACCAAGCGGAGCTGTTCGCGTACATGAGGCAGTAAGCCTTCTGATTTTCGAGCTCGATCATGAGGAAGTGGTCCCGCTCCAACCCCTGCTCCTCGTAGTACGACAGCCAGTGGGCGTACAGCTCCTTGATTCCGTTGTTGGCGCGGCGAATTCCGGCATCAATCTCGCTCGGGTGCAGCATCGCGATACTCTCCCAGGGTCTGAAGGCGATCTCGCGCTGTTCGCACATCTCACACGCGATCACCAGACGGGAGTCCAGTGGCGTGCTGTAGGGGTGGTCGATGAGTTCGCGCGCGTATTGCAGTCGTTGCGGGGAGCCAAACTGGATAGGCAGCGAATGGTTGAAGCTCATTTCGTATGAGAGACGGACAATCGCAAGCCACGTCCTAGCACCGACGACGAGGGGACGCTGCCGCTCCAGCAACCGGTCGGGGTGCCGCGAATCCTTCCTGATCTTGTGCAGATAAGGCAGGCAGCGATACAGCCGCATGTCAACGGCAAGACTCATGACGTGGCAGCACGTCCGCCAAGCGTGCTCAGAGTACGAGATCATGGTCACAAGCCCCTGCACCGTCTCTAGCGTTGCGGCGGGCGAGAACAACGTCTCCTTCACCATCTTCTCAGCCTCGGAGCGGATGCGCTGGCACACGTCCGACTTGACGCCACTCAGGCTCTCGCCGTGGTGCAGCGCAACCATGAGGATGACTGTGACGCAAAACGGGGATCTTCGCATGAGACTGTCGTACGTGTCGTGCTCGGGGTCGAAGACGGGGATGAACGGATGCGCGTACTTGTAGAAGCGGGCGAAGAGGGCCCGCGCTTCCGGTTCGCCGATCAAGCCCGAAGAGACGGGGTCGACGAAAGAGTGCCGCAGCGGGTCGCCGCGCTCGTGGATCGGCGAGTGTGTCCATTCTCCCGCTTGCTCGTTTGTCTTGCGCTTCTTTGGCCGCGGCGCCCCACCGGCGGGCAGGCTGCCGTGCTGCTCGATGAAGTGCAATTCCTCCTCCTTCCGTGTGAAGTGACGGAACGGTTCACCCTCCATCGCGCTCTCGAGCATGTCGTCTGCGCTAAGCGGTGACGAGGACCGCGACGCTGGAGGCTCGGGCTCCTTCGGCTCTGGCGGGTCCGGCAGGACCGCCATGCTCATCACGCTGCCCGTCGAGGGGAGCGATGGCGGCGGCGGAGGCCGGAACGTCCCATGGTTCTGCTGCGGCGTGTGCTGGTTCAGAGGCGTGTGCGCATGTGTGTGGTTGTGGTTGTGGCTGTTGCTGTTGCTGTGGTGGTTCGAATGGCTCGAGTGCGAGTGCAGCTGAGCCCGCGGCGAGAGGATGTCGCTCTGCGCTGCCGGCGTCGTGCTCGTTGGCGGTCCTGCCAAGCGCGCAAGCACGCTGGTCATCTCGTCCAGCTTCTTGTATATCCCCGACACGTGCCCTTCGAGCTGCTCGATACGTCTGTTCGTCAGCAGCACGCCTTTGCCGACGATAACCGGTGCCGGTTGAACTCTCCGGTATCGGGGTCACACTTGGAAAATACACAGTCCGACGTTGAAGAGCTCACAGCCTAGGCGCTGCCATCTCGCCCCCCATGCAACACCAACCAACGTCTTCAGCCGTTGACAGAGGTACTCACGACTTGGTCGCCTCTGTCTCCTCGATCATGCCTCTCGGCACAGGTCCCATCGCGAACCGGCAAGGGATGCGCATGTTCTTGCAGCGTTTACATGGCGGATGATCCTTTCCGACACATTTGATCTTCATTTTGCGGCACGCATCGCAGGCGCCTGTCTGTCAGCATGGCTCTCCGGCAATAGTCGCTCCGCCGCCGAGACATCGCGCGGTGGAGGAGCTGGGGTTCGGGGAGGGCGTTGATGGACACTCCGCCGTCCACGAAGGAGTGTCGGCGCTGATAGGTCACTCACGCGACGGCGCTTCTACGCGCGCACTGGTGTCGTACACGACCTCGTCGAAGCCCTCCTCTGAGGACATGGTGGATGTTGTTGTTCTGAGATGCGGATAACGGCTACGTGCTTCTGACCCTCGTGGCTGACCTCTGACAGTCCTAACTTGTCCCTTGTCCTGGCCTCATGTGGCCGCCGGTCCTCGTGATCAGGTGAATTAGCCGCCCCTTCTACGCCTGTTCTGCCTGTTCTACCCGTGCATGCGGGGCCAGTGTGCGGCTGACTCGACCCCAGACTGCGTTTCTCGTTGGCTCCATGGGCTTCCCCAGACATTGCACGATCTATCTGCCCTATCATTGAATGCAGATGCAGCGATGCGGCGTGGAATGTCGCGACGCGATGTTACCCAGTCGATAATTCAGCAGTTGGTACGGCAGCACGGCGCGTGAGGGGAGAAAGGCACCCGCGAGATGACAAGAGACCGATTCGGGCGTGAACCCAGCACGGCCAATCATCGGAGCCCCTCCGAGTGGGCGGGTGGGGGCCGAAGCCAGTGCCGCAAGACCCCCAAACTTCCATCTGCCCATCTGCGCGTAGCATGCAGCACGTGCCGGCGGGGCGTACCTGCCGGTCTGAGCGGACTGATAGCAGCGACGGGGTCAAGTTTGGCAATGCTGAGGTCAGAGTGATCTGTACTGCTCCTCTTAAGAATATCTCTGTCACTAGGCGATTTCATGGTGATCCCCTAGTCGATTTCGAGGCCTTGGCATCCTTACGGTAAGAGACGGTAGTCAGGCATTCAGGCAATCCCGCAATCCGCACGTTGCGCAATCCGCTGACTAACCCCTCTGATGCCCGATCAAATGAGTACTCGTCACCGAGCATTAATCAAACGCTCTTAGGCAGGTATGCGGAGCATCTTCAGCCCACCTTTAACTCATCACTCACCTCCTACTCACTATGTCGTCAAAGATCGAGCACCCAGGTCATCCAAAGGAGAGCCTTCCCGTGACGCAGGCGGTCCCCGTCCTCGACCTCTTCAAGCTCGCCGGCGAGACCGCGCTGGTAACTGGAGCTGGACGGGGCATCGGTGCCGCGATCGCAACTGCACTCGCGCAAGCAGGAGCACACGTCCTACTTGCCCAGCGCGATATCAGCAACACGGCGACATACGACTCAATCGTCAGCCAGGGATGCAAGGCGACGCTGGTGCAAGGTACTCTTTCGACTCCAGAGGATTGCGAAGCTCTCTGGTCCTCCGCACTCGCTGCTTCCGACAACGGCATCCAGATCCTCGTAAACAACGCAGGCACTGGTGGCTGGTCCCTCGCCGTGGACGAAAAGCCGGAAAACTGGGACAACACCATGAACGTTAACGTGAATGCGTTGTTCCATCTCTCTCGATGCGCTGGTCGACACATGATCGAGGCCGGCAAGGGCGGCAGCATCGTGAACGTGCTCAGCATCCTCAGCTTCCTGGGCGGATACGGCATGAGCGCCTACGTCACGAGTAAGACGGCGGGAATTGGTCTCACGAAGAGTCTCGCGCTCGAGTGGGCGAAGCATGGCATTCGCGTGAATGCCATCGCTCCAGGAAGCACGCTGACGGATATGTGAGTGGTAGGAGGCAGTACATGGGCTGACAACAGGAACCTCCGTCATGCTCAGGACAAGGAGCTGTACGAGGGTCGCATCAAGAACATCCCTGGTGGACGATGGGCCGACCCTCTCGACTACGCCGGACCAGCGGTGTTCCTCGCTTCGAGCGCCAGCAACTACGTCACAGGCGAGGTACTCATCGTCGATGGGGGAGCGATTGCAAAGGGCGCGATCTAGGACAATACTAAAGATAGTTGCATTCGGATGTGACACTGTACAACGAGCTTAGGACTTCTACACTGCTATTTCGCTAACTTAACATGGGCCCCTAACCCTTACTCGTAGAGCTCAGGCTCGCGGGTCTGGATAACTTCAGCCTCACCCTGGAAGGAGAAGTAGAGCGCGCCGGGGTTCTGGATAGTGGAGGCAGTGAACGCGGCATCGTCGTCGTCAATGATGACCTTCTTGATGCCGTTGGCCTCGGCGGCCTCAATGGCGAGCTGGATCTGGCACTGCTTCTCGAGCAGAGAGAACGTGTACGCGACCTCGTCGACGGTCGAGCCAATAGTGAGCAGGCCGTGGTTCTGCAGAATCGCGCAGCGGTTCTTGGGTCCCAGGGCCGCGGCGATGTTGGCGCCCTCCTCTGCCGCGAGCACGACTCCACCGAAGCTCTTGTAAACGGCCTGGTTCTCGTAGAAGATGCACGAGTCCTGGTTCGTGATATCGACAGGGCGGCCGAAAGCGCTCCAGGCCTTGCCGAAGGTAGAGTGGCAGTGGCCGATAGCCTCGACTTCGGGGCGAGCCTTGTGAATCGACGAGTGGATATAGAAGCCGGCGGCGTTGATCGGCTTCTGGGCACCAAGAGTTGGGTGGACGTAACCCTCGGGAGTCACGAGGACGAGGTCACTCTTCTTCATGAGCTTGAAGTGCTTCTGGAACGGGTTCATCCAGTAGTGCTGCGAGGGTCAGCCATGGACATCTTAGAAAGGCACACTCCGATTAACAGGCTCCCACCTCCATTCCACTTCATCGAACCGCCAAGGGCGCCTGGGCACGTCACTTTCCCTCGCCCCCAGTTCTGGGCGCCACCTCAACCTCGCTAGCGTCCAAAATGCTCCTCCATCTCCTCCCTTTTCAGCAGCCATCGAATTTACGCATTTTCGTGCCACTGTTGACTTCTTCCACCCTTCCTCTTCTTCACGAGCCGTTTTCTCATTACTCACGTCGCGCAAAATAGGATCCTTCACTGTAATGTGGCCTGCAACCCCCTCACCGAAACCCAGCGCTCCCCAGTAACGGAAAGCGATAACGAGGTGCTCCTTAACCCATTCACGGTTCAGAAGAAGAGACTCTTCGTCGTTCTTCATGACGAAGTCGGGAAGGACTTCCAGCTTGATTTTGCCCTCCTTGTCGCCGCGAAAGGTGCGATTGATCGCCTCCTTGGGCAGGTTGGCCGTGGACTGCTTGAACTCCTTCTTGGGCTGCTCGGCGGGCGCGGGCTGCGCCTGCTGCTGGACTGCCATGGGAGCCATGTTGATGGAAGTGTGGGAGGTCGTGTGGGGTGATTGAGGGGTGCGCTTTTCGGGTTCCGTGCAGGGACGTTCCAGTCGGGGAGTCTGTGCTGTGTTCGAGAGACAAAGAATCGAGAGTGACAGTCGAAGCTCGAGTGAGAAAGTGTCAAGACGCAAGAGGAATGCTGCATGGCGCGATGTCGCACGCTCTTGTATAGCCTTGGTGAGCCTAGCTGGCCGTCGGGCGACCCCGAGAGCTTAACCGACCAACTAGCCCAGACGGACGTGGCCGATGTGGGGCTCACGGGTGGGCAGTGGACCCAGCTCCCCACCCAGGATGAATGCCGCACTCCTGACCGGATCTTTGATTGCCGAGATTCCAATTGCATGCGTGTCGATTCGTGGAAGATAATACAACGACCTGCTTGCACGGGCGCCGTCGTCACATCCCGCATTGCTCTGCATCGGTCTATTCGTATTGATATCAAAGCCACCCTTGCTGGCCGACGGAAAGGACTCAAAGACCGCATTAGGTGGGGCAGCGTTCGGCACACAAAGACACCGGTTACCAGCCAGCAAATCACGTCCGACAGCATCGTGAACATCGCGGAGGTTGGAGCCCGTTCCAGGCTCGATGATGACCGCAGGTGTTGTGTCAGCCACCATGGTCTGGGTCGGTGGGTCTGCAGTACGAAGCGCTGATTACAGTCGGAAGAAGCAGCTTCGGGAGGAGCGTTGCTCTCCGACCTCTGATCCAGTGAGGTGGTGCCTCCGACATGCTAGGCTCTTTCAGTCCCCCGCAGGGGTTTGACCATCACGACGCTTCGTTAGACAACAGCTCTGATCTCCTGGACATGCTTAACCTACCGCTGTTCGACCCATTGTGCAGCCGACATGTGGACTCACAGTGACTGCAGCTCAGAACTCGGACACTGACGTATATGCCGAAGTACAGCGCGCACTGACAACTTAGGAGCAGCCGAGGTGGTCGCTCGGGAGCGCTTGATAGGCGGAGTGCTCGCTGCGATCAGCAGGAGATACTGCGGTCCGTCCCGCAGTGCGCTGCTGTCGTATCATGACCAACCCAGATCTGTATGTGGATTGAATGTGCCGAGCCTAGTGTGGATCATGTGGGGGAACCATCCATGGAAAGGTTCGTCGAAATAATCGTATGCCGAAGCCTGTATTCGGGGCATTGAGCTGCGCTCGGCTGTTAGTGTGATTGCGGCTCTGTTTCGTCGGTGCTGAAGAGGCATTTTCAGTTCTCATGATCAATGTCCGGGGTGCTACTCAGTTGAACGATCAATGGGCCACTCTGGGATCTTGGGCCGGAGGAGCGCAGAATCGGCTGCGCGTCGTTGGCGCGCCGGACGGCTCCACTTCGCGCATCAAGTGGCCTCAATGGATCAATGGGGAAGTTAGGGCCCCGAGCTGGAGTCAGTAAGAGCAATGGAATCACGGACTCCCACGAAGACCATCACACTCGATAACGTGCTCGCCAGGAGGGTCGATGTGCCGGAGCCCACGGGTGAAACGCCGATGAGAGCTTTGGAGGCCGTGGGGCACCTTAGCATTGAAAGGTATTTCACTGCGGTCCGATCGGATGGCCGCCAGAGTTCATTGCCGAACGGTGTTCGTGTAAAGAGGAGCCGTCGGCCGCGGATCCTCCTGTGAATGACGGCTGCCGGAGGTCGTATCACCCCTCACCTTCGCTCGGCTCTTCCAATTCCAAAGGTCAGGTAGGAGCGAGCTCCTCAGTGTATCCAGGAAAGGTGAGCAATAGTCAGTTGGATTAGTCGGGCGCCGACTCAAGCAGACGAAGAACGAAGCACGACAGAGTGGAAAGTCAACCTCAGGAGTTGAGTCAACTGTACTCAACCCGCGGTGCCGATCACCCGGTCAGTTTCAGCGGTACAGTCTTCAACATCAGCCCCCGCTGTCACGGCTACACTTTATGCCGTCAATGCATATTAGCATCAGATGGGAACTGCAACTGGCTCGATGGGCACCGACATGTTGTGCGTCTCGCGTCCACTGCGTGAGTACGGCATGACTCACCTCGGCCCGCATACAATCAGCTGTGCTGGCCTCTGAACCACCTGCTCCGGTGAAGACGGATGCTTTGGGTGGGGGGATCAATACTCTATCCTCGTAGCGACACTGACGACTGTCCTTCCCTCAAAGGCTCGCATCAATGTGCATCTTTCATCCCGTGAGCTGTCCCGACAGCTACCCTGGCAGAACCCGCGACATCGACTACATCTGCTGTGAGCGTTCCTTTTCCGGACCACCACTGCTGTTAGTGTGTTGGAGGTGAGAGTTTCCGAAGAGTCACAGCGTTACCTAGCCTGAAGCGAAGACCGTCGGCGCTCTGTGGAGCACGCCCTCGAGGACTCCGTTTGGACGGCGTTGTCATCCGCTGTCCGCCCGGCGCCCCACGCCTGCCATAATCCCACCGAGCGCGTGGACACTCCGCAAGCGTCAATCGTTTGAGACTGAGACAAACGTTGCTCCACCGCTTAGCATCTTGTCGTGATCTAGGGTTATCCGGGTTGACTTCAATCTGCAATCGTCTGGCGAGACCGAGCGCCGCTCCAGCAAACCGCTCGCCGATCGCATCTGGCAGTCGGCTCCGCCTGCACTCCGGAACACGGGCTGCCTTCTGGCGGCGTCCCACTATCACTGTATGGGATTTCCACTTTCCATGTCCCAATGCCAGTGTCTTACTGTCGTCGGTATGGTGCAATAGCTTGTCCTGCTTTAGTTCGATCTCATCCAGCCGAATTCCAGAAGTCCAGGATGGTCGATGATATAAGTGCGGTATCTACAAAACGGCCAGATCTGGACTTACGGCTCCATTCTCAGGAATCGCCAGCAGGGGAAGTATGTACGCTCGTGCAGTGGGTGACGGTGTTTCAAGTTGAGCATTCAGACAAGGACGATATCGTAAGCTGCCTGCCTCCCCCGACGACAAGACTGCACGACGCTGTGGCGCTCTGACGTCACCCCACCCAATCCTCGACCTTTCTCTCTGGCTCTCGAGCTTCTCGGTGCTGCGAGGTACAGCGACCAACGTGATGCACTGGCTTCCAGGTCCAAGCTCTATTTGTTTGTGTGAGTGTACCGCACTGCTGGGATCCACACCGACTGCGTCCCATGTGGTACGATGCCAAAGAAGCTTTGGAGGAACGAGGGAAGCTCTTCGCTCGCGGTCACTTTGTTTACATGTCATGGAAGGGCCTTCGGTGCTTCTACGTCTTCTTTTGTCGTTGCCTCAGCCTCACCCACTGACAGCGCAGCTCAGCCTAACAGCACCGGGATCGTTCCTGCGATCGAAGCAATGAATGAGTCGGGCGGAATGCCGTTGCCACATTTCCAGCCTAGCCCGATTAGTGCAATCTACATCAGATCGGAAGCGAAACCGCCTGCCTGCCAGTTCATTCGTATGCACGAGGCGGATGGGCATGCACAGCGAGCTTCCAATACCAGCAACCAGTAGAGAAGCACCTCATTCTACCTCCAGCTGATTAGACTTTTGGGCCAGCACTACCAAGGGAAACAGACCTCGAGCCCAACTCTCTCGAAGCCGTCCATCGAGACGGAGCGTACGTGCTCCCTTGATAGAGTTGGTCGCCGACAGCAGGTGTCCAACGCTGACCCGGATTTTGTCATGTTCTGCACGCATTAGAGTTTCCGGCCAGCACTGATTCGACGAACACAACAGTGCATCCGGCGGACATTGCGTGCATGGTAGCAAAGCTTGCTAGAACGCCAGAGTTCAGCAACCGAACCCAACGGACCGACGTGCCGTAAGCCTTCCTTTGCTTCGATCACCGCTGAGTGCGCTGGGAATGAGAACGGGCGAGGTTGGCAAGGTACGCTCGGAGGCACTCGTGATCGCTCAAGCTCTCGGTCTTGTTCGGATTGGTACGGCATCCCACGCCATGCGCAGGCTGCTCTTATTGCTTACTTTCGCATCTCTCGTATCGAGTAGAAACTAGCGCTGAACCAGGTTTCGGTGCCAAATCTGGCCCGGAATGCAATGGGGAACGGCGCCGGCTTCGCCGGCAGCCCGACAGCTGCATGTGCATGCGCAGAGCTGTGGCGTGCTCACTTCGGCGGTGGGAAGAGGGTGTTTTTGTGGAGTGTGAGTGTGAAACAGTGCAAGTGGCTTCACGCGCTTCGCGAGCGACGCATGCAATGAAGCCATAACGCGCTATGGTGGCCCAGTGGGCTCCGCACTGCCCGAGCGCCAGTGAATGCCCACCGGCATATGTATGCTGGGCTCTCGGCGCACCGGCTCACACACGATCGTACGGCCGCGCTCGGCGCCTCGGCGCCTCCCCTATGCGGCCAGCCCAAGACGATCGCGGCAGCCGAACGTCGGAATGGGGATCGGTGTTCTAGCTCTGCCTCGGCCTTCCAGCGGCCACGGCACGGCACGGTTTCAACACTCTTTCCCAAAGGCCCAAAGCGGACAGCAGATCCAGCTACGGCCCAATGAGCTACGCTCGCCAGAGAGTAACATTGCGTCTTTGAAGCTGGTGGCTCAGAGTGAGTTCAAGCCACTATTTGATGGTCCAGCGGTTATGATGCTCACGTCATCCTGTACAGTGAAAGAGCCTGCGCGGGCTGTGAACGAGTGAACGATGGCTTCATTTTCGCCAGCTCTGGCCCAACCGCCGTCTGACATGGTTGGACAGATCTGGGGGCTGCATTCATTTGGACATTGCAGACTTGAACCGGAAGGTTGCGAGTGGGATCTCAATTCGGTATAACCATTCGCAGACGGCCGCTACGGTTCAGAGAATTGTCTTACTCTGATTCTGACGGATCTGGGTGCACTTCAATCCCCGCATGCAAGAACGGCCGTCGTCCGCTCAGTACGCAGTGAGCCAAGCTGCCGAGCCTCCCCGCACTCATGACCGTCGGTGTTCACTGCGGTTGGAGACGGATAGATTACCTCGACCCACCCACTCTTCCTCGAGCTCTAATCGAACTAAGCTATTCACCCATCTTGTAAACCGAAACTCTACATAACTACAGTTAAGCTTGGTATTCGCCCTTGGGTGGTGGGCTCCACCGATGTATAAGTACGGCGCATGTATGGCGAATTAGTCACGAGCTCATAGTCATGTACGGTGGGCGGACATGGCATTCATGCGCGCATGCGCGCAGCGCCTGCCGCAGCATGATTCTGCTGGGTTAATTAAACCTACCAAGACAATTCAGCTGCATGGCCGAGGGGCACGAGAGCTACGAGAAGCCAGTTTTCATGGTCGCCAAGAGGAGTCACGAGTCATGGCTGGCATGGCCGGCATGCCTCGATGTCAGCATCGGGCCAGCCGGTCAGCTAGAAGCGAGCATACCATGCGTTCCAGTTGAGGATGGGTCGGCTCACTGAGCGCACCTGCTGCGCATCACCGGGCCGGGCGTGTGAGGCGCGCAAGGGAAGCGCCGGCCTCAAGCGGGCTCTGTCTGAGACACAGTGGGCTCTGCGCTCTACAGCTCTGCATGCAAACGATCACTGAGTTTCACATGCAGCTCAACTGGGACCCATGATTGCAGGGCGCGGGGTCGGGCAGCCGGTCTACTCCTTGGAACTCTTGGCTTATCCGTGAGCGGCCAAGGTGGGTCTGCGGTGAGTTGTGCCTTGTCAGCGTTGTGCTTGGCGACTCGTTTTGGCAGCCGCTTGGCCGTATGCCGCTTCCTCTGGAACCGGGTGCCGCACTGAGAGCAAAGCTAAACCCGGCTCGCATGCTTGTAATGTTCAGGAGAGAGGATAGGGACACACCCGGTCGAGGGGTCATGGAGCTGAGTCGCAGGGTCAGTCGCAATGTCAGCACCGGTGGATCCTGCGTGCGGTGAGGGTGCCTTGAGCCTTACACTGGCCTGTATGCGCGTCATTGCTGACTCCACCGGCACGTACCACGGACACTATGGACGCTACGGACATTGACATTGTGGGCACCACCTTGCTGCGCCTGACTTTCCGGGAGATAAGGGATAGGGCAAGGCATGCGGACCAAGCGAGAAGGCAGAATCTGCGCAGACGCAGTCGATTGCATGCCCGCACGGAGTTCTCAAGCTTCTGTGCATGGCATCGAGCATCTGTCGGCATGTTCACAAGCCATATCCGTGCCAACGTGCCAAGTTCGGAAGCACGGATGCGCGTGTCGCGTTCTGGCCGGTCGGGCACAGGGGCGATCTGGCCCACGGCCTTGATGGTGCGCACAGACTCCCCGGTGGCTCGGGCCAGAACCTAGCTGTCACCCATTGTCACGGCGTTGATGAGCGATGAGGTGCTGAGACAGCCGTGATGAGCACCCGGCCGAAGATAGGGCATGCCGGGCACACTTGGATGTGTGCAGGGGCTTGGGAGCACAGCAACTAAGCGCAGGGGTAGGGGTGGTTAAGGCTAAAGAGATCGGCAGCCCGGGTACCGAGGGAGACCTAGGGAGTGAGACTGGCTATGCCGCCGGCCTGCGCCGGCCTATGGGTAGTGGTCGCCGTTACATTCCAGTTCCACTCGGCCCTGCGCAGGACTAAGGTCCAGGAATGCCTTTAGTAAACCAGGATAATGCCAGGTTAATCAGGATCCCACTGTAATATGCGGCCTTACAGTTCCTGGCAGAGTTCTTATGAACACCGCCTCGCGGGCGCGAGTGTGGGGAAGGATGCATGTACGGGTGGCGACTCCGAGCTTCCATCGGGCAGCGAAGGGAGCGTGAGTAACCCCGCGACGGCGTTTGGGACGTGTCCGCGTCTTCCTCGCGGCGTCGGTGTAGTGAGCGGAGCGGACTGGCGGAGGGTCTGGCGGAGAGAGAAATTAGGCTACGGACATGTGAGAATGTCTAGGCACCCTGCAACTTGCCGCTTCCCGGATGGCATGGCGAGCAAGGAGAGGAGATCTTGAAGGAGGGCGGAGGAGGTGCCGTGGTGGCCGGTGTGCCGGTGAGGTGATCAGATGACGATTGTCAGGCTGCTGACTACAAGCTCGAGCGCAGGCTGGGAAGTGTATGCATGGCTGGGTGGGAGTAGCAATGAGCAGTGGGCGTGGTGGGAATGACGTATGACATCGATGACTTTGCGATCAAGTGGACCCTGAGGAGCGTGGGGTTCCTGGGCTGTACCCTGAAGACTGCAGGACTTCGTGAGTGCTCTTTTCTGGCGCAGCTGGGTTCGAGGATCGGAGTCAGGGTCCGTCTGTCGCTAACTGTCGTTTGAGGTTAGATTGGCCCTGAGCGACTCCTCGTCCTCCGGGTCCCCCTTCCATGCGATTCCTGCTGCTGTTCCCCTTGGTCCCCCTGTCCTTCTGCATCGTGGTCCCTGCTCCTGGCCCCTGCTCCTGGCTGATGAGCGAGCGACAGCTGACTGTGTCTGCACGACGCCGCATGAGCATGGGTGCTTGGGACGCTGCAGCCGTGCAGCCTGCAGGCACACGCTTGACTACAGCGCCATTCCATTTACACAGGTGATCGCTTCTCTTCTACAGCTACTACGGCTACGGCTACGGCTCGGATGCATTCATTCACTACGCAGCCCCCTCCCTCCTGTAGCCCCAGACCCGGAGCCACCTCCGGGCCCACAGCCCTGGTCCCGGGGCCATACTGGAGCGACTAGCAGCAGGCTAGGCTCCTTAGAGCGAGATCAGAGTGATCACGAGCGAGTTTCATTGAGCCCCAGTGAGCCCAGCAAGCCCGGTCGGTGGCCACCGCTCGTTTCTGTCCAGTCGAGCCAGGGGCTGATTCTTGCAAACTGGGCTGGCTGGCTGGCTGTGATCAATGACAGCATCGCCTGCTATCTGCCCGAGTCTCACCCCATACGCCCCTTTCCTCCTCCCTGCTCTCACCCTGGACCGTTGCCCTGCCCATACCCACCGACTGAATCCCACCGCATGACCTGACAATACAGTCATAGACCCGTACCCAATACCCATACACTCTCCGCGCCGCACCACGCCGTCGCATCCCTCCTTCCCTCGTCATCGTCTTTGCATCTCCTTCAATCTCACCGGGCCATCTCTACTCTCGCAAACAACAACACACCCACACACATCACACACACGCTCGGCAACGACGACGACACAGTTTTTAACGACCCTCGCCCCCCTTCTCCGGCACTGACCCAAAACTCTATTTTCCGCGGCAGGATCTGCGCTCACCGCACCGACACTGTAACACCCCCCTCTGCCGCTGCCGCTGAGCGGACTCACCCCTTCCCCAGCTTCCGCCTGCTATCACCGCTTCTATCGCCGCCGCCCGCGTCGAACAGCCGCCCAGGTGCCGTGCGATCATCACAGTTGCCTCAGTCGTACTACGCCCGACGCCCGGTCACCTTGCATACGAAAACTCGCCGACGGTGCTGCAAGCAACAACAGCGGCGAGCAAAAAAATCAGTCCATCGACGAGACCACCAGTTCCTTGTAGGCTTTTTCGCCTTGGCAACGACCGACCGGACCGCCTCCCCCCGTCTCCAACACCTTCCCTGCCAGTTCCACATTGGCCTACGGCTGTCCCTGTACCGCCCTTGACGACTTGCGGTTCCTCATTCCACCCAGACCCTTCCCTGCAGAGCAGCCAGTGCATCGATCGACCGACCGTCCCACAACTCCGACTCTCACTCCTCGACTTTGTATCTTTATCTTTCACCGCATACCCCATACACATTTCTCGGCCTAACGACCTCGAGGCCTCGACTAACCCAGCCGCCGATTCCGGACGACCCAATACACGGCTGGAACCAGGAAACAAAATCCAAATCCCACGGGCGGCCGAAATAACTCGACGGACGAAACACATCCACTCTTCAGTACCTGGCTCAATCTGGTCCTTAGCCTGCTCCTAGGATCGGTAACGCAATCGCCCAGCGTTCTCCTGGCCAATACAATACGAAACATCAAAGTGAGTACCCGCACGTTTTGCATCCCCGCATTGCTTCCAGTGACTCGGGTTCGCGTCCTGTTCCCATTTTGGCGTACGCGATGGTGTGAGGCCGCGTCGATGACTTGAGTTGAGACCGCTTGCCCAGTCTGGTTAGGTTTCCGCACATCCATTCCACATTCTGTACGACCACCTATCCGTGTGTCATGCGCCAAACGGACGCTTGCATCAGCCAAAACTCGACCCAGCCCCAGCAACCCGCTCCGATCGCCGTGGCACGTTTCTTTGCGCTAACGAGCTGTAGCACGGTAACTGCCCATCACTCCACCCACCAGAACGCATCGTGAACGACGTGCAACTCTCAAAACAAGAGCCTGTTCTTGAACAACGCATCATATCTGGACAGTTCAGATTCCCAGCCACCGAATCTCAGCTGAGCGAGCAGCACCGACAACCCTGACGTTCAATTCCACCAAGCCCACCGCCTCCCACCTACCCAGCATCTCTTTCGCTTCTTCCTTGATTCCGATTGCGCTGGGCTCACACCGAGTCCAAAAGGACACCCGGGTTGACACTATGGCTGTGCTTCGAGGCCCGTCTCCCTCAAAATCTCGAGGCTCAGGCTCAGGCTCAGGCTCAGTCCTGTCGGTCCCTGCTCACTCCCCTCCCCCGCGGTTAAGCCTCGATCTCGGTCCGCCGATATTCGAGGAGCACAGGTCGAACTCGCCCTTCCGATCCGCCTCCCCTTTCAAAGTCGGCGCCGAGCGAACAGGCTCCCCGGCTCCCAGCTTCCACTCGGCTCGGTCGACGTTCTCAACTAGGTCTGGTTCAGTCATGGACCGACCGCGCCCCATTCCCTCCATCACCATCCCAGAAGCGACCGCAGAATCACCATTATTTTCGGCCTACCCCATCCTCACGCCAGAGCCGAAAAGTCCACCGATTGCCCCGCCACAGCCCCAGAAGGACGCAGACACGCCCGAAGCTGAAGACGCCCCTTCGAGCTCATCTGAGCACTCTTCTGCGACTTGGCCGAGACGTCGCAATCTCCCATCGAACTCTGCCCCCCAATGCTGCGACGAAAACAAGCTCGACGCCTCTCAGGGTGCCAGCAGCAGTGGATCGGGATCCAGCTCTGCGCTCACTAACCTGGGCCAATCTTCGCGGACAGACTCTACACTAAGTCTGACGCGCCGGAGATCTACCAGCGTCGTTGGCCTCATCAAACGTGCTCAAGAGGCGGCTTTCGGTATCCAGTCCCCACCCAAGCCTGGTCACCTGCGGAGGGCGTCGTTGAACTCTGGCGATTTTGCAGACTCGTCTTGTATCCGTCCGGTCGAGTCGGTTGGTCAGCTGGACACAATACCCTACGGGTACGGTCGAGACGCGGCGGCCGACTATACACGCCAACCGCCCATCTCGTCATCCATCGATCAGCCGCACGCGCTCGGACTGTTGACCGGTCTCAGTGACGACAAGCCACTCTTGGACCTCGAGGGTCTGACGATCACTCCCCGCAAAGAGACCCAGGAAGAGGTGCTCTTTGACCGGGAAGCGGCCCAAGCGGATGGCGCCTCGTTTGTCTCGGAACCCTCGACACAGACCTCCCCATCGGTCATGACCAAGTCGCTTCCTTCCACCAAGACGTCGCTTTCTCGCAGCGCTCGCAGTGGCAAGGAGGGACATGAGGAGCCGCCCCAGGCCGACCTATCGATGACGGCTCGAGTCCTGCTGGATAAGCGACGCATGATCCTTCTCGAGATTGCTGAGACTGAAGTCACCTACGTGCAAGACCTGAGGAGCCTGGTACAGATCTATCTCCCTCAGCTTGCGGCTCTTCCTCACGTCTCTGAAGGCTCGCTCCAGTTGATCGCGCGCAACACGAACGACCTGCTTGACTTCCACGTCCAGCTTGCCGCTCACATGGTTGACATTCTCAAGTTCCAAGGAATGGGCTATGACTATGCCGACCCCCAGACTGTCGAGAAGGTCACAAAAGAGTTTGCCGAACTCTTTGTCCGCGAAGAGACCAGCTTCACGCTGTACAACGACTTCTGCGCTGGCTCAACAGCTGCCGGCGCGTACGTGCGCACGATCGCGAGCCGGTCAGACTATGAGGCGTTCGAGAAGCGGTGCCAGTATGTTGCGTCAAACACGCCGCACGCAACATTGCGAGACATTCTCGCCGGCGCCCCTGCGCAGCCAACCCGGACTCGCTTACGCTTCAAGGACATTCTGATCACACCCATCCAACGCGTGTGCCGATACCCTCTCCTGCTGGCATCGCTTTCGGCTGATGTCAGCCGCGAGCTTCCCCAGAGCGAGGTTGTCGCCGAGGTGGAAAAGGCGCAAAACGTCATGCGCGCTGTCGCGGAAAACGCCGACGAGGCACGCAAGCGCAAGGAGGTCGAGCTCAAGTCTAACCTCATTGCTGAGCGAATGGAGAACAATGCCGCCTTGACTGCGGACTTTGTTCGGCGCTTGGGGCACTGCCGCTTCGTCGGCACCCTGGAGACCCTTTATCATCATCCGACGATCGCACCGCTCGACTCGTCGGCTCGCGTGCGCTACCTGGCGGCCTTCCTTTACCGTGGCTATTTGATCCTGAGCAAGGTCAGGCGTGGAAAGGTCTTCGACCCTTACCATTACATCCCTCTCGAGGTCTTTGAGATTGTCGACTTGACCGAAGGTGAGTTTTGTGTCACCGGCCGGATCGGACGGATCGGCTGGAAAGGTGACGTCATGCGATCATGGGAGTCCGGGCAGAATAATGCTAACATTCGTTTAGCTCAAGGATTCCTCAGCCACTCGATTCGTCTGAAGTTGCGCGATCACAATTTGGACATTGGATGCGCGTGCGATGCGGAGAAGGAGCTGTGGATTAGCGAGCTCGCCTCGGCAAGGGACGACAGCACTATGCCGCCGTTTGAGATGCCCTCGAGCATTTCGCTCGCGGTCCCTCGCACGCGGCACATGTCGATGGCCAAGGGTGACGGCGAGCGTCCACCTGCGCCTAAGCGTTACTCGTTCCTCGGGGACGGTGAGACGCCCTTTGTCATGCCCCGCACACCCAGCAAGCGTCACACGTTGCTGGGCGACGAGTTCAACATGAAGGGCTCCATGGAGCCTGTGCCTCCTATTCCCCGATCGACTTCGCTGCTCATGACTGCCGCGAGCCGCACAAGCCGCAAGCGGTACTCGGTGTACACGGGCGCGCCGGCCGATGAGGTGATGCAGACCGAGTCGCCGACGTCCCTCTCGCCGTCTCAGAGCTTTAATCGAGGGCCCCTCGTCTCGCCAATCCACTATCAGCTTATCGGTTAGCCGCCCCACGCTCCACGTCCGGAATCAGATCGACCGAGCATTGTCCGACCTCGTCTCGGACAGCATCGCGAATGTCCGTAACCGCGAGGCGATGGCGCGCCCGCCGTCCATCGACCCCCGCCGCAGCATTCTCGACGCAACGAGTCTGCGCCGGCGGCGCAGCATGGCCGAGATGAGTGGCCAGGTCAACATGGTCGCGGCGCACGTCAAGGGTGTTGTGCGATCCAAATCGCGGCGTACGTTCACCATCGGCGACAGCGAGAACGGCAACTCGTCCGGTGCCTCGGGCGAGACTGAGGTCCTGCCGAGCCGGTCGGCATCGTACACTTCGGTCACGGAAGCGGTTCCAACCCTGCACAAGCTCCACTCGTCGGTCTCGTTACGGCGCGGGTTCGGCCACAAGCGTGACGGCTCGAATGCCTCGATGATGAGCGCGTTCGAGCTTCCGCGCGCCAAGTCGGTCCCTTCCTCGCCGAAGACGCCGCGACGCAAGCCTCTCGAGGAGGTCGAGCACGAGGACGACTTTGTGCTGGTGCCTTCTGAGATCCCCGAGGGGGAGGAGCGCAAGTCGCCTCTGACCCGGTCTCTGTCGATCTTCACGCCTCGTCGTTCGCCTCGATCGCGTTCCAACTCGCGCAGCGCTAGTGCCTCCCGCTCTTCGTCGCCCTCGAAGGACTCGCCTCCGATGGACGAGTTTGGTGCCCCACTTCCGTCGACTGACGCACCGCGCCCAATGTCAAGACGCAGACGCTCGATCCGCTTCCTCGGCTTGAAGGGTTTCACCCCGATCTAACCAGTCCTCTCATCATTTCCACCATCTGAGCAACAGATTCAATTACTTGCACGCAACAATCAAAACACACACATTCCAACACCCCAGCACTCATATCCTGCATTTTTGTCCGAAGCATAGCCTATATCTTCGAAGCTCATCACACGCACAGCCTAATAATTGGATCCGGATTGTACTCTGTTGTTTATAGTATGCATCTCGTCGACCGAGCAGCGAGCCGCGAGGCGAGCGAGCCCGCGGTAGCGCGTGCGCGTGCAGTGCACTGACTTGAGAACTGACGACCGATACACCGAAGCCCGAAGAACAGGCAGAGTGGCGTCCGCAGATGTGTCTCAGGCCGATCTTCCTCTGCAAGCCACAGACGTAGCCGAAGCATCATGCATAAGCGCATGTGGAGTCATAGAGGTATGTGGGGCAGAACGAGAAGTGAGACTGGAGATTGGAGGCTGAAGATTGAGAGGCTGAGGGTTGAGAGGCTGAGACACCGGCCACGGCACGGTCATGGCCACGGCACGGCCCTCATCCTCTTCTTCATGGACATGAGCAGGGTTCGGACACTGCGCCTCCGGACACCGAAGCACGACGGACGAAGCACGGAAGTCTACAGAAGGCAGAAGGACGGGGACCAAGAAGGCAAGAAGTAAAGACCGAATGGCTTAGCTTCGGGGTGGAGCGTTTGTTCTATTCTTGGGACACGGGTTGGGTCGGTGGAACCTGGCCGGCGCGGGTCATGGGTATGAGATATCCCAGATCCAAACCTGGACAGCATGGACAGAGTGCCCACGACCACACTAGGAAGTACCGAGCGAGCACGAGGAGACCGGGACGTCAGGCTGAGTGAACGTGTCTACGGTCAACGATCGAAGACGCACGACGAGATCAGGAAGACGATCGAACGAGAAACGTGCCCCAGGGTTACCGGTTCGACACGAGAATATGGGAACTCGCTGCACGCTTCCATGCCTCCGTGCTACCCTTCTTGCCCCTTCTTCGCATCATGCATGTCCATGTCCTGACTGACGTAGTGAGATGACGCGCATGCTTTCGCCTCCCACTCCTCACCTCACCCTTGCCTTGCCGCCTGCCACTGTCGTCCGTATCACCTCAACTCCAGACATCCCCTCCTTTCGTCCGTCCCCTTCACTTTCATCCAACCACTTCTCCCCTTCATCAGTGCATAAACACACACACAACCCCGTCCATGCTCTCCTCGGTCAAAAGGTGCATTGAAAGATCGCAAAAAATGCTGCCCCACACGGGCTCGAACCGTGGACCTCGGAGTATGTTACGAATAACAGCTCCACGCGCTAGCCAACTGAGCCATAGGGCACTTTCTGACCACAGGCGATTTGGCCTGGTGATCACGTGGGCCGGCGGATTTCCGGATTTCCGCACCTCCGCTCTCGTCGTTATCTCTACCCAAGCATTGGTGAGATCGGACTTGCTTGCTGGAGCTAGCTCAGTTGCAGACGGTTGGGGGCGTCGGTGAGACCTGTGCGTCGGGACTGAGCACTGGCTCTGGCATTCTGGCAACTAGGTGTGTGGGGCGGGGGACCTGCGATGAGACAATCGGAGGCGGTGAAGAAGCGTTCGGGTGAGACACGAGGGGGCGTTGAGCTTGTCTGGCGCCCGCCCCCTCCGTGCCGTGCCTCCTCCACTTTCCCCATCCACTACGAGACTGCTACTCACTGCTCACTCTCTTCACTTGCTCACATCCAAAAGAAACAGCTCTCCAGCGCCTGAGCTGCTGAGAGGCAAAAGAATGACCTCTGGCGGGGTCGAACCGCCGACCTTATGCGTAAGACACAAGTGTTAAGCATACGCTCTAACCAACTGAGCTAAGTGGCCTTGGATGCTTTTCTGTTAGCTTCCTCCAGCGGCGGACAGGACCGGATCGAAGCCCACTCGAACGCGAATTCGGGCACTGCACTCCCCTCCGCTCGCAACCCTGACCAGGAGTTCTCGTAGTCTCGGCTTACAAGGTCAGTGTCAGAGTCAGCAAGGGTCAGTGACTGTAAGCGATCACCCCTCGGGCACCGTACGGATTCATAAATCTATGTACAACTCAATGAACAACAATGCACATGCAGTCGCGCTGCGACGATCCTCGATTGCGCTTGAAATGAAAATGAATGAACGTGAAATTGTAGTCGTGGGGTCATAAGCGATGGAGAGCAGGCTGCGGCACTCGGCGAGCCTGCAGTATCGTTGCGACACATTTCTGCTGTCAGCTCAAGTCGCTGAAAAGCAGCTCACAGTCGGTAGAGTTAGCGACAGGTGTCACCATGCTGGAGACAGCACCGCCGAGGCGGGACAGCGTTGTCCACGAGCGCGGGGTGGGGTTCGAGCGCCGGCTGGACACCTTGACGCGGGGCGAAATGGCAGCGGGGGCAGGCGGCTTCGGCTCAACGGGATCGCTGCTGTCCGAGAATGCAGAGTTCTCCGAGGCCGACGCCGTCGATCCCGACACACTTGAAGTGGCCGACGCCTTCTCCTCCTTGCCGAACGGAAGTGTGCCCCGCCTGGGGATCGTACGTCCGTGTTCCTTGCTAAGGGAGGGCGAAGGCGGCGTCAGCGGCTGGGTGGCCAGCTTCTTCATCTGTTGCGGAGGCGTTTGCGGCTCGTCGTGCTCGGCGATCGGGAACGTGCTGTTATCCTCGTCACCGAATGGCGTAGAGTCGCGACTTGGCGGAGGCGAGCTCAGACCAGACTTGGACAGTGGCGAGTCCCTAGGCCGGCGCTTGGGGGAACGCTGGTCGATCTCGGAGTTGCTCGAGCTGCAGCTGGCGTTCGAGGGCGAGCGGGCGAGGATCGGCTGAGCAGTCAGATCCCCGTTGGGGGTTTCACCACGAACGCTCTGAGAACCCGTCGACGCAACAGGCGCGCGCGTAGAGCCACGCTTCACTCCCCTAGCTGAAGCATCGGTTCGGTCTTTGCCAGCTCTGGAAGAGCATGATGAGGGTTCGTCGGCCACCACGGTGAGCTCGATCGTCGTGTTCTTGCCTTGAGGGCCTTTGCGCGGTTGTCCGACCGCATCGCCTTGCTTCGTCGTGCCGCCGGACTGGACCATGCGGGCTGGTGTGAGAGGACGCCGGGGCCGAGACTCTTCGACCTGCTCTTCCGGCAGCGAGACGTCCTCGTACTCCTGGGGCGGCGTGGGGAGGGACTCGGCGGGCCGGCGCATCGCGTCGACGGCGGCCTGAAGTTAGCTAGATGCAGTATCGGTCAAACTTACCCATCCGGCCCACTTCAGCTGGTTCAGTTGCATGTAGCGCTGCTGCGGTCCAACGACCATTCCGGGGCGGACAACACGCATGTAACCGATAACCTCGGAGGCCGTAAAGTTGTACTTGTAGATCAGGTAGGCTCCGATGAGGACTCCGGTACGTCCCAGACCGGCCTTGCAGTGAACAGCGATCTTCTTGCCCCTCGACACCCACTCCTCGACAAGGTAAATGAACTGGCGGACAATCTCGTCTGTCGGGTTCGTTCCGTCGTCAAAGTACATATCAACTGGTTGTCAGCGATGCCTTCACCATACACCCACCATGCTTGAAGCCCCTCTCGAGGAACCGCTCCTTGTTGTACAGTTCATCGTTGAGGCGGATGACCACGCCAACCTCCTCGTCTTCGAACTTGTTCAAGACCTTCTCAAAGGCTCCGACGAGCATTCGCTTCTGTCCACTGGTGTACTCCGGCGCCTTCTCACCCTCGGGTGTGTTTCGCGCGATCCAGACTGGATCCATGGGAGAAGCGAACGCCACGAAGGGACCGAGGACATTCAGGTCACCGTTCCTGTCCATTAGCCACGGTAGGATCGTCCTACTCACTCGACCTTCTCATAGTACCGGTAGTCCTGGGCGTCAAACTCCCGCAGCATGAGCAGCTTGTTCTGAGACGCCTTCCACATTCCATAGAGCACGTCCTGAAGGTTAGCCTTACGGGATTGTTTAACCTCACCTGAATGCTGAGAGCAAACTCGTTCGGGCCGTTGCCTGCGTCACGGAACGGAATAACCTCGATGTGCGCAATGGTCTGGAAAGCCTCCCAAGGGTCGATGTGCTCCACGATGAGCTGTCTGTTAGCAAAGAACAGCACCCAAACTTACGCAGTAGAGTGCCGCCATCAACGTCAGGTTCGTCTTGGTCTCTGCCGTTGGGCCCGTGTACAGGCAGACCGGCCGCCTCTTGTTCTCCTTAGACTGTTATTAGTCAGATCTGCCCGACAGGGGCATCTCACCTTCATCTTCTCGTACAGAGCGACGCACGCATCATAGGTGTACGCCAGATTGAGTGGTCCGTAGTCGTTCTTGAACGGAGTGTAGACAAGGATGTCATCGACTGCGGATAGGTTAGCGACACCGAGAAGGCGGGTCAAGCTACGCACGGGTGTAAAGCTCGATAGTCCTTCCGGTTGTGGGATGGGCGTACGGGCCCTGGCTTGCCTCCTTTGGGGTGAGGGTCGTGAAGACGAAGTGATCCGAAAGTTCGGCAACAGGATTGGGGAGTTGGCGACCGGCGGAGGAGCGTTCTGGGCGAGCGCTGCGCTCGGCGCTGGTGGTCATTTCGAGTGCTGCACGACGGTGCTTGGTGGGGTGGGTGGAATCGGAGGGGAGGGTAGTGGGCGGGTAGGGGCGCGGGCGGCGCAGCAGCAGTGGAGGAGCGGTGGACCTGTGATGCAAATGAGGTAGTGTCAGATGGTCGGACGAGATTTTAGAGTGAGTCGTGCGCCGAGAAGCAGACGATGGGTGGCGGCGCGGGGTCGTTGTAGTGAGTGAGTGAGGTGGGTGATGCAGTGATGAGTGTGTCGGTGATGGTGAGGAAGGAGAAGTTGAGAGAGGAGCTAGCGGCGGTGTGCAGTGTTTAGCTCAGTGAGAACGGGCCATGTTGGTGGAAGATCGAGCGAGACGACGCCCCGTGCGTTGTGTGGAAGTCAGGAAGGAAGGGAGGAAGGAAGGACGGACCAGGAGGCGAGGAGGGCTAAAGGATTAGTGTGAGGAAGGATCCGCACGCCGCACGTCCGCACTGACATCTGACTACGGACACCACTGTGGGTCGAGGCACACGGGCTCCAGGCGCTCCGGATTCGGAGCGGTTGGGGTGCCATGGCTGAGTCCGGCCAGGGCTGGGGAATGGCGCTGACCGCCGTGCAATGCATTCCTTTGTCTGATTAGCGGTTGAGCAAGCCTGCACGCCTGCACTGTTGTACGCCTGACAAGCGATCCGCCGGGAGCGGCGCACACTGGGAGTGCAGAGGTCGAGACTGAAATTGAAGTAATGCAGTGGGAGAGTTACGTACGTCTGCGGCGAGAGGGTTCTTGCGCGTGCGGGGAGCCGGCTGATGAACCTCTGCCGAGTGGTGGTGGAAATGCATAGCCCGCCGAGCGGTCCTAGAGTGCGATAGTGCACAGTGGATAACGCATGACAAGGGACGCCCGACGACGCCTGGCGCCTGACACGACGCCCGCTGGACGGGCCTCTGCAAGGCAATCGCGGGATGTGACCTCACCTCGGACACGGTCCCTTGACGCCACCCAGGAACGGCCAGGTCCGCATCGATTCAGCGATTAGCGGGGCCGACCAAGCGAACGCCCTCCGCCAGGCCCGCCCACTTGGTTCCGTCCCCCGCGCAAAAGTCAAAATCAGGCGCGAGACTGGCCCAAGACCAAATTATCTTGCAAGGGTTGTGCGCTAGGATTCCTTATTGTTACGGCATTCTCCGATATTCTGCAGAACGCTTATCGATGATATACAGTGTGTTATTATTTACTACGGCGTCACATGTAGAGTACAGCTGATTCACAGACTGTTGTTGACCATTGATGCGTGCAGGGGCGGGCTGCAGGCCGTGTCGTCTGCGCACCGGTGCCCGGCATGCCCGGTATGGCGTGTGTAACGAGGCGGGGATACTGAAGAGAGGGCGCAACCTTGCTGTGATCTAAGCCAGACCCTGATTCCCGTGCCAGACCTGACCTCTGACCGCGCCGGTCACATGCGACCTTCCGCAAACTGTAAATCTACTCTCGGCGGTTTCCACCCAGAAGCGTTGCTGTGACCCTGCACTGCCTAGACAATGTCCACAGCACCATCAGTTTATAGTACATGGCACCATGCGCTGGTTGTTGCAATCGCAATGATAACACGGGAAGCGTTGACAGATCGCCTGAACAAGCAGAAGCGTGAGCATCTGCCTATCGGCGGTCGGCCCGTTTGGGTTGTGGGGTCCAATCAGCTTGAGTCGGCTCGACACGCCATTCTGTTTCAGGCTCGGCAGTGAACCATGCCCCTGATCCCTGCTTCTAGGCGATTTGGGCCGATCTACTCTGCGTGCCCTTGTCGTTGATACGCGTTGATGTTCTTCGATCCACAACGTCTCCATGCAACTCTCGACCTTCAATCGACAACTGCGCTGGGTTACTGGGTAGGCTCGATTATGCACTGCCCGGCAAAGTCTCCTCGGATGACGAACAGGCACGGACCGCTGCGACTCCAGCGAGGCACGTCCGATCAAGCGATCGTGCAGCAACGTACTCGCGGGCAGTGTCCTCCCTTCAGCTTCCTCCCTTCAGCACAATTCTAGCACAAGCTCATCGGCCGGATGCAGCTGACTATCGCGCACTTTCGCTTGCATGCCGTGTTCAAGGGCGGAGTGGTTCCCAACTCGCGGCTCCCAGCGCACGTCAACCCATCTCGATCACACCGCCCAACATTCGTCATCAATTCCGCGGTTCCGTCATCTCTGCATTCACCACCCAACTTACCGCTCCACTTACGTTCTAGCCCAGCCTACGGCGGCCCTTCGTACGCACAAGCAGCTCCATACCGCGCCCACCTTCTGGCTCTGAGCTTTGCTTATCGCTGTGTTCTCGCCCTTATCTTCCGGCAGTTTCAGGTCTTGCTTCTTTTCGCTTCAACTCACTCAAACTGATCCATAGGGACTCTGAGCTTCATCGACAGTGACTACTGAGCGATAAGCTGGATTCCCAGCTCCTAATTCCGGGCATCTGACACGCAGCTTTGATGGACAGTCTCAGCATCGTCGAACAATCAGCGCGACAGAAGGCAGCGAAGCCTTCGCCATAAGCTGACATCTTCTCTGATGAGTTTTCTGGACAATGGTGGTCTCGATCAAGTCCGCGACAATAGCGCAGCACATTCGAGCGCACTTTGAACCGGCGACCAACATGCTGAAGCAGCTCCCCTCTGGAATGGTGACAGTCGTCAAGAATGCGCGCACGTCCATGTTTCAGTCATTGTCACCATGATGAGCCCGAGCTGAGGAGTCGTGACTGCTTCTCTTTCGATCGTGACGCGCTCTCTGCTCGCTCATAAGAACCGCGTATCGCCTACTCGCCATCTCCATCTCCAGCCATCACAGTTCCAGGCATGACCATCAGCAAGCCACCATCCCCTACGCGACCGACGAGAACACCTTCGCGCACGCAGCGGTATCTAGCCTTCCAAGCGCATCTGCACCGGCATCTCCGCGCCCTCGGGCTAAACTACCACCTGCACCCGCCCTCGATGAGCGTCCCCGCCACGACGTTTCTTAACACGCTGCCCGTGGCCAAGTCGCTCGTGATTGCTGTGCTCGAGCTGCACTTTCCGGAGCTCGGGGCATTTCGTACGAGCTCTGAGGAATTTGTCGACGAGCTGCTCGTCCGCATCGTATCTGCCATACGGGAGCAGGTCGGACCGCATACGCCGCGTAGTGCGGTCGAACACTTGCTTGAGAGAAGGGATAGAGAGGAGGATATAGATCTTCTGGGTCATATCGCCGACCCCTACTGTGAATGGTTCGGTCAGTAACTGGCATCATGATGCATGAATCAACGTCAGGCTCAGTGCTCCGCAGATCCGCCCGCATCTGGCGGAGATGCATAATGCACCCGGTGCAAGGCTGCGGAATGAGTTTGCCACCGCCGACTACCTCCACCGGACCGACCTCCACCGCCAAATCTGGGGAACTGAGGATGACGCACATTACGCGTGCTCGTACCTCGTTCACGCTATCTTCTTCCTTCGACGCAATCATCAGCCTCGGTCTTTTCGCTGCACACCACGGCTCGCACATACCACCTCAATTATCGCTCAGAAAGTGAACAACCGAACGGAATACGACCAAAAGATCTCTTTACGAAGCGAAACAATAATCGAGGTTTAGACGATATGAAGTTCTCAGGCGAGCTGTCCACCTTCCCGATCACGAAGGAGCGGTCGCACCCTTACTTCACGTCTGGAGACTTGAACTCGAGGCGCAGCGTCGTCTTCATCGGCGGCTTGTTTAACGGGATGGGCGACGTGCCGTACCTGGGCATGCTGAGTGATGCGCTGGCCCAGGCGGGCTGGAAACTGTGAGTGATCTCCACCCCCCCGTTCCCTTCTTCCTCTGCGGCGTCGGACGACGTCTTCCTCCCCTCAGAGTTGCCGACTCAGTAACGGGATGCGTTTGGGATATACAGTCTCATTCTTAAAGCTACCAAGCTCTCAGGCCATAGCTAACGACCAGCGTTCAGCTGCACTGGACCTCAGCGTACACCGGCTTCGCGACCTCGTCGCTCGACACGGACGTCTCCGAGCTCGCCTCGCTCGTGACGCACCTGCGGGCTGCCGGCGACACGACGGTCGTGATCATGGGCCACTCGACCGGCTCGCAGGACGTGATGCACTACATCCTGAACGAGCCGATCCCGGTCGATGGCGGCATCATGCAAGCTCCCGCAAGCGACAGGGAGCACTTCGGTTTCGCCGACGACGCAATGAGCAAGGCATGGGTCGAGAAGCTCCCTCTCGCTACCGAGTTTGTGAAGGGCGGCCGGGGCATGGTCACGCTCGACGCGGGAGGCATGAAGATCACGGCGTACCGACTGCACTCGCTCATGAGTAAGGAGTGAGTACCCCTTCCCCCTCAATCCCTAGGTTGAGCAAGCAGCTAGGTACTCTGCCAAGGTTAGCTGACATCAGCGGCGACGACGACTACTTCTCGGGCGACCTGCCCGTCGAGCCGACCGAGGGGTTCAAGCACCCCCTCTCACAGACGTTTGGCAAGCTGGAGGTCCCCGTCCTCGTCCTCTTCTCCGAGAAGGACGAGTACGTCCACGTCGAGGACGTGCCAACCATGCTGCGCAAGTGGCGCGACACCGCGAACGGCAAACTCGAGACGGTGATCGTCCGCGGCGCGAGCCACGCCGTCGAAACGCAGGGCAAGGAGCAGCTCTGTGGTGCTGTCGTCGCCTGGCTCACTGAGCACTGGCCCAAGACGCAGGATTCTATCATCCCCCAGGACAACCCCAACTGTCCCCCGCATGTGCCCAGCGTCGCGCCCCAGGACCCCAGCAAGCCCGCGCCGCCTATCGGCCAGTAGAGGTCAGCAGCAGCGATCAGCCCCAAGTACACAAAGTTAATAGACCCATATGCAATGCTAGTGACATGATACAATGCTACGCCTGCCTGCTGTACACAACTGGACTATTCTCCGTCCATCATGATCGCGATGAACTCCTCCTGCGAGATCTCGCCGTCGCCGTCCATGTCGAACTCGTCGATCATCGCTTGCCTGTTGTCAGCTCACAACGCCGAGCGCCGAAGCTTACAGCTCCTCATCTCCGATCTGCTCGCCTAGCTCCTTCGCAACACGGCGCAGGTTGCGCAGCGAGATGCGGCCCGTCTTGTCGTCGTCAAAGAGCGCGAACGCGCGCCGGAGCTCCTCGAGCGGATCCCGTGCTAGAATCTTCTCTGTCACTGAGGAAAGATGTCAGCTGTTTTGCTCGTTGAGCCGTCAGGAGAGGGGAGAAGGGTCTAAGAAGATGCAGAAGACTTCGGCATGTGCTCCCAATGCCTCGTGCTACGTCGCGAATGCCGACAGGTCTTGTGATTATTCGCAGCGCCGAAAATGAGTATCGGCCAACCGGCAACCGCTTCTCCGTTCTCTGGCAACCTCATGTGGTGCCTCCGAGTGCAGTGTGTTTCCAGCACGCTTGAAACACGCTCCAGGCCACACGCTCTCAGACAGATGGCAATTGACGAGAGCCGATGAGCGTCAGGAGTGGGACCCAGGCCGGGAATAGATACATATCGCATGCATTGTGCACGCGACACCGTGGCCCCTCCGTGCCCCTCGGGGAAGGCATGACGGTCACGACATGCAGGACAAGGTCACGACACGGCGTGGCAACCGCACCGCATGACAAGAAGCGGACACACACACCCGCTTCCGGTTCGGGGATCTGCATCGTCTTCTCTGAGATGTCTGGAACGGCGGGATTCCTTTGGTCGGCTCGGTAGCTCGGTCGCGACTGGCGGTAGATCGTAGATCGCAGTGCGACGCCTGGGACGGATGACACAGGATGTCACGGGAGCATGGAACAGGGGCAGGGGAAGGCGTGCGCTACTCACTGACTTTCTCGAAGTCCGCCTTTGCGACCATTGCATTGCCGCGGTCGTGCTCTCGGAGGATGCGCAGGACCTCCTGCTTCTTGAGGTCAAAGCCGAGAGCGCGGAGAGCGACCTTGAGCTCGTGGTAGTCGATGAAGCCGTCCTTGTCCGAGTCGAAGAGGTCGAAGGCCTCGTTGACCTCATTGCGCTGCTCCTCGGTGAGAGAGGGGCGAGCGGGTACCGGCGCACTGCGGCGCGCGGCTGTTCGCGGGAACGCAGACATGTGACGCACGTAAGTTGGAGTTTGAGTCGAGAGGCGAGAGGAACGAGTCGAGAGGCCAGAAGGTAGGTTGGTGTGGGAACGTGAGTACGTGAGGAAACGGGCGGAAGGCGAGGGGCGAGGGGAAGGCGGGCGGGGAAGGTCGCACGCTCCTAGCTGGCCGAAGGAAGGTACAGTCGCTGAGCTCGTGAGGATTCCAGTTACGTTGGTGGCAAAAGCAGGCGCATGGCTCAACGGCACGTGCCGTCATCACCCAGCCCAGGCTGCAGGCTGGTGCGGTGGAGGGCGGCCCGGCGGCTGGTGATTCTCACCGTAGCTCGTCAGCCGATCAGCCGACGCGTATCAGGCTAGTCACGGGATCTATCAAGTCAGGTTCGCCCTCCTGCGGACCCACTGTGCGCACCTCTGGGCATCAGCAGATCAGCGGGCAAGCTGCGCTTCCTGGCAAGGGAAGCGTTAAGCGCCAGCCAACCTTGAGTGAAGTCACCGGCCACTCAGGCAGAGGAATGCATGACCAAATGAGGAATGAAGCGACCAGCTGCCCTGTATCTGATAACATGGTGCCCCTGTCCCTCGTCTGCAATTCTCGTCGGTCAGTGAGCATCCATGCACATCGGGTGCACCAGCAGGAGCAGGCACAGCAGATGTGACGGCGTCGGAGTGCCGACACACGCAGGCGACGCCCGGAGGGGCAATGCAGGCGCGAGCTTGTGTATCGGGAGCACAGGGAGCTGCGCCTTTCGTATCGGCGGAGCGGGGCTTGCTCGCTGCGGCACGGTAGTCCTGCAGCACTGCAGGTGTCTCACGATTCCAAGGAAGCGAAGAAACGGGATCCCAGGATCCCAGGATTGGCGCTCGTCAGACCAGGACCAGACTGCAGCCGCCGTCCAGCGCGCCCAGCATATTCCAGCGGCGCCATCGGTCCGTCCCAGCACCATGGCATGCATGGCACCAGCCCAGCCTCACCTTCATGCCAGCACGCACCGACCCAATACACACACTCACACGCCAGTCCGCGCTGGTCTCACTTCGCACTCCCCACACGATCAGGACCGCAGGGCACACCGCCAGGCCGTATGCAGTGAGAAAATGTATGACCGCCCAGATATATACACGATGCACCCTTCTCACTCACATTCTGTCTTCCCTCCTCCCCTCGACCTTCATAACTACACACCCTCCACCCATCGACTACGATCCGCAGGCTGCAAACATGGCCGGCCTCGAGTCGTACAGGACGTTGAAACGGCGCGGCAGTACGTGGTCGCTTCCAGGCCTGCTGGGAGGACACAACCCCTCAAAGTCGGACGAACCGCCTATGCCGACGACACCCGACGCACTCGAATCGTACAGGGCGTTTGAGAAAACGCATTTCAGGACCATTGACGAGTACGTCAAGACAGCACCCGAGGGCTGCGACCAGATGCGGCAGAGTCAGAGCACCCTGGTGAGTCCGAGCCTTGAGTCTAAAAGTCTGGATGCACGCATGTGCGATCAATGCGTTGGGTGGCGCTAGCCAGATTGGTAGGACTGAGACGGCAAGAGGGGTCGAGCGCTCGAGCGGGACGGCGTCACCAGGGGGAAGGTACGCAATGGATGCCGGGTCGTGCGGGTCGCGCGCGGGTGCTCCGCCGTGCGTGCGGGCTCACGCCGTGCGGCAAGTACGGCAGCGTTGCAGCACGTTTGACCTGGATTGACTTTTGTGTTACAATTTTGTGGGGAAAGATCGTCCGTCCATTGCATCGATCCATCACTCTGCGCCATTCAGTGCGAGGGGAACGGCATCCAGCCTGCGCAATGCGTGAGCCCGCAGTGATGGCACGCATGGCACCATTCTTGCTCTCCGCCATCACATTTCAGCTATTGCAGCCTTCCACTAGGCCATACGCTAGTTGCTGACCGCGATCCTTATAGATCTCTGCCTCGTCGCGTTCCAGGTCAACATCTTCCACCTCTCTTACAACACTCGTCGACAGTGTCGGAGCTTCTTCTTCTTCGGCCCAGGGCACCAAGATGGGTGGCCCATCGTCATCGGCTGCGTCGTTCAAGAGTTTCATACTTGGAAGCCGGCCGAGGAAGGCTGAGCGCCCGCCAGACAAGGCCGAGGTCAGTATCAACGCGGCCATCTACGGCGCGTCGATACACTCCCAGAGCTCCTCTCTGATCTTCCCCGTCAACAATGAGCACCACTCCGAACCTACTCCTGCCCCCGCCCCGGCACCTCCGCCCCCGTCACAGCACCGACGTTCGGTCTCCATGTTCTCTACTCGCACCCGCAAGACGTCGTCGGTGTCCTTTTCGATTGGAGACAAAATCGAAACGCCGTCGAAGCCGAGTGCTTCATCGTCTTCCACTTCGCTGTTCAACCCCGCACACTCTCTCCTGCCCGCCACTAGGTCAACCCATGGGTTCGGCGGTGTTGTATGCGAGTCGCCCATGAGCTCCACTCTGGAAGTGGACAGGATCAATCGCACGGCTAAGAAAACGAGCTTCAAGGACAACCGCCGCGGCAGCTGCCCACCCGTCGCATTTCCCGCAGGCATGGCGGAGGATGCGTCTGAGACTGCGTCCATCCGCTCTGTACCGGCGCCGCGGTCGATTCTCAAACGTTCTTCCGACACTGCCAGCCTGCGCTCCTTCAGAGCCGGCGATCCGACACCATCCTTCGACGAAGCTCGCCGGACACTTGAGGTGTATGCGGAAGCGGCTGAAGAAGACGAGGACGACCGCAGTGACGTCGCCACTACTTCCTCATCGCTCCCCGCGGAATCGATCCGCAAAGCTTCCCCGCCTGCTAGTATCATGTCGACCGCATCGCGACTCAGCAAGATGCCCAAACGAGCTCAAACCTGGGTAGTCGACGCTGGCAAGGGCGTGACGAAGAGTGCTGCCGCCATGGGCACTGCGATCCTTGACACCGCCAACCCCATGCGCATTCAGAAGAGAATCACACTGGACGAGGCTGTGCGGCCCTCGCGCTCCCAGTCACAGTTCGCGATCGCCGACCACATTCTTCGCGAGAAGACGAAGCTGCCGGAGAACCAGCGTGATGCTGCTTCCGACTATCACATGTGGAACGCGGAGCGCCTGAACTTGAACTGGAAGATGAAGAACAAGGAGCGCGTTAATGTCAAGGAGGAGATTGTGGAGGCCGAGGAAGAGGAGCTGTCCCGCCCTGCCAGCGTCATTTCTCTGGGTGGCGAGCCGCTCTATATGACGGACTCGTCGGCATGGCTGGAGCATTGTGACCGCGTTTGGGACTTCACTCCCCAAGCCGTGGACCTCGTCAATCCTCACAGACCGACCCTCACCAAGCGCAGCGCGACGCTCCCTAACCCTCCCACGCAGGAGCGCATCACGTTCACTCGCCGAGCTCAAAGTGAGCCGACTGCCTCACAAGCTGCCCAAACCACAGCTGATCTCAAGCATCTCCGAACGACGTCCCCTGAGGCCATTCGTACATCCGAGGACTCTGGTCTCCCCGACACCCGATTCTTCAAGGAAGACGGCAAGGAGATTAACGAGTCTCCCAAGTCATCGCTCCTCCTGACACCCGTCTCGTCAAACGATCCCGACGCACCTGGTGCAACCTGGTCGCAAGAGTCTCTCACGAGCACGGCATCAGGCTCGACGGAGGACCTTGAGTTCAAGGAGGCGAAGACTGAGCTGGATTGGGAGAAGTATCCCCGCCTGTGCGACACCGATGAGCTCGACGACGAGCTGTACAATGCCGTTCTCAACATGACCCTCACCCGATAGAGTATACCACCACCATCATCATGCCCCTTCGATCAAGTAGGAGCTAAATTCGATCACCAAGCACGAGCGATTCCACAATACCTGTTCATTCACTGTATCTGATACTTTAAGTTGCCACTCCCCCTCTCCTGTGTTTAATAGTAATGGAAGTGTAAGCATTAGCGCGAACACTGCTTTCAAGTCTCTCTCTCATCATTTCTGGCATTTTCACCTTCATAGCATGGATTATATGCATGGTCGCCTGTGTAACACATGTGTTACCCAAGTGTCTCGCGTCGATGGAGCTGCAGAACATTTGGGGCAGCGAAGATCGAACGAGCACGGTTCTCGGCGCCTCGTGGCTTGTGTGTGAACGCCATGCGCACAAGCGTGAATCACCATTCATCGGAGTCTGGCATCCGCTCGTTCCAAGTCTCCCACCTGCTGCACATCCGCGCTTTGGTGAGACCAGCGGCACCAGCGGCAGCAGCGCCCGATCAAAGCCGTCTGAGCGGGTTTTGCGGAAGTGGGCGGCAGTAGCACCGTCATGTGACGAGGAGCTCCGCGTCGATGATCGCGAAGCGGGGTTCACAACGATTCATGATGGATGCATGTGATGAGCTCCTCCACCCGAGATATCCAACATGATGCAAGGTGGACGACCTCCACCAGGATATCTGCGGTGGGGTATGTCCGGCCCGGCGTGGGGTCGGGATAGCGATCGGGATATTTTGTTCATGCCATCTGTTCGAGTTTGCTGCCCATTGCATCTCCACCGACGGATCTGCCGGCTCCACCGCAACCACCGTGTCAACAAACCGTCGCAGAGTGGGCTGTACTGGACTCGGTGACGAGCAGACTGACACATGCTGGTGCGGCGCTTCTGGGTGACCAGGAGCAATGACCACTGTAGCGCACCAGTGATCAGTGAGACACCTACCAGCCTCGACTTTTTTAGCCGCGCTTCTAGCCGTCATTTAGTCGACTGGTGGCGACGTTTGGTCCCGCCAACACTCTGCGCAGGCGCGCAGAAACGATCAGATAGCCGAGATGGCAGAGTCAGGTCCAGAGCAACTCCGCCTCAGACCGCGGAGACAGACAACGAGCTTATCGTTGCGTCAGGCGTAGCCGGTTGCAGATCAGATGCTGGACATGTGTTCGGGGCAGAGTTGGTCCACTATCCTGGTGTCCAGGTGCGACCCCGCGTCGGCCCCGCTGCACGCTGCGGAGCATGCGGAGAGGGGACCCCGGAGGGATGTCGACCGCATTCGGCCGGCGAATCCCGTGCAAGCTTAGCCCCGGTAAGCCATTTACCCGAGGAATACACGGCCCCCGCCGCTGTCAGCTTGCGGCACTGACATCTTGTCAGCAGGCAGCAAATAGCAACGAGACGGTAATCTGATTACTCAGTGCAGATGTGTGAGCGGCATTCGCGCCGGCCAGGTAGCGCGTGCAGAGAACGCCGGGGGCGCTCGGCCAAGTGGTCACCGATGCATGTGGGCTGCGTTGTTTGTGCTGCGCCGGGTTGGCCGGTCTGACGCTATGTCCGGTCATAAGTGCGATAGGACTTGTCAACTGCCGCAAACCGGGGCTATGGATTGTGGATCGCGGAGATGGGTGCTCGCACAATCCCCTCGCACCCTCTGCTCGTATGCGAGGGCCACGGAACCAGGAACAAGCGAGGTGGAGGCGGCAACAGGCAGGTGGTGGAGGAACAGGGGGAGGTATGACGAGAGAGACGAGGGTATTGCGCCAACACCACCCAACGCTCTGGGCAGCTGGGCACAGCAGCTGATACGGCGACGTCGGAGATGAGGGCTCGTTGGTGGAGGCAAGCTGGGAGGATTGTGCAGCCTGGGATCCCAGGGTTCTCCCCACAAACTCAAACCCGGCCACCACGGCACGGCACACCACCCGCACCACCCGGGGCTACGGGCGGGGCGGCCCTCGGCAATTCTGGTTCCGCGCTACCCAATCTCTCGGCCAGTCTCTCGGCCGCCATACAAGCGAGCGACATCTTTAACAGCTCCTTGAAGCGGTACCCCGACCTTTTCCTGCCCTTGCCTTGCATTCACTCTTGCTTCCACCCCCAGGATATACTCCTATGCTCCGCCTGACCACCAAGAGATTAGGTGTGACTGTCACTCGTGTGAGTTTTCTCTTCCTCCTCATCTCTCTTGCAAGCGCCGTTAGCCGTTCCTTCTGACGACCTCCAAGACGACCACCATGGCTCCCACCCGTAACCTCAGCGCGACGGCCGCGAAGAAGTCCGACAAGCCGCTTTACGCGTCCCAGGACTCGATTCCCCACCTCCCCGTCCCCCGCCTCGCCTCCACGCTCGCCAAGTACTCCGAGTCCATCCTCCCCTACCAGGACCGCGAGCAGTTCGCCGAGTCGTCCAAGAAGATCCGCGAGTTTGCCGAGTCCGACTTTGGCCATGAGCTCCAGAAGCGTCTCCAGGACCGCGCCGCCGAGAAGCCGTCGTGGATCTCTGAGTGGTGGAACCACGACGCCTACATGGGCTACCGCGGCCGCATCGTCCCCGAGGTCAACTACTTCTATATCCACAAGAAGGGCTCCAACAAGGGCGCCTCCCAGACCGAGTGGGCGTCCCAGCTCGTCCGCGCCGTCGTCGAGTTCAAGGGTCTTGTTGACTCGTGAGTAACTTTTCCTTTCCTCTCGCGTGAGACCGTCTTGAGAGCTGCGATCTGTGCTGTAGCGCCCGCCTCGCAGCACATAGCGGCGGTGGGCCAAGCGGTGTGCGCCGCTTGGCAGGGAGCAGGCGAGCGTAGTGGACCACGCATTCTCCTCGGGGAATGTGACCACTCCGATTCGTCAGCTGCGCCCCGCAGTGTCCAGTGATGTCAACGACGCCGCACATTCTGCATGCTGCGGGGCTCGGTGGGACATGACCCCTGCTCGCTACCTGGCTGGCTACCGGGTAAATTTCTGCCCGCCGGGCCGTGATCGAGATCTTGCGAGATCATGACAGTCCACAATGTGGCGATCGCCGTCACTTCGCTCGGTTAACCGCGCTGCATCGCCAGCCGGCGCGCCACGGCGATCGCATTGATTGTTCCTGGTTCACGCCCTCGAGACGTCTCACACGAGCTGGCATGGAAGGATCAACAGCTGACAATGCAGTGAGAAGCTCGAGCCCGAGAAGGGCAAGGCCGGCCCCCTCTGCATGGCCTCGTACAAGTACCTCTTCAACGCTACTCGTATCCCTACCCCTGGTGCCGATGTCCCCAAGGCCTTCGACAAGAACCTGAACCACATCGTCGTCCTCCGCAACAGCCGCTACTTCAAGATTGACGTTGCCGGCCGCTCGGCTTCCGAGATCGCCAAGGCTATGGAGGAGGTCAAGCAGATCGCTGACAAGTCTGCCGGCCTCCCCATTGGTGCCCTCTGTGCCGACAACCGTGACGTCTGGCAGCAGGCCCGCGACCACATCCTCTCGATCTCGGACAAGAACAAGAAGGCCATCGAGACTATTGACTCATCCATCCTCCTCGTCTGTCTCGACAACGTCAAGGCTACCAACGACACTGAGCGCGCCTGGGAGTACTGGGCTGGTGGCCTCACCCAGTCCCCTGAGGGCAAGGGCCAGAACCGCTGGTTCGACAAGCACGAGATCATCGTCGACTCCGAGGCCAACTCTGGCTTCAACGGCGAGCACTCCATGCTCGACGGTACCCCCACCCTCCGTCTCAACGAGTTCATCCTCGCTTCGCTCGACAAGGGTGTTATTCCTCTCGAGCTCCCCGAGAACGAGCGCGCCAAGGGCGAGCTCAAGCCTGAGGAGATCACCTTCGACCTTGACCAGAAGGCCAAGGACGACATCACTAAGTCGCAGAAGGGCTTCGGCGAGGAGATGGCCAAGCAGGACCTGACCATGGTTACCTTCACGGGCTACGGCAAGAGCCTCATCAAGCAGTTCAAGGTCTCGCCCGACGCCTGGGCCCAGATCGTCAAGCAGCTCGCTTTCTACCGCCTCAAGGGCCGACCCGGCACCTGCTACGAGTCTTGCCAGACCCGCAAGTTCCTCCTCGGCCGTACCGAGGTCATTCGCACTGTGTCTAACGAGCTCCGTGCCTTCCTCGAGGCCATGACCGACCCCAAGTGCTCCGACGAGAAGCGCGCCAAGCTCTTCCGCGCCGCCTGCGCCCGTCACTCGCAGTACTCTGCCTGGGCCGCCAACGCCCAGGGTGTCGACCGCCACCTCTACGGCCTGAAGAAGCTCATCAAGGAGGGTGAGGAGGTTCCCGCCATGTTCCAGGACCCCATCTTCGCCAAGTCGTCGCACTGGGAGCTCTCCACCTCCCAGCTTACGTCGAAGTACCTCGATGGCTGGGGATACGGCGAGGTCGTCGCCGACGGCTACGGCATGTCGTACGCCATCCACGACGGCAAGCTCTGCTGGGGTATCACCACCCTCAACGGTGACGCCAAGGAGATGGCTCAGGCCCTCCAGGACGCCGCCGAGGAGCTTAAGAACGTCATGACCCGTGCCGCCGAGCAGGAGAAGAGCAAGCTCTAAGGTGTGCTGCGGAAGTGTCATAGGCAGGAAGCGGTGGAAGAGTCGGCAGATCAGGATCAGCAGTCTCTCATTGTCATCAATAGTTAAAATTAGTCTTTCATTTCCCACTCCGCAGCCCGTAGAGGTTTAGACAAATCATGATATCATGTATGGTGTTTCTTGACCAAGAAGGTCGATCTGCAAGGAGGTGATGGTGACAGCAAGCGGGGTTCGCCACTGCATGCCGACCGGCTGTGCTAGAGAAGGCGCGGGACGCAGATTCCAGCACTGCTTACCCTGCCAGCCGACCCTATCATCCGCACTTTTCCAAAGCCGGGGCTGAATTGCAGCCCCCGCCGGGCCCAATACAAGAACGAAGCATGGTAAGCATAATCCAGTGGGTCAGTATCCAGGTCGGGGCGGGGCTGTGTCTCCCAAGGAGCGCGGATATGATCACAGCGGTCTCAAGAGCATCATCAGACGAAGAGTGTTTTGGGGTCAACCTCGGGGACACGCTAATCAAGTATTGGGATGCGTAGTAAACTCTAAGGCGGTGTTATCAGCTGATCGCGCAAGCCCGATGGCCGCTTGCGTCGGCTGGACCATGGCCACTGAATAGCGCCCTCGCCGCACAGCTTTATTTTCGCTATGACCTCACGTTCCTCGCGTCCTCGCCGCCGTCGTGCATCTTTGTGTATGCATCCTTTGCATCTGTTATCCTTTCAACGGCGTACACATCTTCACAACTATCTACTTCACCATCAAGCAGCGTTTCGAGATTGAGCGACAACACCGGGTCGATTTTCGCGGTCCACGCCCATTCCATTTTCGCAAATCCACCCCAGCGTGTCGATCAGCGAAAAGAACGAACGCCCAACGCCCTCTGGCGTGTCACCAGCTCAAGCAACTCAGCCTCGAGGAATCTCCATCCTCTCCATCCTTCTGATCCTCAGCATCCAAAAATACCCGGCTCGAAAACGTACCAATGACAATGCTCTATGCGCAGCCAACATCCCCGCCGAGTCCCCGGAGTCCGGCACCTCAGTCGCACCCCGCCCGACCGGCGTCCTTAGCTTCCTCGATTGAGGAAGACGATCTCTACGTGTCACCCAAGGCGTCTCCGCCGTATGACACGCCTCCGCCTCCGCCTCAGCCACAGCCTGCCCCGCCCTCTCAGCTGGCACCCAGCACGATGAGCAACAACGACGCGCCGTACAACTCGAACACTCTGTCGGGCGACTTCTCCGCGCTCAGCGACTACAACACTTGGTCGGCTGCCATGAACGCGGCACCTGCTGATCCCGGAGCTATGGCTGCGAGGAAGGCGAGTGAGACCTCGAACGGCAGCGCAGGAAGCAAGCGCAGCCTGCCCCAGCCGCCGCGCTCCGGTTCGACCGAGACGGCCACGACAACGGCGACCGCAGCAACTACGCTGCCGCGCAAGAACTCCCTCCAGCCAACGCTGTCGCAGCGCTACCAGCAGCTTAAGGAGCGCAGTGCAGCCAGTGCGGCGCGGAGGGCGAGCCAGTCTTCCGACGGACACACGTTTACGACCTCGTGGGAGCGAAGGGGGAGCGAGAGGAGCGACGACTTCCAGTCTTCCGCTGGGTATGGCCGACTGCCTGCGCTCGAGGACGTGCAGGCGCAGCAGCTGCAGCAGCGTCGCATGGTCTCGTCCCCCGAGCCGGCACACCCTCCCGCCGTATATGAGACGCAGAACTCGCACCCTCCGCCCCCGCCGCCCCCGGCCTTCCACGACTCGACCCCTCCTTCCGCCTTCCAGAGCAACGACAGGCAAGGCTCCCTCCCTCCCATCCCTCTATCCAGCGGCAACAGCGAAATCTCACCGCAACAATCGCCGACGCGCCGAGACAGCCTTCCGCCCATCCCCTCCGAGTCCCCACAAACACCACAGCGCCGCGCGTCCAACGCTCTCCCGCCCATCCCCTCCGGGACCGCACCGACATCCCCGGCTTCTCCAGCACAGCGCCGGCCTAGCGTGCCCCAAGCAAACGGCGAGAACATCAACGGAGGAATGAGGGACTTCATGCCGTACGCATCGGTGTACGGAGGCGTCGACGGCGAGGACGACCTTTCCGCCAGCGCCAGCAGGAGGAACACGCTGCCGCCTCTTCCCAGCGTGCCAAAGGAGCAGCCGCTGGAGCCCAAGAGCCAGGCGCAATTATACGCGCAGCAGCAGATGGCTCAACAGAGGCAGCAGGCTGAGGAGCGTCGGCGACAGGAGGAGGCGCGCCAGCAGGCTCAGCAGAGGCAAGCTCAGCAGCAACAACAGCAGCAGCAGCAGCGCACGCCGCAGCCCCCGCAGCCGCTCAGGAGCCCAGTGTATGACAGCGACAAGGACCAGCCTCCGCTTCCTTCGCCCCGTAACGCACCGCCTTCCGGTCCGCCAACACCCGGCCCTCCCTCGGCTTTCACTGCGCCGAATCCTCCTCTTCAGCCCGGCCAGACCAATTCGCTCCCCGGTCGCCGCACGACGCTCGGCCATGGCAACGAGTCCTACACTGCCCAGCAGCAGTCCGGTCTCTCGCACGCGCAGACCGTCCGCGCTCCTCGCTCGTACACGGCCAACCTCGATCGCCCGCCTGCCACCCCCCAGCCAGTCGGCACGCCACAGCGCAATCGCCCTCTGCACCCGGAGTTCACGCATGGCGATCTGACGATCCAGGTGTCGACTCCGGGCCCGACTGACTTCCTCGTCTCCTACACCGTGCTTACGACTGCGTCTGGTCTTATCGCCTCGACGCTAGCCCAGTTCCCGGCCGGCAAGCAGCCCCGCGTTGCGATCACCGAGAGCGTCTCCGAGGCTCGCCTTCTGCTCTCGGCGCTGAACTACGGCAACATTAACCACAGCTCTCTCGCTGTAGCTGAGCGCGATCCGCTCGGCGTGGTTGAGTACCTGACGCTCCTGCGCCTGTACAGGAAGTACCAAGTCAGCGCCTTCTTCACCGACCTGCTGCAGTACCAGATCAACCAGCGTGCCGTCGAGCTCTCGCAGGCCCTGACCCGTCGCGACCGTCCGCTCACGCTCGACGTGATCCGTCTCGCCGTCGAGGCGAAGAGCTCGCGGCTCTGGGACATGCTTAACAAGTACTCTGCGTATTGGTTCGAGGCGCTCGCGCCTGCCCGCCTCAGTGCTGAGGAGAAGGACAGGGTCGGCAAGACTGGCCTGGAGGTGCTCATAGCGTGGAACGCGCTCAGGCTTGGATGCGGCGACAGGCCGGACGCGGTCAAGGTCGGATACGAGGGTGGGCGCGTGTGTATTTGGAGGGTCAAGGATGAGAAGAGAAAGTTCTACCCGTGTGCTGCATGAGTGAGTTTTGGGGTCTGAGTCAGAACTGACGACAGGGTCATCAAGCTGGAGACAAGCTTTGGTAATCTTCCCGAAGCTGGCAGGCAGAGCTGTCCCATGGGGAAGGGAGAGGGAGGGAGGAGGTAAGCTACCGCATAAGCGTACGAGCTGACAAGCAGGAGTAGGAAGTGTCACCTCGTAGCAAGTATCGTGTGTATGTATGACTTCATGTGAGTTAGCTGAGCCGTTGACTGATAACTGATATCAGATTGGATCGCAGCATCAGCACTAGTAAACCGTTCACAGTACTGATGGAGGACGAACCAGAGGAACTGGGAGAGCGAGCTGACGCAGAGGTCGAACTATCAACAGAAGAGGGGCTGAGGAATCAGCGGGATGTCCACGACAATGGCAGCAGACCTGAGTAGACGCAGATGTCCAGGTAACGAGACGCTCACCTCTCGCACTTAGCATGTGATACCGACTGCAGGTAGCAGAAGAACTCATTGCCTCCACGCATCATTTGCCGTTGAACATCACTGTTGACGCCTGAGCTGGTCACCAGCAGCAGGAGCGCTACACTTGCCTGCCTGGCCTGGAAGAAGCCGACTCGGCATCCAAATCATAGCGCGAAACTAGCGTCTCCGCACGACCTTCCACCCCCCTGCCAATCCACCCTCCGCATTCCACCACCCTATCTCCATCCATTCCTTCTCTCTCGTTTCCAACCATCCAGTGCATGCAAAAGTCGATGCGAAGGGAGCCAAAAGGGAAGCTTCCTGTCGGAGAATCGAACTCCGATCTCCCGCGATCATACATGACAAGCGAGCATACTAGCCGTTATACGAACAGGAAGGAATTGTGGTCTTTGAGACCGCGTCGGAGCCTGTCCCAGGCGGATGGTTTATCAATGTTGGTCATGAAATTTGATCGTGCGATCGGGGGTGGACTGAGTGGAATTGACAGGCAGATAAGCGCGCAAGAGCGTGAGGAGAGTGAGAGAGAGCTGCTTGGTACTTGCATACACCGCAAGGGAAGCTCCGAAACGCGGCATGGCACTGTTTCTTCTACCAAGAGGAAGAGTGGCAGACCAAAGGGCTAGCATAAAGTCATGACACAGCGATACATCAGCGGCCAGCGCTACAGGGAAAAGCCTAAAGCAGAGACAACGAGAGGCAGGCGAAAATAGTGTCCATAGAGGGGAAGCGGGAGAACAAGGCCATCTACATGCGGTAGGGGGAGGGTGTCTGTGGAGTAAAGGGAAACTGGGGCTGCGATCCAGGTGGGGTTAAGAGAGGACGTTCAGCCAAGAGACTCGCTGTCACCGACTCGATCGTATGAACGAGGCCGGGCCGACTCCATTCCTTCCAGTTGGCGCGAGTCGTAGCGCAGACAGTAGCGTTGAGGCTCTTCCTCCTGTCGTCGGTGACCTCCTCATTCGGGTCCAGCCCGTCCCTGCGCCTGACGATGGCGTCAATGAAGAACTCCCAGAAGCAGCCCTCAGCGCCTCCGCGAACGTTGAGCATCGTGTCCCACTCCTCGGTGCCGATGAAGAGCCACATGGTGCCGTCAATCAAGCTGCTGGCGGCAATGAGGCGCACGAGTTCAGCAAGCGGACTGTGCGAGTAGAGGTGCTGCGGGTCGAAGTCAGAGTATCCTGCCAGACGGGGGAAGACGAAGAAGATGTGCGGCCGCGCTGTGGCAAAGTTGAGCTCGGCAAAGGGCAGCACGGGACCGCACCACTGCAGCGCCTTGCGATTGGGATTTGGGCGGCTCGTGAACTCCTCGATGATCTGGACCAGGGGGTGGGAGAGAGACGCCAGCATCAGGTATGTGCGACGCCTGTACAGGGGGTGCGCGGCCCGGTGACCCCAGATACGGTACATGGACTGGTAGCGTCGATCGATTGCGGTCTTGAGGCCGCGAGAGGCGAGGCGCAGCGCACGCAGCGTCTGAGGCGTCGCGTACCGGACGATGTTGTCTGCTATCTCGGGGTAGTCGTAGTAGTCGAGGATGGCGGTTCTGCCCTTGGGAAACATGGTCCTGGTCATGGCGACCAGATTGGCCGGGAAATGAGCAGTGGAGCAGTGGTGAAGAGCGGAGGCGAGAGGGGCGGTCTTATGTAGCTTGCACCGGTGGTATGTCAGGGGTCAGTCTCCCTATCATGAGTGTACGCGCTGGGCCAGTCGCGCGCTGGTGATCATGCTACATTATAGCTCTGCCACATACAGGAGTGCCTACGGGAAGTGCCTCCGTTGGTGCGTAAGTGTGTGTTTGGATGCGGAGGTCGTGCGAGGGTGCGGGTGGGAAGGAATGTGTACCGTGAGAGCCCGAGGCGAGCAGAGGCGCGTCTTGCAGCGGCGTGTGTGCGCTCAGCAATGCAGAGCCCTGCTCGCGTCGTCGAGCATCTGCACAATCTCCCCACCAAGCGAGTGGACGTACGTCTCCCTCCTCATCAGGTCGATCTTGACGTCCTTGACCCGCTGCGCCTGCGTCTGATCCTGGCCCTTCCTCTTCTTCTCATGGCTGCGCCTCCTATACTGAACAGCGCGGATGAAGCAGTCCTTGAAGCTGCGGCTCTTCTCACTCTGCGCGCTCTGCGGCGCAACGGTCACGAGGGCATTCCATCCCTCCATACCGACCACGATCCATGGATCGCCCCGCGTGGTAGCCCGCGCGACCACTTTGACGAGCTTGCTAAGCGGCGTGTCCCTGTAGAAGTCGCGGGGCTGGATCTCATACCGCCGAGTGAGGGCGGGGAGAATCAGGTACGGGTGCGCGCGGTAGATGCGCCAGCTGACCGCCGTCAGGGGACAGAGTGGCGCAGCCCACGAGCGCCATCGCGCCGGGCGAGCAAGTCCGTTCGGGGTGTAGATCTCGATCACGCGCACATCGGAGCGGTGCAGGCCACCGAAGAGGAAGAACGTCCGCCGCCACGGCGTGAGTGTCGTTCGCGGGTGGTCGAGGAGAGCCCACAATGACTGCGTGTGCGCGTCGACGTGGTGTTTGATGCCTCGGCAGGTAAGTCGCATGTTGCGCAGGAGTTGCGTTGTCGGCGCGAAAGACATTATCCGCTCGACGATGTGCGGGAAGCGGTTGTAATCGAGCACCGCCATCCCGTCGAGTGCTGTAATGGGAGGAGTGTGATGGGATGTGATGAAGGAAGAGTGGATGAGAAACTGGGACACGATCTCCAGAAAGCGACTGGATCTGACCGCCTCAGTCCACCCGGAGCGAGAGAGCAACGTACTTCCAAGGCAAGTCGCACCAGTTTAGAGCGTCGTCGCTGTGTGAAGCGGTGTGCTCACCTCCACCCGGGAGCTTGGCGGTGAGCTGGCGTCAGCCTTCTGCTCATAGAGCCGCGGCGATGTGCCAAGCTGGTGTGATCTAGCGAAACGGCGCCACTGAATGGGATAGGAGGCTTATCAAGGGTGTTGCTTATATCGTTCGGACTAGCGGGTTTTAGAGCACATGAACTCACAGTTTGACGACCTGGACGACTGCTAGATGCTGAGAGATGGTACTTGTGCTGAATGAGGAGAAGCATTGTTGTTTGTGTTACTGACCCGGTGACCGACACGCTGACTGTTGCCAGGTGTAATCGCCGCCCCTTTATCATCTGCCTCACGGTCTCGGCCCGGCAGTGGCTCAGGCACCTAGACGCCCGAGAAGAACCTCGATAGTTAGCAGAAGGTCGACAATAACAAGAGGAGACTAGGATTGCCCGCAAGGGCGACCTCATGAAGAAGAGCACTCCTGTGGTGACTGTGCTCTGCAAATCTCGGCGGCATCTACTCGACTCGACGGCATCCACTGACACCGCCTTGATGAACTTGACGCCGCATATTGATAACCGATCAGGTCCCGGGTTCGATCCTCGCTCTTGGGTCAATGCACAGAGGATCCGTTCTTGACACTTCCTCATCGTGCAGCTTCACCGCAACATCGCCATCTAGCAGTGAGTGCGGCCCTCAATGGGTGCGAGAGCTCACGACAGCCGAGATCAGATCAAGCGAGCGTGGTACCGTCACGTGTCGGAATTGCCCGAGATAGGAGCCAGAACGTCTTCGCCCAAAGAGGCGAGCGCGCAGAGCAGGCGCACGGGTCCAGCACCCAGCATGCGCAACAGCCCGGCCAGCCCGGTGCGCAACGGTGCTACCAACACTAGTCGCTCCCACCTCGTTGTGAGCCCGACGCATGTCACTCGACGAGGCTCTGTCAAGCCCGTTGGACCGGGGCTGGATCCGCTGGCCGTAACGGCGCTGGATCTATACGAGTCGCACCCCCACATCGACCACGAGTCGCGAGCGCTGCTGCGGACAACATCGCCCACGTCTCCGGGGAAGGAGTCTGTTGGCCTGCTGCCGAACGTGCAATACGTGCGCATGATGGGCATCGGGTCGTTTGCAACAGAGGACCTTCTGTGGGACGTTATGCTCCGCTCCGGCGTGGCAATGGACGACGCGGTCGGTATCTTCACAGTTCCATATCGTACGAGCTGGACAGCCGAAAACGGAGACACGCAGGGCTTCCAGCGCTTCTACACCGGCTCGCGGCAGCATCGATTCAGCAAAGTCACGTTCGTCGCGAACCACAAGCCGAACCTGGGCGGGACGGTGTTTGAATTCATGGCCGACGAAGTCGACTTCGTCCTCATCCCGCCCATGGGATACTTCCAGCCCACCGATGCCGACGAGCAGCGCCGCATGAAGCGCATTGCGCAGTACTGGCAGGCGACCATCGACAAGCTGCGCAAGTTCTACCCCCGGACCAAGTTTACGCTAGTCGGTATCGAGGCATGGGGCGGCGGGTGGCTCGAGAGCGCCGTCAAGAAGAACGGACCGAACTTCGAGGCAATCACCAAGAACGAGTACAGGCGGAGAATACCGCACGAGGAATATCAGCTCGTCACGACGGCGCTCTCTGACCTTCGAGCAGTGTATCCCAACATGTGGCCGCCGCAGGGCTCGAACACACTCTCTGACGAAAGCCCATGACCACCCGAGATGCCGATCACCGCAGTCCTTCATCCTCATCTCTTCTTGGAATCCTAATGTAACTGCATAACATTCTATCTTGTCTTCTACACCCATCTCTATCGTTACAGCCTAGCGCCCTGCTGGGGACGCTTTGCGTACAATTCCCTGACGGTCTTCTTGATCTCGGTCTTGATGAGCTTTCCGTTGGCGTTTCTCGGGAGCAGCTCTTCGCTGACCCAGACAAAGGCAGGGCGGGCGTGGGAGCGGAGTCGTCCAGCCGCCATCTTCATGATCTCCTCTGGCGTCGCCTTGGCACCGGGACGGAGCGAGACGGCAAGCGCGACGAGCTCGCCGAGCAGGTCATCCGGCACGGCGACACAGGCAGCCTCGGCGATCCTGTCGTCCTGGTAGATGGCGTTCTCAACCTCCTCGGAGCTAATGTTCTCTCCACCGCGGATGACAATGTCCTTGAAGCGGTCGCTGATGAAGAGGAATCCGTCGTTGTCGAGGTATCCCGCGTCGCCGGTCTCGAACCACCCATCCTTGTCGAAGGACTTGGCGTTGGCCGCTGCGTCGTTCAGGTATCCCTTCATCATGGTCATGCCGCGGGCCTGGATCATGCCGCGCTCGTATGGCTTGAGGACGGCGCGGGTGTCGGGGTCAACGATGCGGACCTCAGCAACCGGTAGGGGGTATCCGCACGACTTGGGACGCTCGACGAAGTCCTCGCCCGCGATGGCTGTGTGCGGCGCGTTCGTCTCGGTCATGCCCCAAGCGGAGGCAAGGCCGATCTCGGGCCAGCGCTTCTTGATGTCGCCCGCGAGACGCTCCGGGCTAGGTGCACCGCCGTAGCTGACACCGGTGATCGGGAAGTCCTTCGGCAGCTTGGGGCTCTGCATGACCGCGAGCACGATGGCGGGCACTCCGCCAATGACGTTGACCTTGTACTTGACCATGAGGCGGACGGCCTCGTCGACGTTCCAGCGGCGCATGAGGACGAGCTGGTTGCCGTCTGTGAAGAACTTGAGCAGGATGGAAAGGTTGCCCGTCACGTGGAAGAAGGGGACACCCATGAGGCCCACGTTCTGCACTGGCGGAGCGTTCAGCACCATCTCCTGCATCTGCTCGACAGTCGCGCCCTGTCGCATGCCGGTGCGGAAGAAGCCGTACACTGATGAGATAACGTTGTGCAGGGCCGCGCGCTGAGAGGAGAGGACAGCCTTGGGGTATCCCGTCGTGCCGGAGGTGAAGAAGATGTTGCCGTCCGACTCGGGGGTCTGGTCCTCGAGGCCGAAGCCGCGGCCCTCGAGGATGGGCTGCGTGAGCTGCGGCGGAACGTCGAGCTGCTTGAAGTCGACGAAGGGGATGCCGAGAATCTTGCCGAGGTGCTCCGTCCTCTGCCAAGAGTAGATCTGCTGAATGCCCGCATCGGCGAGCGTGACCTGGTGGGGCGCCAGGGCGGCGGCGGTCGCCGCATCACAGAGCACAATGGCAGGGCGCGCAATCTTGAGACAGTGCACCTGCGAATCAGGCTGCGTCGCGGCGTTCACCATGACAGGGACAGCGCCGATGATGTGCACCGCCGTCCAGGCAATGACCCAGTAAGCAGAGTTGAAGCCAACAACACCGACGTTGTCGCCTTGCCGCGTGCCGCGCTGGACGAGCCAAGCGGCAAGCTCTACGGCGTACTTCTTCACCTCGCCGAAGGTGAAGATCTCGCGGTCCTCGGGGTTTCCAGGCTCCGGGACGGGCGCGTTGAGGAACGGTCGGTCGGCGTACTGGTCCATCTTCTCGAGGAGGTAGCTGCGGAAGCTCTTGGGAGCCTAGTTGTCAGCATCGGTGCTAGCAGCAATACCAGATAAGAGATCGTCGTGCTTCCTCTTCTGCTGTTCTCCTTCTTCAAAGGCCTGAAGGCCACTCACATTCTTCCACACAGTGGTGGGGCGACCGGCAATCTCGACAGTCTCGAGCTCGAAGGGGGTGCCGGGCTTGCAGAGGATCTTGTCGCACTCGGCGACGGGCGTGCGCTTGGGGGGAGCAGCGGCGGCGGCCATGGTGTGTGGTGACTTTGCTGGGCTGCCGGGGTAAGGAGACAAAGTGGGAGACGTTCAGATATTGCCCATCTCGACTTTATGGAGTACCTGCCTCTGACCGCTGGTACCCAGGCATGCAGGCGGCAGGGCCTGATGGGGAGCTGGAATTGCGCGCGCGATTGCCGTCGGGTACGGCGGTTAAGTGCCGGGGATGCAGGGGAGGGGAGGACGGTGGGTGCCGTCTGCCAGGGACGGAGGGATGTCAGTGTCGAGCCAAAAGGAGCCGGTCGGAGGTCCCCGTCGAGCGGCTTGGGCGATGGGCGAGCTTGGGTGAGTGTCGCGGCGTCCAAAAGGTCGAAAGGGGATTGCGGGGCTCGACCGGCACGCGGCCAGAGACTCGGCATCCAACAGGATCGTTGGGTATCGATGTGGGGGAGGAAAGAGGTTCAGGAAATGGCCCTGGAAATCGCACACCCAATTCCCGGCTACAGACGTGCCGACCCCGTGGGGTCCAACGCCTCCCTGTGCTGCCCACCTCGAGCTCAGGATCTGCCGCCCAGACGCGGGGGAAGGCTGCAGAACTCCATGTCGCTTGACCACAGGTGGCTTGGGCGGAAACAGGAACATCCTGAGGAACACCGCGCCTGGCGAGGGCGGTCATTTACGATGGCTGCGGTCGGCGGAGACAGCCGCAGAGCAAAGAGCTTCATGGAATTCGAAATGAACAACAGCTTGCTGATTGCATGGGCGGCGGGACGTGGAGATGAAGTGCTGTCCATGTACTCAAGGACGCTTTCTTATTTGAAGCTTTTCTGTGTCTAACATTTACTATGGGGTATGCTCCGTCTTTATCTAGCCAATCTAGGATCTGGAGGTCGCTGCCATTTAGGTCGCTGGGACCTTACAGCTTACTCGCGCGCTTGCGGCCGTTCTTCGGCGCCAGAGTCGTGTGCATGCCAGCGCAGATACGGCGTCCCGAGTCCCAATCGGACATCTGACTGTGTCAGCTGCATTCCTCCTAGCTTCAACGATATAACTCACAACGCAGCGCGCAGTGCTCAGGCTTCCCGCCATCTTGTCAATGGTGACCTCGACGCGCATCCGTGTTCCGCTTTCCGTTAGCTGTGACCGGAATAGCAAACCTACGCAGGCGCCGCGTTGTAGTAGTTCATGTCGATGGAGATACTTGGCCCCTGCCCCTTCCCAGGCGGCACACGGAGGCGCGCAAACGATGCGCCAGTGATCCTGTCATTAGCACATGTGCAAGCAACGCAGCTTAGGTGTCATGGCGAGACTTACATGTCAACGAGCCAAGCAGCCGCTCCGCCGTGCAGCCCGCCCATGCCGTTGATCCAGCCTGTAATGTCAGCTCCACTTCGCCATGATACGGAGATACTCACTCTCCTGCACGACCGCCTCGTAAACCGCAACCCATCCCTCGCACTCGCGGAAGCCCTTCTCGTTAATTGGCGGGAGGGGGTCCTGCTCGACCGCGCGGACATGTGGGGCCATGATCTCGCCCGCGAACGGCATGCGTCGCAGGCGACGCTGCACCTCGGAGGTGTCAAAGTCGGTCGCCGGCTCGCGCCCAGGAGTGATCGTGTAGGCCATTCTGTCGGCGTCGGGGCGTTCGGAGTCGGACATGAGGGTCAGTGATGAAGGCACGATGCTGCTTCACAAAGTTCAAGACTTGTGGTGGCGACGGAGAGCGAGATGAAGGGCCAGTGACCACCGGAGCTAGCCGAGTCTGGAAAGTCGTGCGGGGCCTGGGTATCAACAAGGGACGATTAACCGACAGGGCGGGGCCAACCTTGATGCCAGCGGCGCATGCCGCTCCACCCACCAGGGCGATGGGCTGATCGGTATCCTGCAAACGAGCCGTTTCCAGACCGCCCAGAGTGATGGCGGGCGGGCAGCTCTGCTCGGAATTGAATTCCTGATACCGTAGATATCAGCGCAGGAGATCGCCGATGCCAAGAGCCACAGAATGCTGACGAGATGCAGATCTGCGCTGCGGCAAAGGAGGTGGAGGGTGGAGGGGTTTCCACGGAGATGAGCGTATACAATCTTTCACTGCGCTTCTCAGAAAAGCGCACTTCGATTCGCATCGGCCCCTGCCTCTTCTCACGAAGGACTAGCTGCTCAAGGCAAGTGTATCATTGAATGCACGTACATTTCATCTCTGACGACGGAGGCGTTAACCGATACAATGGGTGTGCCTTGTCGGCGGCATGCCTCCACCACTGCCGATCGCGTTTCGCGTGGACATGACGTCTGGGCCTGATCATCGGCGACGCAACTTCTTTCTACATCCATCGCATCTCTCGCTCGCCATGCCAGCTCATGCACAATGAGCATCGATTACGCCGGCTTCCCCCACCTCGTCGAGGAGATCATCGACCTAGCCGACCCCGATGCTTTGGGTACGCTCCGTCTCGTGAGCCGTGCGGTGCGGACGAGGGTAGACCGGCGGCTCCAGTACCACTTAATCTTGGCCGACAACCGGCACAGCGCCTACATAACGCCGATATGGAGCGACGACTGGCTCGAACTGCCGTCAAGCGCTCGTATTCTCGATCTGTACAAGCACCACCCGAAGTTTCAGACGAGCCGCTTCGACTTCCCGAACGCGGTGAATGCGAAAGAGCGCTACCCGCGCCTGAAATGCGACTACCCAATGCTAAAGTACATCCGCTTCATGGAGAGTCCGGACGTCGCCGCTCCGTTCGACCCAGATAGCCCACCGACGTTGATCCTTCCTGTCAGGCTGTGGCAGAATCAGGAGTACTACGATAATGGGCCACTTTTCGTGCCGGAACAGTGCACGAGTGTTCAGGTCGACGCACGCAAGGCCGTCTTCGTACTCCGCTGCACGCCAGGACAGGGCTACATCAAGTTCCGCTTCTATACGCCGATCAAGTTCATCGTGGTCGTTGTCCTTCCAGGACATCAGCCGCCTGCTCGAGTCTGGCCGAATGAGGACCCTCGCCGATTACCAGTCGTGAACAGCCTGGTGGAAGCGATCGTCGACGGGATGAACATGCCGCACACGAAAGGGGCACGATGGATAATCGCCGGGCTAGAGACGTGGGAAAAGGGCGGGCAGGGATATGAGGTTGCGCTCGCTGACGAGCTCTCGTGGCCTGAGCGACTGAAAGAGCTCGTGCTGCGGGAAGGGCGCTGGATCATGGACTGGGATGAGCCAATGGTGCGCAGAGTAACGTCACAGATGACGTTCTTGACGCTCGAAGACTGGAGGAGGGCAGTCGGTGAGGAGGAGTGGGAGCTCGTCACCGGCGCCTACACGTAGAGAGGCTGTGTTAATGTGTAACTTACGTCCTCCATCAGTCCGTATATTCCAGATTGTAGCGCACAGCATCATGCCATAGACACTTCATCTTCCGAAGTGCCCTCGCTGGCGCTATACGTCACACGACTGCCCTCCTCCGACGTTCACTGCTCTCCGAATTCCGAGGTAGGTGCTTCCTGGCCTACTGACTAGTACTGAATGTGGCTTGCTGGACAACTCAATGTGGCTTCCTCGGTAGCCCGTCGTCGATGACAGGCGAGGCTGGTCCAGGCCATTAGCCGGGTCCCAAACTCGAGCGCAAGCCCTGTTGAGACAGGAGCGGATATCTACGCCCTCAGGACCTCCTCATGACGAAGTGGTTTGTCACCCCTTCTCAACTTCTGACCATCTCACTACTGGCCACTACCTCCCCTTCTCGAACAATGACCGAAACCGCCTTCTCTGGGTATCATCACCCTGAGATCATCTTCGACATTATCGACCACGCTGACTACGCCTGTTTCCCCGCCTTGCGCTTGACATGCCGCTTCATCCGCGCACACATCGACTTGAAGCTGCAAACGCACATCGTTCTGAAGCGCACAGCGTTGGGGCAGTACCATCTTGCGTCCCGGCTTTTGCGGCTCTGGAGCATGAACTGGAACGCGAAGTGGAGCTACAACGTTAATTGCATCGATTACCTTGTTGACGACGAGGAGGAGGGCATAGGTCTTGACGAGACAGACGTCAAGCGCGAGCTTGTACCGGCAAGTGTCAAGATTGTTCGCACGATACCACTGCGGTTCAAGGCAGACGGGCCCGATCAGTGGCCTGAGCTCTGTAATCCCATCACCACGATATATCGGTATCCGCATTGGACGAGAGGACACATGACAAGAGTTCACTGCGGGGACGAAGCAGTCCGCTCCAGCCGTCCAATACTCGTTCTCCGAGCTCCGCTCGACGCAACAATCGACATCGTATACAACGAGCACTGGGATAGTGCCGAGCTCTGCATCCTTCCCTGCGACGCTGAACCGCTACCCATTGCAGTCGGCGGTTTGCAGAGTCTACCCATGATCAGCATGCTGGCTCAACTTCTAAGCAAGTCAACTGAGAATGGCACAACCTGGACCGTGGTAGGAACGGAGCACTGGGATGACCTTGTGAACGTCCAGAACGACGACAGGAAGAGCTGGGCCGAGCGACTGCTCACTGCCGCGGTCTCCGCGCGCACCCACAACCCCAGTCCTGCTGACTTTTGGGATGTCAATGGTATGCTCACCTTCCTGACGACGGACGCTTGGCAGGAAGGGCCCGGGAAGAAGCTCTGGCACCTCGTCGATACGGTTCACGACGACTTGGACATCGGCGTCGACAACTGAGCCGACTCCAACAACGACGGAGGAACAATCCCGGAGCTTGATCGAAAACATTGCTATTGCCTGCATGCCAGACTGTTGTACGCTTACTGGACCGGCACAAGAACGCGGGACAAGAACTTGTCCATCTTCTGCAAGCCCGCCTCGGACATCTCGAACACGCCAGCGACATGCTGGTCCGGTCGAACCAGGACGGACGCAGGACCGTCGACCCCATACTGCTTGTATGCCGCACCCTCGGCATCAGTGAAGAGCGTGTCCCTGGCCGTGTAGCCTTGCTTGACGCCGTACACAGTTCTGCGCGGACGCAAGACGTCTGAAAAGCTGTTCGTCGTGTTCTGGACGTCCGAGTGGGGGCTTCTGAAGACAGTCACCACCTCAAGGACACTGTCGAGGTCGTCGCCGACCCTTGTGAAGCGTTTGACAAAGTTAGTCAGGCCGTCGGTGTACTCTGACAGCTCCTCTTGAATTGCTGCTTGGAGCACATCACCTGGGAACACTGATGTTAGCTCACTCTTCAGCATCGGTTGACTCACAGACAACTTTCCAGCGTCCATTAGCCCTCATGCGAGTCTGGAGCTGCGCTTCCATCGAGTTGAACACGAGCTTCACAGTCGCATTTTCGAAGTGTGACCCGACACTGACCCCATTGGCGCGGTGCGGGTCACACTCATCCTCGGTGGCCACGATCAGACCAGTTTCGTACAGCACAGCCGTCCCGCTCATCCACTTCATGCTCTGCCTAAAGGTTCTCTCAAACTCTCCAGGCTCGACCTTGCGCTGACCCGTGAAGTAAGAGCTCCACAGCTTGTCGAAAGCAATGAGTTGAGCAGCGACCTGGTGCCTCTCGGGACTGTATGTCCGCACAACGTCTGGATTGTGTGTGCCCTTCAGCACGCCGGCGAGCTTCCAGCCGAGGTTGAACCCGTCGAGCATGGACACGTTCATGCCCTGTCCCGCTTTGGGCGAATGGGTATGACAAGCGTCACCCGCAATCAGAACGCGCCCCGAGTGAGCCTCCATGGAGGGCGTGCAACGCTGCGCAACCTCGTACACGGTCCACCAGTCGACATAGTCGATGTTGACCCGGTGAGGGCTGAGCCACTCCTTCAAAATCGCAATCAGCTTTTCGCAGGACACGGACTTGCGGTCGAAGGGCTCGCCAGACGTGCCGAGGGGAACGTAAATGCGCACCATATCCGCTTCACGGGGCAGGAGGACGACGCTGTGCCCGTGCCGCTGGAAGATGTTGATACCGCCCAAAGTCGTGAGGTCACTGTCAAGCACCACGTCCATGGCTCCGAAGAACGAGGACGAGCGCTCGCCTTCGGGGACGAGCCCAATCGTGCGTCGTACCCAAGAATGAGCGCCGTCACAGCCAACGAGATACTTGCATCGCACAATCTCAGCGACCGCGCTCGTAGTCTCGGACCGCGCGTAGGAGTTGTCCACGCGAATGTTGGAGCGGTACAGGCCGCTGCGCACGTCCCAGCCCTCCGGAGAAGGGACAGAGTGCAGCTCCACACGGACAGGGTATTCCTGCCCTTCATCGACCTCCAAGGCTCTCGGGGCGAGCAGACGTTCGACATGCATGCCGCACTTCTCCATCTCCTGAATGAAGTTGCGCTCGATGACCGCTTGTCCCAGCATGCCGGCGGGGAGGCGGGAGAATGAGCTCGTGTCGTAGTCGACCCTTTGGTCCACGCGGGGAACTTCTCCATCGCAGTCCCACATGAAACCCTCCTTCCAGAAGAGCCCCTCGTCCCTAACAGCCGCGTACAGGCCCATGGACTCTAGCACTTCGGACGTGCGTGCATGGATACCATCCGCATGTCCGCGCAGAACTGGGTGGGGCATCTTGTCCACAATTCTGGCGTTCACACCAAGCTGCGCCAGCTGCGTTGCGAGCATAAGCCCCGCTGAAGTTTAGCAATGGGAAACCATGAGGAGAGACAGGGAGTGTGGACGTACCAGGGCCAGCTCCAATGATGAGCACGTCACAGTGCGACTCGGGGATTTCGGCGGTTGTCATATTGGTCTGGGGAAGAGACCGATACCGAGGCACGCTGGGCTAGATATAGGATATAGGAGTCGCTAGCGCGATCGCACGACCGAGGGAGCGAGACAGCGAGCGAGCTTGCCGAGCAAGCTTCAGAGCGTGATTTTCATACGGTGAAGGGATGACACACTTTGTCTGGAGTCAACCCACTTCCGATCGCGATAGTTCAGGTCCTATTCAGGGCCAGAGAACATGGACATGTGTAGTCCGCACATGTCGACTGGCTGTGGAGCAGAATGTTCGAAGTCGGTGTGGCCGCACAAGTCGATTAAGGTTCAGATTCGAACGCGGAGGGTGCGCCGCTAGCGCTTGAGCTGCTCCAAGTGTAGCCCGACCCCGAGCGGCCGAGCTCAGCAGAGGGGTCATTGGCTGCCGTTCGCTGGTGTCGGCGTCTGTTGGAGCAGAGCGAGACGTTTCGAGATCGGGTCGTCCGTCGACAAGCTATCTTGTGAGATAATCGAGTCATTTCTAGACCCCAGGGCTTTTGAATGCCGCACTGGAAGGCGGAATGAGTCGATTCTGCGCCTGCAACCACTTGCTGGACTGCAGAGCTTCAGATATTTCACGGCGCGAATCGGGGATCTGACGGGTAGTTGCCGAACGCCCCCCGCTCAGAAGCCCCGCAGGAATGTTGTTCCTGCTGCTGGTACGTGGAGGCGGCATCTTTTGAGTACGCAGGAGATGCAATGCCAGTCGAGTTAGAGCGGAGGCAGGTGGACTGGCGTCTGCGACCGCTTCAGTGAAACAAGCTGGTGTACTACTGGTCGTTGCGTCGTAAACTACTTGCATGCGCCGATGGGCTAACTCTCTTGATATGCTCCCCGGGGAGGTGATATCCTGCACCCGTCTACGTCAGGGGAACCATGACTCCACGCTGGTAGGTCGGGCGAGCCTTGAGACGAGCGTACCACTTCTCGAGGTTGGGAGTCTTCTGCTTACGCTCAATGTCCATCTCGAACCACCCGTACAGGAAGCAGCCGAGGGGAATATCGCCCGCGCCGAACTCGTCTCCGCTGAACCAGTCGTGTGTCTCCAGCCACTGCTCCGGGATGCGTAGGAGCTCCTCGCACTTGTCCTTGGCCTTGTTGATCGAGTCCCAGTTGCGGTTCTCCTCTTTCTCGCGAACGATCGGCCAGAAGACGTCACGGTAAACAGGCGCGAAAGACGAGGAGCACCAGTCCATCCACCTGTCACCGACGGCCTTGTCCTTGGGCTTCATCTCGCGGTACTCTGCCGAGTACTGGGCGTACATGTATCGGACAATCGCGTTGGACTCGCACAGGACGAAGTCGTCGTCCACGAGCGTCGGGATCTGAGCCATGGGGTTCATAGCCAGGTACTCGGGCGTGTGGGTGCCGCCGTACGGTCCGCCGACGATCTTAGACTCGAAGTCGAGCCCGAGCTCGTACGCCGCCCAGAGCGCCTTCTTGACGTTGTTCGAGTTGTGCCGGCCCCAGATCGTGATCATGCTGAGTCGTGCTGGTGGTGAGGAACAGTGAGCTAGTGAGTCGGTGAGGTACAAACGTCACCGAGGTCAGCCCACCGAAGCTGCTCACGTCAGCGAACGGCCAATTCCTTCGATCGGAGCCGAGCTAGCCGACGCCTCGGCGAACAAACAATCGTCCTCCGCCGGGTCGAGCTGCATCCCCCTGACCCAATACATGCGCGACTGTATCTAGAAGCTACTAATGCTTCGACAACCTACACAGAATGCCAAATGGTTAATACGCGATTACTGGTAGCGGAATCCCTCGTGACCTTCAAGTACCGTCAAGCCTCGGTTGGCGCGACGATTTGCCTGGACCATGTACAGCTTCAGGCCGGCCGCGGCGAAGACCATGACACCGTTCATTGCTACAGTGAGCCAGATGCCCGTGGGGTAGCCCCTGGTCGCCTCAGATTCCTTGAACGCAACGGCGGCAATGATACCACCTATGCCGCCGAATGCAATCACGACGGCGGAGGTGAATGCGCGCTTGCTCTGCGCTCTGATGTTCGCCTGCGACCAGCTCAGAATGAGCGGACAGATACCATTCGACCCAGCGCAAGCAAGCTGTTGTCAGCACTAACTCCTGCTACAACTTACAAAGACACCAAAGTATCTGGCTCCCTTCTGACTCTTCGGTAATTGCGAGTATACCATCGTGCCGGTGATCATGACGAGGGCGTTGAAGATGACGACTTGGGATCTCCACTTAGTCCTGTCGGCGATGAAGGCAAGGGTGATTGTTTGAGTCATCATCCAAATTTGGGGCGGGCAGATGAGGATCTGGGAAAGGGCGTTGCTGAATCCCATGGACGCCAAAATGCTAGACAGTGAGTACTGAGAGCGGCGCGTCAGACTTACCGTGGCTGGAAGAAGGCAAGTGAGTACCCGCCCATGGTCCCACAGCAGAAGCAGTATCCCCAGATCCAGATTTTGGGGTCCTTGACGTAACGGAGGACCTTGTGCATGTCAAGCTTGTCGGCGTCCGCATCAGCTCGGTCGCGCTGAATGCGAGTCGTGATGAGGTGCCGTTCCTCTTTCGTGAGGAAAGTTGCTCGGTCTGGGAAGTCTTGGATGCCAAGGTAGGTCGCGATCGCCACGAGAATAGTAAGGACACCACAAAGGAGAAAGATCCATTGCCAACCTGCGAGGCCGCGCTTGCCATCGAGATGTGAGAAGCCCCAGGTCATGATTCCCGCCAGGCCCGCCATGACGCACGACACGGTGAAGAAGATCGCATTGCGGCTCGCCATGTTGCGGCGAGGATACCAACAAGCCAAGAGATATGCCGCGCCGGGAAGGAGGCAGCTCTCGAACATGCCGAGTAGGAGGCGCTGTACAACGAGGTGGATCCAGGAGCTCGCGAAGGTCATTGTGATCATGACGATGCCCCAAAGGAGGACTGCGGTGCCCAGCCACCAGCGTGGACCAAAACGTCTGAGACCCAGTTGCGACGGCAGCTCACAGACGATGTATGTCAAGAAGAACACAAGCGTGATAATGCTGAAGCGCATGCCGACACCGAGGCCGAGGGTGTTCTGCATAGCCATGTTGTTTGCTTGCCGTGCTAAAGAGACATTGTTCCGATCGATCAAAGAGATGCTGTACATCGCCGAAAGGATGGGGACAATTCGAAAGTCGACTTTGCGCGTGAGCCGCTTGACCTCCGCGGGGTCGAAACCATCATCTATGCTCTGAAATGAAGGGCATGAGCGAGTGAGCTTAAGGTCGTCGTCGCCGTTGTCGCTCCACAGCATGTTCGAGACCCCGAGAGCCAAGCTCTTCTCATCGTTTTCTGTGCTCATGTCAGTTATCCTTCGCCGCGAAATGTCTGAGTTGCGAATTGCCCAGGATACGCTCTTAGATATGCGCGTTCTTATATGTCGAGCGCGAAAGCGACGCAGTACCCACTATCGAGGCCCAGGAGCCTTTTGCGTCGGTCAATGTGCAGTCAGCCCGCGAGCCTCATCGTGGTGAAAGAAGGCGGCTAATCTTCTGTTGATTACGGGCAACATGGCGATCTGCTCCATCACATGTGCGACACACGAACGTTGTTCCAGTCCCTCGTCGTCGTCCGCAGCTGGATGACGAGCTTCATGGAGCAAACCAAGCTCATGCAGGATCTTTACTCAACGGATCGTGACCACGACACTCATATCCACGGCCACACCTTAAAGGGCCGGGATTTGGGTCGAGTGCTCTTCGGGCATGACGATGTCAAATCGCAGCAGATTAGAGTTTGACTGCGCACATTTTCCACGCTAGAAGAGTACATTCCTACTTCCGCGACTCATCGTGGCGCCGACTTTGCCGCTTGACCTGTGGTTTGCCATACCAGGACATGTTTCCAGTGGCTCAGACGAAAGATGCGGTAGGCGGCTCGGGGAGGGGGGGAGGGCGAGGAGGGCAGCGCGTTCTGCCCGGATCTTCCTCATGGCGCATGGGATCAGGAACCGCCCCACCACGTCTCTAGCTTGAACGCCTCCTGCCCGACTTCCATCGCGTACTCCTCCTCGGAGATGATCCGAAAGTCGCTGGCCTGCTTCCGGGTCAGACGCTCAGGATCATCGTCGTTGTCGCTCTCTTCATCGCCACCGGGTGGATGGCCAAGCCAGGAACTACCGAGGAGCCCCTTCAAGAACTGCTCTTCGTGCGTTAGGCCGTTCTTCACGTAGTCCTGTGGTCCGGCGGCCTCGTCCGATGGTCTCACAAGTGTCACCCTCGCGCCGAGTTTCAGCGCCTCTCGAGCTACCGGCACGGCTGCTTCTAGGTAGTGGTGCCGAGGCGGCTTCAACTCGTCTTCCGGAAGGTATACGAAGACGACTTCTTTGACACCATCTGGTACGGGGAGTATGTCACTGATAGAATCATGAAGATCTTGGCCCACTACGAGCTTCCGGGTGTGCCGAGATAGAGCGCTGCATGGCGAAGACGGGCATGCCGGTCTTGATGGGTCAGCGGGCCGCTGCGTGCGACTCCAAGGTGATCCGCTGAGCTGAAATCTCCTCAGGATGATCCGCGGGATGTGAGGGAAAACGCGGGTGAGCGGACTCCAAGTGGCCCCGAGGCGAATGGTGTGAAGGCGCGGCAGGTCATTAAGAAAAGCCAGCTCACTGATGTGGTGCTCATAGAGATGGTGTCCCCACTGGAGGACGGACACATCCAGCATCTCAATGGCGGAGTACAAGCTGGGCGGAACCACCGTTTCGATCGAGTCTAACCTCAAGGTCACAATTGCGTATCGAATGCGGAGCTTCCCTCGCGATGAGAGAATATAATCGCAGTTGTCGCCGCCTTCGTACGATCCCGCGCGAGTGATGGTGGGCCGAACTTCAAGCTCAACATGCTTTGCGAGGAGCACATCGATCTTACCTCTCCACTCCTTGCAGGCCAAGCGGCAATTAGCAGCTCCGTATATGCGCACTGCCTCTTCCAGAATGAGATCGGTGATGTGCGGGAAAAATGCGGCATCTATGGTGCTGAAAGTGAGATAAAGAACTTCCCGACGGCGCACCTTTACTTTCGAATAACCACTCGTTCTGGCTGTCTCATGCTGCAGGTGGTTCGAGCAAGACCTCTTCCTTAGTCAGTCAGCCGGTCAGAGGATTCAAGGAGACGGCCTACCGTGCACAACTGGGCTCTCGATGGGAAGCCGTATGATAAGCAGCTCAAGTTTCCTCCGCTGACGCTCACAAGGATCGGAGAAGAATCAGAGCAAAAGGAACACCAGGGCGTCCGCCCATCTGCTCCATCGCTGCTGTTGGGTTTGTCCACCACACGTGACTATCAAACAGCAACGCCCGCAACTTTGCGAGACTTTGGTAAAGGTGTGCAGGTCTTTTCTTGCGAGGCATTGCCAGAGTGACCCACCTCGCCAGAAGGAGATCCGCTGCAACCGCATGTATGCTGCACAGAAAGAACCTCTTGCCTGGGGCCCATTTATGAAGCAGCGGCGGTCGTTCCGGCAAGCAACTCGATTGCTTAAATCCTACGTCCGGCTTCCGTCTGTTCTCTCAGGTGGCGGACAAGGGGATGCATCTTGGAGACCAGCTCCTGGGCGGGCGGGAGACCGCAGCTACGAGAGAGCTATGGGAGCGGGTGCGATGCAGGCCCTGGGGTGCAGTGCGACAAAGATATGTACAAAGCACTGCAATGCGAGTAACGAGCAGAACGAGGCCTGGCGCACAACAGTGGCGTCGACGAGGAGCGGTTGTGCGTCGTGCGGCCGAGTAAGAGGGGTGGGGAAGAGGCGGGAACATGGCACGAACGAGCGGCGTGGGCGGAAGTGGGTGGGGCGCGCGAGACTGACCAGACGGACAGGCGAGCCTGCGAGTGAGTGATGAGGAGGAGAGACAAGGGGTGTGTGCCAGTCTATCCTTATATACTGTGCACCGGTAGGTGGCTGCTCTGCCACTACCGCCCCTCTGTCCCTCGCAGTCTCACCTCCCGTAGGACAGGGTGCTACACACCCATCCCCTACGTCCGGCTTCCGTCTGTTCTCTCAGGTGGCGGACAAGGGGATGCATCTTGGAGACCAGCTCCTCCCAAGAATGCGAGCCCCGTGCCCGAAACCAGTGGTACGGAACCTTGCTGGTCCCAAGAGAATGCGAGCCATCAGACGCGCGGGGTCCATATGTCGCCAGGGGCGGGGACCCCCGAAGCGGGGATCGACGACTGAGAGGCGGGGGCCGAGAGGACGCGGTGCCCCAAGGCGCCCACGGCGGCGGGCGTAATGTCGATGTACTTGAGGGCGGCGGCTGACTTCCAGCGGCCCAGCAGCATGATGTCGTCGACCGGGGTGCCCACGGAGGCAGCCCATGTGGCGGCGCCACGGCGAAATGAGTGGCCCGAGAACCCGTCGGTCGGCACACCGGCGGAGCGCAGCGCGCGGTTCAGGGCGTCAAGGACCGCGGATTTGGGGAACCGCCCGCCGGGGAGCCAGAAGAGGGGGTCGTTGTCACCGCGGAGGGGAGACACTGCGAGCCACAGTCGAAGCCTGGCCCGGGGGCAAACGTCTGGCGGGCCCTCCGGGATAACCACCGTAACGCCCCCGCCATGTGGGTCGGTTTTGGACGCGGGTATGTGCAGGGTCGCGGTCGCCCCAGGGGCTAGCATCACCGAGCCCCGGCGGAGGTGGCGGCGGGCGTCGAAGGTGTCGCGCGTGAATTCCCCGCCACGCAGGAAGCAGGCGAAGGCGAGGCAGAAGGCGGCGTCCAAGGCTAAGGCAGCCACCCTGCCGCCAAAGTCGGTGGGGCGGCGCCGTATCTCCGCCAGCACGCGACGGAGTAGCGGGAGCGTGATGGGCAGAGCTTGCTTCCGATGCTGGGGCGCAGCCCCGAGTGTGCGACAGGCACCCGTGATCAGGCGGGCAAGGCGGGGTGACGCCAGGCTAGAGTGGTCCAGGCCAAGGTCGATGTGCCACGACTTGAGGGCCTGAAGGCGTGCGCGGAGCGTGGTGGCACGGAGAGGGCCCTTCGCGCGGAGACGCTTCGCCTCGTGGACTAACCACTCGCCCGCCTGGTGCTCGGAGGCTGGAAAGTAGGGTTTGGTCCAGCCCCGCGTTGCCGCAAAGTCGGCGAAGTCGTGAACCGCGCCCTCGATGCGGGCTCGGTTGCTGGGGCTGAGGCCGTTCCAGAGGAACAGGGCAAAGTCGGGAGATCCGCCGACAAGAGCCTGCCAATTGCGCGGGGGCCCGAGGAGGGCTTGTGTGAACGGCCGGAGGCGGGGCAAGCCGTTCGCGGCAGTGTCGAGCCGAGGTAGGGGCGGGAGGTAGGGCACGACAGGTGTGTCGCGCAGGCGACCACCGGGGGTGAGGGCAGTAGGGCGGCCCGAGGGGCGCCCGGTGGGGCTCCGCCAGGAAGCACGGGTCGCTACAGACCGCGAATGTCCACCGGTGCGAGAACCTGTCGGGAGAGTGCGTCAGCAACGGCGTTGTCTTCGGAGGCAATCCAGGAGACGCGGAGGAAGATGCGGTGTTCGTGGAGGAGGGTGAAGATGCGGCGCACGACGCGCTGCGTGTCGCGGTGTCGGATGCGGCCGGTGAGGAGAGCGTTCACCACAGCCTGATTGTCGACACGGCACACAACACGGAAGCCCTTGTGCGCCGGGGCCCAGCGCTGGAGGGCTTCATGGACAGCTTCCGCCTCCAGGGCCATGATGTTGGCCCCGCGCAGATGGTCCGGAACAGGTGCCGAGAAGCGTGCCGTCACCGCCTCGGGGGGACCCAGGTGTCCGCCAAGGCCACTAGAAGTAGCCGCGTCCGTCCATATCTCGATGGAGCCTCGCGGCCGACGGAGGAGGCGGACGCCGGGCCACTTGCGCAGCAGGTTGTTCCACCAGCGTAAGTCTGACTTCAGGTCTCGGGACAGCCGCAGGGTGGCGCGATGACCCCTGTGTCTGTTGTCTGTCAACCAGTCGTAGAAGCCTCGAGTGAAGGCCCGACCTGCCGCCACAATGCGGGTGGCATCTGTCAAGGAGCCAACAAGCGACTCCGCTGCGGAGAAGGAGATCTGGTCGTTCGACTCGCGAGACAAGGCGGAGCGGACGCTCCAGCGAAGCTTCTCGAGCTTGTCGGGGGACAGCCACGCGGAGGCGGTCGGGCCGTCAACCATGATACCGAGGATCTCCACGCAGGGTCCCGTGAGGGACTTGTGACGCGCCACCGAGAGGCCCAGGTAGCCGCAGAGGGCATCGAGGAACCGAAGAATTGCCGGGCCTCGCGCTGCTTTGCACCTGCCGAAGAAGTCGTCAAGGAGGTGGCGGTTGCGCAGGCCAAATGACGCCAAAATCCATGCCAACGCTTCCGAGAACATGTTGAAAATGAAGGGGGAGGATTTGCCCCCAAAATTGAGGCAGCAGTCAACATAGTCCTTGCCATCCAGGTGGAAGCCAAGCAGCGCAGCGTCCGCAGCGTCGACCACAACGTGGCGGTAGGCGTCCTTGAGGTCCATCTTCCAAAGCCACGTGTCGGCATCGAAGTCGACGGTGAGGTCGTCGAGCAGACCATCAATGGACTGATAGGACAGCCAGCGCTCGGGGAGCTGAACGCCCTCGTTTACCGACGAACTCGGGACGCGGTCCTGGGTCCGAGGCCAGGAGAGGTCGTTGATCATGCGCCAGCCCGAGGGCTTCTTCGGGACAGCACCAACAGGAGACTGAGCGCTGACCTCCCCCGGGCGCTTGAGACGCGTGAAGCCTTTGGCACACGCTTCGCGAACACTAGTGCGTACCGCCGTGAGCGCCTCGCCGGACATGTTGTGATTGCGCGGCACAGGGCGGTCCGATCCGCGCAGCGGGCCGTCGTAGCCGAGTTTCGCACCGTGCTTGATCATGCCGAGGATGTTGTGCACGAAGGCGGGGTCGGGGTAGCCCTGGAGAGCGTGGGCCCAGGCCTCCGGTCGGAGGCGGGAGGTCGTGGCCGGGGAGCCGGCCGGGTCGAACACTGGGAAGGGGGGCGTCGTGTTCGGGCGTGCCGGCACCGGCGCATCGGGGGGCTGAAGTCCCGCCGCGCGAGCTAGGGCGTCGAGTTCGCGGCGCGCGTCCTCGGCATCCCACATGACGGGGTCCAGGTGTGAGGACCACCACTCGGGGGCGGGCGGCGCCGACGGCTCGCGAGGCGGAGCGATCGACGGGGGTTCCGGTGAGGGCTGGCGGGCTGTGGGCGCAGGCGGCCGTGGCGGTGAGTCGGGGAAGCGATCCCGTGGAGACGCCAAGGATGCCATAGACGTCGGCCCTGGCCCCGCGGAGGAAGCGCCCGGACGCCGCGGGCAGGTACGGGCATGCTGGCGGATGGCGCGGGGGGAGTGGTCCATGAAGTCGCACCATTCGCACTTGCAGTCCGGGGCATAGTGAGTTCGAAGGTGGGCGTATGCCGTGGCACGCGTCGCAAACTCCTGCGGGCACTGCGGGCACTTGAACGGTGCATCGCCGTCGAACCACAACTGGCTGGATAAGGCCGGGCGCGTACGCTGCCCAGCGGGGCTGATCGTGTGTGACCAGATGTGGTCCCGCATCTGGCCCCGTTGGTGGGTGGTCTTGCCGCAGACCCGGCACTCGAAGAGCGGAGCACCGTGCGTCTGCCAGTGCAGTCGGAAGCCCTCCTTGGTCTGGAGCGTGCGCGTGCACCCATCATGTGGGCACTCGAACGGGGGACCGCGGGTCCGTGGAGCGGGTCGAGGGGGTCCCAAGCTGATGATCTGTTCGTCGATGAGCGCACCGGTCTGCGCCTCGCCCTCCGCCGGGCCCGGCTCGTCCCCATCCGGCGGGAGGGACTGGCGGAAACACGTGCGGCAGTGGCGAATCATGCTGCCGGTGTGCCAGCCTTTCTTGCCGCAATTGGAGCACTCGACGAGGGGGTCGAGGTGCTTTTGGTAGTGCGACAGGTAGCCAGCACGGGATTGGCAGGACTTCGAGCATCGAGGACAGGAGAAGGGGGGTCCGGGAACGGGCGGCGCAGGCTGCGCACCGCGAAGCGTGATGACCTTGCCCGCCGTGCCGCCGACGAGCAGGCTGGCTGCGGGGGTGGCCTCGTCGTCGCCGTCGGACGATCCCGCGGCGGAGGGCGGGCCCCTGGGGGTTGGCGGGCCGCTCAGCAGGATGACCTCATCGGAGGAGTCCGAGGCGGGTTCGCCCACGTCCTCGTATTCGTCGTCTGAGGAGAGGGAGATAGGCAGGGCGGCCGGGTCCCAGAACGGCGACACGGTGTCGGGCACAGGGGCGGGGGAACTGCGGTCCTCGAGCTCAAGCGGAGCAGGTGAGGGTGCGACAGGCGCTGACACACCTAACGAGGCAGTAGGTGTGGCTGGGCTTGACACCCGGGGCACCCGGGCAGAGACCGGGGACACGGGGGGCAGAGGCGCCAGCACACTACTACGCGCAGAAGGCGTGGGAGCTGTCGACCCCGAGGACGGCGGTCCGTGCGCAATGCGCTCCGACAACGTCGGGCCCGGCGGCGGGGGCTGAAGCCTCGAGCGCAGCGGCGCCACCGGCTGAGGCACGAGGCGAGCGGCCAGCGAAAACGGGACCCTCTTAGCTCCCGGTGTAGCATTGGTGGGCGATGGAGCAGGAGGCGGGGAATGCATCGCACGAGACCGGGAGCTATGAAGAGAGGCCGCCGGGCTGTCCCGGGCTGTGTATGTCCGGGCCGGCGAGGTGGGGACGACAGCGGCGGGTGTCGCGGGCGAGAAGCGCACACGCTTGGCTGTGTGAGGCTGTGCCATCGTCCCATAGGCTTCCTAAGACTTGTGGTCGACGTCACGGGCGCGGTGCTGTCCGCCGCACTTCACACACACATGCGCGTAGTTGCACTTGACTGCTTTGCACTCGCCCCAGTTCCACCTGAGGCAGCCGACGGGTGCCTTGTCCTTTGTCGTCGCGGCGGCAGCGCGGGCGGTGGAGGTCTTGGTGCGGGCGCGGGGCGTCGCAGCGCTGCGGCGCTCGAGCCCCGTGAGGAGGCGGGGGTTGCCCTCTGTCACCCAGACTTCGGGCCGGGAGGCGCCAACCGCGAAGAGGGGCGTGGTGAAGCGGACGTGGTAGCGGACCACGGACTCCCAAGTGAAGGTGGCCGAGCAGTCGCCTAGCCACTCGCAGTACGTGTGCATGGCGCGCTGGAGGCGGACGGCCCGTGCGGGGTCGTCGGTGAGGCCATGGCACATGATGGAAGTCAGGTTGCCCCACGCGACTGCGAAGACAGAGAAGGCTGGGATGGACGCCATAATCCGTTTGACCACGTCAGGCTCAGATTTCTTGGGGCGGACCGTGCGGAGTGAATCTGCGCCATCTGCGAGAATCGCGACGGTATTGTCGTCAGGCACCTCCTTGTAGAATGAGTGCGTCGGTGCGACCAGATGGACGAGCAGATCGGGGGCAAGCTTTCCTGCCAGCGCGGCGTCGAGGTGCTTCTCGTCCAGGTATGCGAATTGGGCTTGGATGGAGGGGAGGGCGTCGTCGAACTCACCTTCATCTCGAGGGCGCTTCTGTCCCTGTCGGAACTCAGTGATGAAGGCCTGAAACTGTGTCGAGAGGGCGGTAACGGAGCGCTGCGTGTTCACCTGATTCTCGTACAGGAACTGGTACGCCTGGTCGTCATCGCCCCTCGGCGGGCCGCCTGGGGGCGGAATGGGGGGAATGGGACCGGGCGGCGGGATGGGAGGAACGTTGGGCGGCGGGTTGGGAGGAACGTTGGGGCGGGGGGGGACTTGGCCTCCAGCGTTCTGGATCTCGCGGATCAACGCCTGTTCCTCCTGGTCGACAAGGTCGATGTCGGTCTGGGCCAGCAGCTCCGCATCGCGGTCGGAGGCGGCGATGGCGGTCTCATGCCGTTCCTCGGCCTCGCGACGGCGGGCGCGAATCTCCTCGAGTTGGCGTATGCGCTCGCGGTTCGCGTCGGGGCGGAGTTGGAAGATGTCCTGTCCTGGTTGAGCCATGGTGGCGAGGAAGCAGGGCAAGGCGAGAGAAGGAAGGGCAGGCGCAGGCGTAGCGGCGTCGAAGGGGACGGAGAGCCAAGCAGCAGCGCGCGAGACTGACCAGACGGACAGGCGAGCCTGCGAGTGAGTGATGAGGAGGAGAGACAAGGGGTGTGTGCCAGTCTATCCTTATATACTGTGCACCGGTAGGTGGCTGCTCTGCCACTACCGCCCCTCTGTCCCTCGCAGTCTCACCTCCCGTAGGACAGGGTGCTACACACCCCTCCCTTCCGCCCCTATAGTATAATGGTTAGTACGCGAGTCTCATATGCTCAGTCGCAATCTCTAGATCTCAGTTCGATTCTGAGTGGGGGCAAGATCACCTTTTGGTGTTTTGCCTGTGCGCGATTTAGAAACAGCGTCCGATGGCGTCTTCGGTGCCCAACGGGAGGCTGGGGGCGAGTCGCGTCAGCCAGCGGTGCTCAGCCGGAGACACGCGGGGTCCCCGGCGTGATTTTCGAACTGTACAGGGCCGAGTGCGCAAGAACGCGTGACCGATCGCCGAAGCGAGGCATTTCAGTCCTCACCGCAGAGTCAGCAGCCGAGCCTTCACCGCAGCTTGCCTCCACACCTCCACCATTCGGTGACGGTCGGACTTCACCCGGCCGAAAACACACTCATAACTGGCTCATCGTCTCATTTTGCTGCACTTCGCTCTAGTCTACAACCACCGCGTGCACGCTCTCGCACCGCTACCCGTCGTTGAAGGCAGTGCGTTCTCTCCTCGCTTCCATCGACGTTTTGACGCCCAGCGATTTCGGCGAACATCGGAAAGGCGGAATCGAAAAAGTCACACGCAACACGCTGCCGATAGCAGGTCGTGGAGCTGACATCCAACGTCTGCAAGCCGACGTGTGCGGCTCGACTACACTATGCTCCCACTAGTGCGCGCGGGACTCCGTGCTGCGCCGGGACCGAGCCGGCGGCTATCGAGCATACGGACATTGCGAACGCCGAGCATCCAGATCCAGTCCGTCCCGGCGCGATGGGCCGACTTGTGCTGGGGCTGCTCTCGGCGATGGCACTCAAGCGACTCGAAGCCGCCCTCGAACACGAACACAACGTCATCACAGTCGACCCAGTCCTCTTCCTCATCTACCTCCGACGCCTCTACCTCCTCGACTTCCACCAGCTCGACGAGCACGACGAGTACAGGCTCGCATGCCGGACATGACCATGCCGAGGCCGCGTCTACGATGAAGAAGCCCGCGCAACATACCCACGGACACGACCATGACCACTCTCACGGCGGTATCTTCCACACGCACGCGCACGACCACAGTGAGGGCGCCGAGCAGCTCATCACGGCACTGAAGTCGGGCAAAATCGACCGCGGAACGCGGATCACGTTACTCGGTCTCGCTTCGAATGTCGGTCTGACTATCGCGAAGGGAGTCGCAGGACTGGCGATGAACTCGGCCTCGCTGCTCGCCGAGGCAGGCCACTCCCTCTCCGACCTGCTGGGCGACTTTGTGACGCTCGCGACGTGGCGTATCTCGCGTAAGCCGCCCGACGACAAGTTCCCCTTCGGCTACGCCAAGTTCGAGACGTTTGGCACGCTCGCTGTATCGGTGATTCTCATCGGCGGCGCGATCGGCATCGGACTGCACTCCTACCACCTCCTGCTCCAGACGCTCATGCCGTACCTTGAGAGTCTGCCTGCGGACTCGACGCTGGCAGGTCTGAAGAACTGGCTGCCCAACAGTGTGCCCAGCCCTCTGCTGGAGATGTTCCACAACCACGGAGCTGCCGGGCACGACCACGGTGCCGAGGGACATGTGCACGCCGCGACGGAGCCGGGCGCGATCCTGAACCCGCATGCGGCGTGGTTCGCCCTCGCCTCGGTTGTGATCAAGGAGTGGCTCTACCAGGCGACGAACAAGGTGGCCAAGGAAGAGAACTCGCCTGTTCTCCGTGCGAACGCGCTGCACCACCGCGCCGACGCTCTCACGTCACTCGTCGCGCTGACCTCGATTCTCGGCTCAAGCTTCACGAGCTACCACTGGCTCGACCCCGTGGGCGGTATCGCCGTCTCCTTCTTCATCCTGCAGCAGGGTCTGTCGCTCTCGAAGCAGGCGTTTATGGAGCTGCTCGACGTCGGTATCGACGCCAAGACCAAGAAGAGCATAGAGGGAACGATCGGCGACCTCGTCGACGGCAAGAACCTGATCGCGTGCCGCAACGTGCGTGGAACCAGGAGTGGAGGACAGATGATGCTCGACCTCACCATTGTGGTGCCGCCCGAGATGAGCGTGGCCAAGTCGCACGCCATCGAGCTCTCCGTCCGCGACCGGATTATGAACTCCCGCACTGATACGCGTGAAGTCAAGGTCCACGTTCACGGAGCTGGAGAGAACGACGGCCCCAATGGACCGTTCGGCAGTCCGGCGTCGACGAACGGAAACGGCATCAACAACGACTTCTCTAGACATGGGTGCTGAGCGAGGAGTGCAGCGAGCGGAAGCGATGTAGCAGATCATGAGATGTATGACACTAGAATGCAGCGTTCTAGAAGTCCGAGGACAAGTGCTTCAGACTCAAGACGCCCTGACCCACACGAGGTACGACGTCCAGAATTTCAGAACGCAGCACAAACAAACACACGTCCTGCCGGTCGCACTCCCCTGAACACATTCCGAAAAGCACGTCTGCGTACAAAGAGCAAAAGCTTTAGATCCTTCATCACCTCTTTCGAAGCTGAAGAACCACCCGTTCGTGCCCCCACTCAGAATCGAACTGAGATCTAGAGATTATGAGACTCGCGTACTGACCATTATACTATAGGGGCTGTGGGCTTGGATGCTGTTCACGGAAGCTCGCGGCCGCCGGAGGGTTTTGGGTGGTATCGACGAGAGAAGTGATCGTGAGGAAGGTGTTGAAGACATGGGCAGGGATGGAAGGAGTGATCGAATCGATCGAAGTACTGTAGGTGGAGGCTGTGTGTTGTCTCGGGCGTATCGAATTCTAGACGCAAGGTGAGGTGTGTGTTTCGGGCGCAGACGTACGTTGAGGCCAAGACCCAGATAACCCAGAATAGACCCCGAAATGGCGGAGGGTATCCTCGGAAGTCCGAACATGCTGCCAATGGTTCGACGAGAACCTCGGCAGTGTCACTCGGAAGTCCGAGAATGAATGAGCTCCGAGAATTGGTTCTCGGAGCGGTGGACCAAGGGTAGTTGGGCATGCCGCTTATCAACCTCTCTTGACAGTGAGACTGTCCTGGGAACTGGCCTGGAAGGATGTAGAGTGACGTATGACTCTAACAGTGCAGGCGAATATCTGTGGTCTGAAGATGGAGATGCCTTCCGGAGGTGCTGTTTCGTTGCCAGGAGTCGGGCCGGATGACCGCTGAAGGAGCTCCGGGTCGTCGCTGATGTTTCGTGCGCGTTCAGCTTGTTGACTGGTAGCCACAGACCGAACTCCAGCGATGCAATATGCAGTTGAACGGACAAAGCCTGGGTGATTGTGGCGTGCCACCAAGCTACTTTCGACCAAGTTCATGTGACCCAACTCAACCGAACTACTGCTGAGTGCGTCAGGCTCTCATCATCTTAGAGTTCTTGTCACTGCTGTCCGTGACCTTCGGCACGAGTGCCTTGACGCACGATCACCGGTAATCCCGCTCCGTCTCCGTCCCGATTGTACTTTGCAGCCGTGATGATCGTGATCACATGATCTTCCTCTGTCACTCTTGTTCGTTCCAAGCCTGGGACCGTTCTGGAGGTCACGATTCGAATCCCCGCGGCAACGCGGCAAGTTGAATAGTCCGCGGTCCGGACGTTGGTGCACAGACGCACAGAGTTCCCTGGCACTAACCAGACTAACCTTCCGGGCCGGGACTAGGCCGCCGAGATGCTAAATTCGGCGGCCGACTCGGCGGCGCTCGATCGCTTGGCTATATGTTATCAGCACGACAGCACCAGTTTCGGTCAGTGCAGTGGGAACGTGGGATCAGTACATCAGCGAGTGGCTGCGCAAGGGAGGGAAACACCATCAATGCTGTGCTGCCCCATGAGGAAGAGTTTATGCAGTCGTCAGCGTTCGTATCTGCACAGAAAGAAGAACGAGCGCATGGCTGACGCGGTGTTTCAGTGCGGAGCATTGCGGAGCCGTAGTGCCGGACGAGGCAGCGACGTCCCGAGCGATATGAGCGAGGCTGAGTCAACTCGTGTCAACACTGTGTGGATGTGTGCAGGGCCTCGCCTGCGCTATTGCGATCGCTGATCGCTCGCTTGGCGATTGGCATCTGCGTCGTCTGGTGCACTGCGGTACTGCGGTCGACAAGTGAGCTGCCGCATTTCAGAAGCATGCACGAAACTGCGGGGGCTCCTTAGCCCGTGACTGAGTGCAGATGCCAAGCATTCTAGGCACGATCCCTCCGTTTCGAGATGAGTGTTCATGAGCGCAACTGTCACACTCGAAGTCACTTTCGGACGGTAGCTCTGAACCTAGATGCGGATCAGCTTATCGCCCTGTTAGCCGCGTATCAGACGGATCAGCAGGAGCAATGTCGACCCGCAAGAGCAGCTCTGATAAGATTGGCATGCGTCGTCGTTGCAATGTTCGGTGTCTACGGGGGACTCATGCAGAGGAGATACGTGGTTACAGGCCATGACAGGCCGTCGTTGCGTTGCAGAGTGATGGGGTCCAGGGTGACATAACCCTGGGAAGGGCAAAGTGATGTGCAGATAGAGATTGCTCGGCGGGAATTCCGATGTTCCCACCGGGACAATCCGACGCAAGCGACGCACCGTCACCTGGCCGGCAGGTCTCACACTCTCCGATCGGATCCTCGCCGAAAATCTATTCTCGGCCCCTTCTTTGCCTTGCCCTCTCCACGCATCGCGTTGTGCTTGGCGCTCTGACCGGTGCCGACGCTCATGAGTGTGCGTCTCAAATCGTCGGCAGTCTCCTATCGCGACCATTGGACGCATTGAGCATGTTGAGGACGGCGGTGGTTGAGTCAAGAGCTCCACCCCGTTATAGTCACGGGTTCGGTTCCGAATCCGGGGGCCGAGAGAGCCCGAGCGGCGCACACGAGTTGGTCTCGGCGCGGACACTTGATTAACGGATGCAAAGGGTGGCGCATTAGCCTGAACCGAAGGTCGATTAAGAAATGCGCCAAGCCCATTAGTCAGATGAAATCTTGGTACAGGGGCGAGGGTCCCCGGCGGGCATCAGCGCTAGGGCTTTGTCGGGCTCAGGCACACTTGTTGTGGATATAGACATCTCGAAAGGTCGCGCACCTCTGAACCTGACCACACGATGCGATGGTGGGCTCGAACTCGCTTTGCTCTTAACTCCTACTCTCTTCTCATCGCGCGCCCAACTCATCGCTGACATTCTCTACCCCCGTTTCTTTCTTCGACTTCAACGCCCTTCTTCCCCTTTGTTCCTCACCCCCACCCTCCTTACCCCTTTCAACTTCTGATCTCCGTCTCCGGCACCACCCGCCATGTCCGCGAATCCCGATAGGGGCGCCATGCTGCCCCCGGGGCAGGACGCGATGGCTCACGAGGCCGCAAGGATCAGCGATGCCCTCGACTCGTCGGTCAACAAGCAGGAGATCCACGAGGAGGCCGAGACCGCCGGCGCTGTCGCCATTGAGGCCGGTCTGAATGATGCCTCTGGGGATCCTGCCGTGTTCCGCCCTGAACCTGCCGTGGCCGCAGACCCTGTCGAGATGAACAATGAGCCTTCCACGCCGATCGCCCCCTTCAACGAGAAGCAGTCCAAGTCCTCGACTGCCTCGACTTCATCCGTGATTGCGGACGATAAGATCCCGCAAGATCTGCTGAAGCCCGCGACTCACAGCTCATCCGACTCCCATGTTGCTACCAAGAAGCCGAAGGGTCTCAAGGCGCTCTTCAAGAAGAAGAAGGGCGAGGAGAAGGACACGAACGACATGGTCCCTCCTGTCGGCCTATTCAAGCTCTTCCGCTTCGCGACTCCCTTCGAGCTCTTCCTGCAGGCCATCGGTCTCGTTCTCGCCGCGGCATGTGGTGCCGCGCAGCCCCTTATGACGCTTATTTTCGGTAAACTCACCCAGTCGTTCACCGACTTTTCCAAGATTATCAACGAGATGAACTCGTCCGGACGGCCAGCGAGCGACTTTGCCGCGCAGCTCGCCGCTGCCAAGGCTGACCTCAAGCATGAGGCTGGAAACAACGCTCTCTACCTCATGGCTATCGGTCTCGGCACTTTCGCCTGTACCTGGGCTTACATGTTCATTTGGGCCTACACTTCCGAAATTCAGGCGAAGCGCATCCGTGAGAAGTACCTCCACGCGGTGCTCCGTCAGGACATTGGTGAGTCAACTTTCTGGATGCTGTGTGCATGTTCGGCGTGCATGCCGATGCGCAGCCGCTCCACTGACGTGTGTGTTGATCGGCGCTGACATCCAGCCTATTTCGACGAGCTCGGAGCCGGAGAGGTCGCCACGCGAATCGAGTCGGACTGCCACCTCGTCCAGGTGGGAATCGGAGAGAAGATTCCTATTTCCTTCTCGTTCGTGGCTACCTTCATCACGGGTTACGTGCTTGCGTACGCCCGTCATGCCAAGCTTGCTGGTGCGATTACGTCTATCCTCCCCGTCATCATGATCGCCGGATCTATCATGGGTATTGCTGGCACCAAGTACACCACTGGCTCGCTCACCTTCGTCTCGAAGGCTGGTACCCTCGCTGAGGAGGTCATCTCCTCGATCCGCACTGTACAGGCCTTTGGTGCCAAGCGCACCCTCGGAGCCATGTTCGACGCCCTTATTGGCAAGAGCCGAGACGTTGGTATCAAGGGCGCCATTGTGGAGGGTGTCGGACTTGGTGTCATGTTCTTCGCCATCTACTCAGCGCAGGCCCTTGCCTTCGCCTACGGTGCCATTCTCACTCACGACGGTGACGCCCAGGTTGGTGTCGTCATCAACGTGTTCATGTCTATCCTCATCGGCTCCTTCTCGATTGCCATGCTTGCCCCCGAGCTGCAGGCTGTCACGAAGGCCAAGGCTGCCGCTGCCAAGCTCTACGACACGATTGACCGTGTTCCGCCCATTGACTCTGAGGACCCCAACGGTCTCAAGCTCGACGTGGTCCACGGACACATCACGTTTGAGCACGTCGCATTCCACTACCCCTCGCGCCCCAACGTGCCTGTTCTGAAGGACCTGACTGTTGACTTTGAGGCTGGCAAGACGAGCGCTCTGTGCGGTGCCTCTGGTTCCGGAAAGTCGACCGTCATCCAGCTTATCGAGCGCTTCTATGACCCTATCAGCGGCGTGGTCAAGCTTGACGGTCACGACATTCGCTCGCTCAACCTCAAGTGGCTGCGCCAGCAGATTGGTCTTGTGTCCCAGGAGCCCGTCCTCTTCGCCACCACTGTTCGTGGCAACGTCGAGCACGGTCTCATCGGCTCCAAGTGGGAGAATGCTTCCGACGAGGAGCGTTTCAACCTTGTTAAGCAGGCCTGTATCGACGCCAACGCGCACGACTTCATCACCAAGCTGCCTGATGGATACGACACGATCGTCGGAGAGCGCGGTATGCTTTTGTCCGGCGGCCAGAAGCAGCGTGTCGCCATTGCCCGTGCTATCGTTTCCGACCCTCGCATTCTTCTACTTGACGAGGCTACCTCGGCGCTTGACGGTCTGTCGGAGCGTGTTGTCCAGGATGCCCTTGACAAGGCCTCTATCGGCCGTACCACCATCGTGGTTGCTCACCGTCTCGCTACCATCAAGGACGCCGACAAGATTCTCGTCATGGGCTCGGGTGAGGTCCTCGAGGAGGGCACCCACAACTCGCTGCTTGAGGACGAGGATGGAGCATACTTCAAGCTTGTCTCGAACCAGAAGCTTAGCCAGACTGGCGCCGATGACCTCGATGAGAAGGATGATCTCGAGGACCCCGACGAGATTCTGGACGAGAAGAAGTCGATCCCCGGCTCGCCCATCTCCGAGAAGGTCATGCTGTCCCGCCAGATGTCGCCCGAGCTCTTCCGTGCCCAGACTGGCCGATCCATCGCCTCCCAGGTTCTCGAGCAGTCTGCTGCCCGCCGCGAGGCCGAGGCCGAGGCTCAGCGCAAGATTCCGTTCATGAAGCTGTTCTTCCGCCTGCTCAAGCTGAACAAGGACCAGAAGAAGTGGTACATCATTGGCACTATTGGCGCCATCTGCTCCGGTCTCGTCTACCCGGCACTCTCCATCCTGTTCGGCAAGTCGATCAACGACTTCGCGATTATCGATCTCGACGAAATGAAACGCCAGGTCTTCCGCAAGGCTCTGTGGTACTTCATCACGGCCATCCTTGCTGCCATCTGTATCCTGGTCCAGATCACCGGCTTTGGCAAAGTCGGTTGGCAGATGCTGTACAAACTGCGTATCAAGTCGTTTGCGTCTGTCATGCGTCACGACATCGAGTGGTTCGACAAGGAGGAGAACTCGACCGGTGGTGTCACCAGCAACATCTCCGACCACCCGCAGAAGGTCCAGGGACTGATGGGTGTCACGTTGGGCTCCATCATCCAGTCGTGCTCTACCCTTATTGGCGGTATCATCATCGGTCTCTGCTACGCGCCTCTCCTTGCGCTCGTCGGCATGGCGTGCATCCCCCTCGTCATCTCCAGTGGATACATCCGTCTCCGTGTCGTCGTCCTCAAGGACGAGAAGAACAAGAAGTGGCACGCATCCAGTGCCCAGATGGCGTCCGAGGCTGCTGGAGCCGTCCGCACCGTCGCCTCCCTCACGCGTGAGCAGGACGTCGACAACATCTACTCCAACTCGCTCAAGACGCCGCTCAAGATTGCCATGCGCACTGCCATCTACTCTCAGGCGCTCTACGCCGCGTCGCAGGGTATTGCCTTCCTGGTCATTGCGCTCGTGTTCTACATCGGTGCGCTCTGGATCGTCGACGGCCGCTACTCGACTGCCGAGTTCTTCACCGGTCTTACCGCCGTCGTCTTTGCTGCGATCCAGGCCGGTAACGTCTTCATGTTCGTTCCCGATGCGTCGTCGGCCAACTCTGCCGCGCACTCCGTCTACGCCCTCTTCGACAATGTCCCCGACATCGACGCCGACAGCCCCGAGGGCAAGATCCTCGACCCTGCCCAGGTGCAGGGCCACATTACGCTCGAGAACATCCACTTCCGCTACCCCTCGCGCCCCTCTGTCCGCGTGCTCCGCAACCTCACCATCGAGGTCCCGCCCGGCAAGTACGTCGCCCTCGTCGGCCCCTCCGGATGCGGCAAGTCGACGACGATCCAGCTCATTGAGCGCTTCTACGACCCGATGTCGGGTGTCGTCAAGCTCGACAGCGTAGACGTGCGCGAGCTCAACGTCGCCTCGTACCGCAACCAGATCGCGCTCGTGTCGCAGGAACCTACGCTGTACGCGGGCTCGATCCGGTTCAACATTCTGCTCGGCGCGGCCAAGCCCGCAGACCAGGTCACCGAGGAGGAGATCGTGCAGGCGTGCAAGGACGCCAACATCTACGACTTCATCATGTCCCTCCCCGACGGCTTCGACACTGAGGTCGGCGGCAAGGGATCGCAGCTCTCAGGCGGACAGAAGCAGCGTATCGCCATCGCGCGCGCGCTCGTGCGCAATCCCAAGGTGCTCCTGCTCGACGAGGCGACGGCTGCGCTCGACTCCACCTCGGAACGTGTCGTCCAACAGGCACTCGACAACGCGGCCAAGGGACGCTCTACCGTCGCCATCGCGCATCGTCTCGCAACCATTCAGCGCGCAGACGTGATTTATTTTGTTTCTGACGGTGCTGTCGCCGAGAAGGGCACGCACGCCGAGCTCATCGCGAAGCGCGGAGCGTATTACGAGCTCGTGCAGATGCAGAACCTCTCGAAGCTCGACCAGTGAGCTGGCCGAGATAACCGGAGATAGCCGGCTAAATCCGGCTCATGGACCGGTTCTGCATCAGCCGGGCTTCTGCGCAGCTCCGCAGCTGAAGGGGACGAGCTCGGCCCAGCGGATGGGCTGAGCGAGTCGACGAAAACATGTTTCTTGGGACCGGCGGGTCATCTTTCTCATTTCTTTTCCATAGCAAACAAAACTGTAAAACCTTCACACACATCTTACAATACAGCTTTCCACCATAGAGGACGTAATGTGCACAGTAACAGTAGTATAACTCCAACTGCAAGGTTGTTCAATATGCATCGTGCATTGCATGGAATACGGAGATGATGGGTGGTGACATCAAGATCAGGAGATGACTTCCGGTGGTTGGCGTGGTTCCCTGCAGGGTCCTAATCTTATCGCTATCGATGACGGATGCGCAGCGAGGGCGTGAAGGCGTGAAACTGGCGAAATGCCATCCACAAGCGAGCTGAACTGGTAGAGCTCAGCGGGAGAGAAGTGGAGACGGTGATCTGTTTCCCGGGCTTCCTGCTCTGTGGGCTAGGAATGGAACAGCTCGCAAAATCACATTCGAACGCGAAACACCGCGCTCTGCACCTCACGAGGAATATCGAACGAAGGCTGCGCGCTCCGACACAGAGCCCGAGACGAGTTCCGAACACATGCATAGCTGGCCGCCTCACAGGACCACACTCTAGCTCTGGCTTTGTTCTACAAATATCCTGTTACTGTTGACCCGGAGATGCTTTGCGAATGCGGCTCGGACTCTCTGCAGAAACTGGAGAGGATTCGGACTCCACGTCGGAATCTTGATGTAGCAGACGAGAGCGGGGTTCATATTCACCTGGTCCGCCCACGGGAACATGTACGCCGGCAGATACTCGATCGACTCCTCCGTTATGAAGAGATGGATGAACAATTGGAGTTGACGGATATGGCCGTGCAACACGTGCTGCAGGAGATGGCATTGAGATGCGGACCCAGGCAGTATCTCAGTTTCCGCTGGGGAATCGCCGTCTTGTGAAAGACTCCCATCGTTTCCTTTGAGCGAAACATTGACGTTGAGGGCATCGTGGTGGAAAGGCGGGGCCAGATCGCGTTTGCCGCAGGAGCATTTTCTGTCGACCTCCATGGCAAGGAAAGAGGGTGCGTCGAACTCCAGCAGCTGGTAGTTGGGACCTCGGAAGTGTTGATCAATGAGGACGCGCTGCAACCGACCGAGGAGGGGAGTGAGGGTCCTCGCCTCAACATTGCGGATGATGAGTTGAGCTTGGAAAGATCTGAGTTTACACCGTTGCGCGGGCAGATCTCCTTCCTGCTTGAAGAAGGGGTATTCTGTCCCATCAAAGGGAGAGGCCAGGGTTCCGAAGAGAAGACCGGTGCTGCGGCTACCAGCTAGCACATTGTCAACGGTCACCGCTCTTGGCAGCAGAAGGGTATCGGTGTATTTCCGCAACGCTCGACATGTAGCTCGGCACTGAAGCTTGGTCTGGTAGTCGGCCTGGGCGACGATGTACTCGACGATGTGAGGGAAGGAGTCGTAGTGGACTTTCGAAGTGTACGGCTGGGGGACTGGGATGAGGGAGTAGACGAGGAGTTGCAGAGGAATCAGCAGCAGAAGCGTCATGAAGAACAATGCAATGAAGACATTCGCGGTCTGATTGTCATGGATCTAGGTCAGGTGACAGTGAGTGGTCCGTGCTGCTCGGACCGAATTGGCTCCGCATCGGTTAATCAAATCGGCTGATTACTGTGAGAGATTGGGAAGATTGAACACAGTGGTGGGTAAGGTGAACACAATGCATGAAGGAGGGAGGGGCGAAGGATCCAACTCCAAAGAAGCCATCTCCTCAACGGTAGCCGCCTTCGCCCGGATAGGCGACGAGGACGTGTTCCGGCGAGATGCTGAAGTGGGCGGCGAAAGAAAGCTTCAGGGCTCCCCTTGCCGTTTCGCTCACTCTATTCCCAGTCATTCCTGTGACACTGAGATCAATCCACACCTGAAGCTCCGCGTTTGTGGTGATGGAAGCACCATTCGGGAATAGATACCTTGCCAAGTGCTTGAATGAGGATTCCGAGAGCGGGAAGGGGATGATAATGTCCAATCGAGTCACCTGATCGTTGAGCGCGTGTTTAAGGAGATGGCAGTTGGTGACCGTTTCTTCCCCAATAACGATATCTTGCCGACCCTTCTCGTACACTATATCATTTGTTACCTCGCAATAACGAGCTTGTGGGTCGGAGTATTCAATGTGCACTGTGTCCGCTGCGTGGTGGAACGCAGGTTGCAGATTGTGCGTTTCGTCGCACGTGCAATGCCATGGAGGATAGATGCCCAGGGAGGACGGGGTCTGGAATTTGGGAAGCTGGTAGTTGGCGAAGCATGATTGATGGTAAAGGCTAACTGCCCCAAGCGGCTCGATTTGGCTGATTATGGGGTTGATACAGCTCGCATTGACGTCTTCCACCGATAAGTTTCCCGAGTAAGCTCTGATCCTCCTAATCTGAGCTGGGCGATCACCTTCGAAGGCGAAGAAAGGGTAGGTCTGACCAGAAAATGGCTTGACTGCAGGCTTAAAGTCTCCCATGGTGACGCATACAGCATCAGCAATGAGTAGTCTGTCGGTGAACTGCCGTAGCGCTCTGCATGTGGCCCGACAGCGAAGCTTGGTCTTGTAGTCGGTGTGGAAGACGATCGTCTCAATGATGTGAGGGTAAAAAGCGTGGGGAAGCTTAGAGGTCGGCCTCATTGTGATTTCTCGCGATGAGGGTGACGTCCTAAGAACGGGTTCTTGAGTTGCGATAGTGGATGTCCGAAGAGGTGGCGAGCTCGAGAGAGGCAGGAGTGTGGGAAGGTAATGGTTGTCTCATATGCCTGTCGGGTTCCGAGCGGGACTGAGAGTTGAGGAACTGTAACAGTCTTGCGCAGTGAGTCTGAGATCTGAGATGAATGACGAAGCGATGGTAACGTTGTCACGAGTGTCAGCTGCGACAGGAAGCATCCGTTGCGCCCCGGACTGAAATGGTTCCGCCTCAAGTTGAGTCAACCGTGCCGAAAATGTCCAGAAATGATCGAAAATGCACGCAAAGCGCCTACGGGGGTTGACGTACGCGTGTTCAAGTCATTCGTGCATACGGCACGAATGAGACTAGAACCAATGACAGCATGCATTGACATCGATGGAGAAAGTGGTTGTAGTATGTCACAATGAATAGAGGTACTTGATTGACAATATGTTACAGAAAAGGAAGTCTGCATCTGTGTATCCGGATCTTAGTCGTTTCAAGGGCCGGGGTGAGCCTCCTGGTCGAAGGTGATGTTGACCTTGGCCTTGGGAATACGGAGGTGGAGGGCGAAAGCCTCACGGGCCTTCTTCTCAACCTCGCCGGACTTGGGCATGCCGTGGATGATGATCGAAAGCCTGAAAGACCAGTGCAGGATGTACTGGTGCGCCTTGGGGAAGAGGAAAGCGGGGAGGTGCTTGGCGGTGTCGACCGAGAAGGGCGCACCGAGGACGAGGCAGAACTCGTAGATGTAGGGGTTGAGGACGTTCTGCAGCATGTGGCAGCCGGTCTTGTCGTCCTTCTCGACCTCGATGTCGGTGGGGTTGTAGCCCTCCTGACCGGCGAGGGTCAGGTAGGTGTTGTCGGGGTGCAGGTGGATGCTGACCGACTCGGCGCGGTGGTTGAACGCAGGGCAGAGGCCGCCCTCGCCGCAGTTGCAGTTCATGTCAATGTGCAGACCGAGGAAGTTCTGCTGGCTTTCGAGGACAAAGTTGCAGATGCGGGTGTGGTTGGTGAAGGACAGGGAGTCCGCGGTGCTAAGGAGGGCGTTGGTGCGAAGACCCGCGTCCACGTCACTGATGGTAACCTTCTTCCCCTCCATCCTGCTGATGAGCCAGGGAAGATCACCCCAGATCTTGAAGTAGGGGTAGCTGTGCTTCTTGTAGGGGTGCACAATAAGCGACCCACAGGGGCACTCGGTGCGGTACAACATGACGGCATCGAGAAGGAGGTTCTTGTCGGTGACGATGCGCAGTTTGCGACAGGTGGCGCGGAAGTTGAGCTTGGTCTTGTAGTCGCAGCGGTAGACGATGGCTTCGATAATGTGAGCGAAGACCGAGTACGGAATCTTGCACTCGGTGTCGGCCGTCATGATAAATGGTGTCAACCTTGAGGTGGGTGAAGAGGAGAGTGAAGAAGAAGAGCAAGGACACTGACGTGGTGTTCCCACAAAAGGTCGTGCCACCCCGAGGTGTGGTCAGCGGGCGTAAATGTCCGCGACACCCAACTCTGCGTCAGCTCGTGTCCTCGCCCCGCTTCCCTCTGTTGACTGCGGGATGAGCAAAGTGCGTTGCTGACGCCAGGCCCCAGCCTTTTGCACAGCTGACTGGTGTGTTCAACGGAAGGCGCTTGGAACCCCTTCAGTCTCCACACGGCTGTCTGACAATACCCGCAAGGACGAGAGAGAATCACGGTGAATAGTGCAGTGCATTATTTCTCTTGCTATATGACAACAGTTATGAACATCATGATGGGATACCGACAGCGTGAGAGCATTGAGAAACTAGCGGGAGTAGGGGCGCTCGGGGAGGTGTGCACAAGTGACCTTGGGCATGGTGGGGAATGGGCGGACAGCGATGACCTCCGTAACGCGGTCGAGGGAGATCCCAAAGTAGCTAGCGAGGAGAATGCGGAGGTTGTCGGCCGTCTCGACCACATTGTACCCAGGCCACCACGCAAAGTGGAACTGAATGTGGAGGTTGCTGTTCACGATGGGGTGGGGGAAGATCGAGGGGATGAGTGCCTCGAACGGCCAGTCGGGGGACTCGAAGCAGAGCTGCAGCAGCTGGATGGTGGGAGACCAGAGGCCGCGGAGGAGCGAGCACGCGCTGTCTGCCTGGTTACCCAGGAGCGCGGGGAGCGTGAAGTGGACGGTGAGGTGGGTGGCGGCGTGCCTGAACACGGCGCCAGGCTGGTGACGGGAACACTGGCAGCGAACAACAGCATCGACGTCGAGGTACAGGGGCGCGAGCATATCCATGTTCAGGGGCGGGCCGGTGCCGTCGTGGGTGATGGTAACGGGCGAGTGCTCGGGGAGGTACGAGAGGAGCTCCTCGATGTAGGGGATGGTCGTGCCGCCGCCGATGGTGACGCGGGGGGCGCGGGAAATCACATCGATCTGCGCATCCTTGCCGTCCCATTCGAAAGTGGTGGGAGAGAAGACGGGCAGCTTCTCGGTTGTCTCGAGGTTGCACGGAGTGCCGTTGCCGTGCCACTCGAACAGAACGCCGCCGGGAAGGACCGACCTGACGTCGACATAATCGCGGAGGGACCTGCAGACGAGGCGGAAAAGAGCGCGGGTCGAGGGATCGGAGAACAGAGCGATGAGCTCGACAATGTGAGGGTGGGTGTTGTAGGTAACCTGAGGAGAGGACTTCTTGTTAGCAGAGACCTTGGACCACTCTCGTCGTGGAGAGACGTAGGGACGGCGAACCATTGTGAAGACCTTTGTTTCGCTGTTGTTCGCGATGATGTGAATTGATGGGAACGAAGCGACTAGGGAGCACTCTTTATGCTGCTGCAAGTGTCCAGCACCTAGAACTGCCCAGCATAGCAACCCCATCGCATGAGCACTTCTCACACCGAGAGGATGTCGTACACGAGTACTACACGAAGGCTCAAGCTGAAGAGTGTGCCCCACCGCAGTCGCCGGGCGGCGGCATCGGGTAGTGACACTGTGACTGTGTGCGACGTTAAGGGAAAGAGATCGTGTGCTGACGGCGTCTGCAGGCCCCAGCGGTGTGCTGAGCCCTTGGCACCAATAGGAGGTGGTGTGGACGGGTAAGGACACGAAATCGGCTCTTTGAACCCTCCAGCGTCGCACACACGCCACACACAGAGGGGCAGGTGGGGTCAGTTACGATCTCCTCTGGACAGCGAGATGCTTCATTGCTTTCACTGCAGTCTCGGTTATAGCACCACCGTAGCTGCAGATGCATCGTCAAAAGCCTGCTGCAGGTGCTCAAAGCACTTAGACTGATGACATGGACTGAATTGCATGGCTTATCGGGACGCCAAGACGCCGAGTTTCGGTTAATTTCGCGATGTTGTATTGAGACAGCATTATGCTGGAACAATGGCGCTCGACATGTGAACGCGGCCCGGGACATGGCTGAGACCCTGCATCTCGATTGGTCTCGACGCGTGTCGCTCATCGATTCCTCTGCATGGGCGGAAGGGCTGCGGTCGAGATGTCGAACCAGCGTGTTTGCTGAGCTCTATGAAGCTTGGTTGGAAAGTGGTGAAGGCCGTTGCTTCATGTGCGGTGAGACCACAGCGGGTAAATGGATCAATAAGAGTGCATGCTCGATGTGACACCTCCTTCCATAAGCACCTCATGCCTGCAAGCACATTCGCAAGCTTCTGCGGAGCTTGTTACCTAAACAGGCTCACTCTTCTACACGGTCTACAGTAATGGCCGTCGCTTCCTCAGCGCATTCTCCTCCTGGTTCTCTAAACGCTTCCTCTTCCCTCTCAACTGCTCCTCCGGCTCCTCACCCTCGCAAGTCACTCGTACCCTCTCCCCGTCAATGCCAAGATATCCCGCCCACATCTCCCTCGTACTCCTCCTAGCAGTCTTGAGCGCCCAGCTCCTAAAGACAACCTCAACCTCCAGCTCCGGATGAACCTTCACGTCCTTCGTGAACATTGCCATACTCGCGAAGACCAAATCTGCCGGGTCTCCCTCAATCTCTACCCTCAGTCTCTTCACACTCGGCGCCAGTACTCCAGCAGCTACGCCGCATTCTGGCGAATCCTGCACGGGTGCCGAGGGCGCCATGACGAGGACGTGAACGTCGCGCGCGTCGTGTCGCAGGTGATTGGAGCAATCACAGAATGGGTCGAGGGTAAGTCCTATCCTTCTTCTTCCCCTCAGATCATAAGTCAAGGTGGAGGAGGACAAGGTGGGGGTGGGCGGGTCGTGGTAGTGATTTGCAACCACTCTCGTTCTTTGCTTGAAGCGCGGAAGCAGGTCGGAAACATCCACGTCGAGCGGGAGGAGGAGTTCGCTCGCTCCTATCATCGGGAGGGTACAGTCTGGGTATGAGGAGGGAAGCACACCCTCCTCGCCTCGGACTACGAGGTCGTCGTTTTCGGAGGACGTGGCCCAGAGCCGACCGGAAGCGAGGGCTTCATCTGCACATGTCCGCAGGGAGGAGGAGACGAGGCGAGTCGACAGTTTGGTCGTATAGTCGCAGTAGGGCAGGATAAGACGCCAGGCCTCTAGACTCGCCATGGTCCGAGTCGAAGGAAGACGGTGGTCGGCGGGGAAGGCGGGGAAGGTGATGCCGGAGGACGAGGAAGGTGGAGGTTGTGAAAGCTGACGAAGGTGGAGGTTTGTTTTGGTTTCACCTGCTGTGATCCGTTCGTGCGGGGCCCCAATCTAAACTGAGCACATCTCCCTCCCTCCCAGTCTTTCAGAGCACGGCCGGATGAGTCTGCGGTCGTATTCCGGGTCATGAAATCCATAATCGAACTACTATGTACACATTAATAATGATTAACAACGAATCTATGCGGTCTCGCTCATGACGATGCTGGTACGGGTACGGCGCGAGCCGGGAGTGCGGTTCGGCTCACGGCTGGGCTCGGGCGTGCCGTTCGCGCGGGCCTTGCCCTTATCCTTGGAGCTGGCGGAGCCGTTCGAGGTGTGTCGACTGTGTCGCCTCTCCTGGCGCTCACGCTCACGGAGCTCACGCACGTCGCGGTGCTCACGTGACTCACGACGCCCGTTGTGCTCACGGGACTGGCGGTGCTCGCTGCCGTGTCCCGGCTCGCGAGCCGCGGGCCATCCCTCCCTCTCCCACCTGTAAGAGCCGTGCGACTGGACGGAGCTCTCGAGCGTGGTGCGCGACGAGCGGCTCGAGTCGCTCGTCTGCCTCGTAAGGTCCGAGACCGTCACGTGCTGCAGATCAGGAGCAGAGCCGACGGCGTTGTACACCAGCGGGCTGATGGGCTGGGGGCGGCGGCGGGCTTCGAAGCTGCTCGGCGGCTCGGGAGAGTGGCTGCCCTCACGCACCATGGCGACGGGGGTTCCCGCCCTCTTCCTCTGAGCGCCCCACGCCAGAGGGTCGAGGCTGCTTCGCGGTGTCAGAACGGGGCTGCAAGGACGACCGGGGCTGTTAACCTGCGACGTGTTCACGGTCGTCGCCCAGGACTTGATTGTGTCGATGCTAGGGCGCGCGCTCATGTCCACCGCCTGGGGGAGAGAGCCGAGCTCCAGCGGCTGGAAGCCGCCGGGCATGTCGAAACCTCCGGATCCGGCGCTCGTCAGAGCGCCCTCGATCGTCTGCTCGCGACGCCCTGCACCGCTGTCGGGCGTAGCGTAGCGCGACGTCGGGCTGTCGGAACCGAAATCGAGCGTGCTGAGGATGTTCGAGGGGGCATCTCACCGTCGCTGTCTGGGTGAGAGCTCGGCCCGTCGTAGCTGAACATGAGCGGTTCGTCCGGGAGGTTCTCGCGGATTGTCGTGGGACGCGCACGCGGGGTGCTCAGCAGCGGGTCCAGGGAGGAGATGTTGCTGTCCGGCGTAGTAGCGAAGATCAGCAAGTCGCGTCCGGGAATGCGTGGCGAGAGTGGGACAGACGCCGCCAGCTCAAAGTGCTGAGACGAGAGCGTCGTCAAGATCTCTAGCATCAGTGGCGGCTGGTGTCTGTTGTCAGCTTCTGGTGGTCGTTAGAGGACGCTTACTTCAGGATCACGCTCTTGCTAATACTCCATCGGCTCATGCCCGCGAGCCAGAAACGGTACACGTTCGGGTGCACCCAGCCTTCGAGTTTAATGATGGTAGTGGGGTCGCGCGCCGATTGCTCAGTGGACCCAGAGTCGCCGGTCGCACCGCTGCCACCTGTGTCGGTGCTGCTGCGCGAGGCGCTCGAACGCCGAACCGAGCTCTGGCTTGTACGCTTCGCCGCCTCCTTGAACGCAGTAAACGAACTCGTCTTGTCGATCGGGGGGCTCGCCTCCAGAATCGCATTGCGCACGGGGTCAATCAGCTTGCCCGAGACACCGTCGGGAGGGTAGATGATCGAAATGCGGTCGGGCACTGGGGTCAGCTACTTCGACAGAGTTTGCCAGCTTACGAGGCAACGATAGGGCGACGTAAACCGGCGCATGGGGGCTTCCATTGGCAAAGATGATGTTCTGGAACTCGTGCTGGAAGTCAGATCTGGTCACTCGTGTGCGCACGCACCTTGCCCAGACCGGCTACCATGGGTCCGACCGCGGTCCACCCGTGCTGGCCCAGGATGGTGAAAAGCGCTAAGAGCATCTCGATGGTCCTGTTGTCAGCTAGAGAAGAGATCGAGTACGCACTGCAGCTCCTTGTTGCCCTTTACACGCCAAACGCGGCCCTTCAGGACGATTCTCCACACCCCTCCGTCCTCAGGCAGGCGCGAGCGTCCTTCGACTCCGAGGTGCCAGGAGCTTAAGTGCTTCTCGGCGGCGAGGATTGTCTCCTTGTTGAAGCCGACGAATCGCAGCTCGCCGTTTCCAGAGAGGGTGAGAAGAGCGTGGCCGCGGGGACCAAAGGAGACAGGCGTGATGCCAGAAAGGCGAGGTCTCCGTGGTTTAGGGGAAGGGATGTTCGGTAGCATCGGTGTGGGAATCGGCGTCGGGTAGTTCAACTCCGGGATCTTCGGAGCTGGTTCCGACCATAGCGGCAATGACGGGGTCGGCTTCTCGAGCCCTGCCAGAGAAGCTAGGTAGAGGTTTCGCTCACTGGGCGACAGATAGACCGACTGGAGTCGGGGCGAAGCGACCTTGTGCTGTTCCGGGACGACTTCAACGATGTGGTCTTCCTCAATGTCCGTCGGGACCGCGGGCTCCGAAGGGGTTTTGGAGGGCTTGCGTCGCAGCCACCGGAACATCTTGAGGTAGTCTTGAAGGTGCTCTGGCGGTGGAATGAAAGTCGAAGTCAAGTTGCTGATGGCAGCTGAGATGCGAAGAGCAATCAGTGGGTGAAAAAAAAAGTTCTCCCGCCTTCTTCAAAAGGCCCCTGTTTTTCTTGGGTTTGAGCGCGGACGAACCATGCAGTGGGTCAGTGCGAAGTGCAGAGCTTTGGGAGCCAGATAACGTGGTTGATGGCGAAGGTGGAAAAGATAGAAACAGGAGCGTTCCAGTCTACCTGGAGGGAGTCACAGAAGGCGGTGCGAGAACAGGTGTCGGGAAACGTGGGACGCTGCGTAATGTTGTAGCAGCGGGATGGGGGGGCGACAGATCAGCAGGATAGCCAAGATGGGCGCGAGTGGGGCGGGCGGGGGCTTGTGAGTGATCAGTAGGCGTCGTTGGATTGGGTCAGTGTGCAGGACGTGAGTGTGGTGTGTGTGTGTGCGCACGAGCCATGGGGGGGCGGTATGAGCACGCACTCTGCGCCGCACTGTACCAGGTGGCTGTGAGGGGCAGCAGCTCAACTAAGGCTGCGCTCTGTCCCCCTGACTGGCGCCCTCGCGAGTCACCTTGGCGCTCCCCGAAGCGTGGGCAAGGGCCCAGAGGCTCGGGCGAGAGCCGACGATCTTCATGACGAACAGCTGGGTCTTGAGTGATCGATGTTGACGACAATGGGAAACAAAGAGGTGGCAACATAGTCTTGTACTGAAAGAGGGCGACGCGTGAGTCGAGTCATGTGACCTGGACGAGCGATCGGCCTCCAGTGACTGCCCAAGGCGCGCCCAACGCCCCGCGACTGGGCGCTGGGGGGCGCTGGACGGAGGCCGGCTGGGTGTCCGTTCGCGCGTCGATTACGTCACGGGGTACACCCTCGGCTAGGTCGGAAGTCGGCCTCCAGTGGACCACTCAGCGCGCTCAGCGATCGTCACTGGCGGCGAGCGGCGGACAGAGACTATGTAGTCCGCTACAGATCCTCACCGACTTCGGCCGTTTACCATTCCGCAGCACACACCACTTCTCCGCGCCGCCGCCGCCGGCTAGTCGCACTCGACTGCACCGTTCAACCGGGCCCCGTTGCCGCCCGCTGTCGATCTTCAAAAGGACCACGTCTTGGCATCCCAAAGAGGCCAACCTTATTCCACTTCTCCACTTCTCGCAGTCGTCATCATCCCTCTCTCCACTCTTTTCCATCCATCATGACGGCCAACGGCGCCGGATACCATCTGAACCCCGACAGTCCACATTTGAACCCCCCTTCCCTCTCTTCAACGACGCCGACGATACGTCGGCATTCCTCTTCCTATCACGGTCCAACGAGTCCGTCGCGTCCGCCACCCTCCTCCTACACCTTTCCGCAGTCGTCGTCATACCAGGATGAAGTCGAATATCTCGACACCTCGGCTCCAAATGACTTTCGGCCACCGAACGGCTCCCCCGCATCCCCAGACCACCTGTCACCAAACTTTCCAAACTTACCGGGAAGGGGCTGGGGCAGGAAACGTGCTAACTCCTCGGCAAGCATAGCGCGTCGTTCCATTTCCAGCATTTCTGGCTTACTCCCGCGGCGGACCTCATTATCAGCACAGCCTTCCCACTCACCACCAGCACAGCAACCACCACCACTATCAGTTAACCCTCGCATCAGCTCTTCCACCGACTCTCTTCACTACCCCTACTCAGCGCCTGCCGGACCATCGCAACCGACGTCGACATTCGGGGTCCCGTCGTCGATGAACACGATCATACCTCCCGTTAAACAAAGGGTGATCAGTGATCGCAGAAACTCCTCGTCATCAAAGATGCGGCGTTCATCGCAGCTGCACTCGCCATCGACGGTGAATTCTCCAACGACCAGCCCAAACAGAGTGTCTTCTCCCGTGTCCGTCTTCTCCGCAACGACTACTTCAACGCATCCGCCCCCATCCGCCAACTACCCTCCATCCCATCTCGCGCCACCGACGCCAGCAATCACGCCTCCACCCGTGCTTCAGCAGCCGCCTCCTAGCCGCCTGAGCCCGTACCTGGACAAGATCAAGGCTCTCATCGACAAGTATAAGCGCGAGCCATGGTTCTTCTCGTGCATCCTCGTTGGCGTCGGAGTCATTGTCAAAATGCTGGGCTTTAAGGGCACCGTCGTTGCACTGCTCATGATCGCATCTGGCTTGTTCGCACGTTTCATCCTGCCCCCGCCCCACAACCATGTCAGAGTCGCTGAGCCTCACCCTCCGCCAGGTGCCATGGCCGACTCAGTGTCTTGGATGTAAGTTTGAAAGCAAAGGCTCTTTCTGACAGGCAGCAACCACGCCCTCCGAGCGCTTTTCCCTCTCATTTCAACCGATGTCTTGACGCCCTTTGTCGACCTGCTGGAAGACGCGCTTATCCAGCAAGTGCCCCCGGTGGTCACTAGCGTCCGGCTGACTTCGCTTTCCCTGGGCCGTGAGCCGATTCTTTTGACGTCGATGCGTCCTATCACAGATGACGAGTGGTTCAGGGGTCTTGCCCAGCAACCGAAGAAGAAGAAGGGCGAACCAGACGACCTTGAGCCGGGGACATACGTTGTGCATTCTGCGTACAAGCCGCCGCCTAGCGATGACCAAGCGACACCCAAGAAGAGTCGCCATTCTCGTTCACATTCGTCGGCCTCCAAAGCAAGCATTATGTCACGCAGATCGACTGCGCAGAACTCGACTGCGGATTTCGAGCTTACAGACGCTGCCGCTGCGGAGAAGGAGCAGATGCGCAAGCGTGACAAGCTGAAGCGCCGGCTGCGCAAGATCCGGGCTAAGCACGATGCGCAGGCCAACGGCGAGGTATATGTCGATGACCTCGACGACGAAGACGACGATGACGAGGACATCGATGAGGACGCCGGACAGTACGTCAACTACGAGGTCGGCTTCGTTTATCGCCGAACCCAACGTACGACCGGCCGGGGAAACGCCATCCACGCCTTGGCGTACTTCGGTTGGGGTGTCAAGGGTCTTGGCGGCTCCGAGATTCCGGTCTACATTGACGTCGGGGAGCTGAAGGGAACCGTCCGAGTCAGAGTGCTGCTATCGGCGTCTCCGCCATTCGCTCGTACGGCAACCTTTAGCTTTGTCAAGATGCCCGAGTTCGACATCAGTGCTCGTCCATTGAGGGCCGGGAGCTTCAACGCTATGGACATTCCATTGATCAAGTCGTACGTGATGAAATCGGTGGCTCAGGTCGCCGGCGCCTTCGTGGCGCCGAAGTCCTACACGATGGACATCGACCGCTTGTTGCTCGGCCACGAGGCAATGACTCGCACCCTGTCTGTGGGTGTGCTGCATGTGGCCATCCACAGTGCCCAGGATTTGCCAAAGGTGGACTCGCTTGGATCCTGCGACGCCTATGTCACGGCCTCTTATAGCAAGTTCAACAAGCCGCTTTTCTCTACGCGCACAATCGTCAACAGCGCGAACCCGATCTGGGAGGAGCATGCCTTCCTGCTCGTTAACGAAGAGACTATCGAATCTGGAGAAAAGCTCCGGCTTCGGGTCTGCGACTCTGACCGTTTTTCGGCCGACGACGCCTTGGGCATTATCGAGGTGGATGTTGCCGAGATTGTCGATCAGTCCACCCGTGCGTCGGGGGAGCAGCTCTTCTACCGCCGGAGTGACCTACAGCCTGAGCACCCCGGTATGCGTGTGCAGGGTTCTGTCGACTGGTCCGTGCGCTTCTTCCCTCTGCACAAGATCTCCCAGCAAGAGCTCGAGCGCCGTATTGAGGAGAACAAGGACAAGCGCGGAGAGGGATCGACCCCCGCCCCTTGGTGGCTCGAGTGGCTCGACAAGTGGTGCGAGCGGCCCGAGTGGGAGAAGGAGCGCGAGGTACGCCGCAAGGAGATGGTCCAGTACTTCAGCGGTGAGCGCGTCAGGGAAGAAATCGAAGCCGCTGGCAAGCCAGGCCCGAACCACCCTTCCGGCATTCTCCAGTTCACATCCACCAGGCTGTCGACCTGGAGCTGGCGTCTGTCAGCGGCACATTCTCCGGTACTGGCGGCAAGCACCGCTCCGCTGCGTCCGGCAAACCGGCTCTCGGCGACGCCATCGACCGGGCGCCGTGGGAGAACCCTGACCCGCCCAACCCGTACGTCGAGGTGCACCTCAACGACAAGTACGTGTACCGCACAAGGACGAAGCAGGTGAATCCGATGCCGTATTTCAACGCGATGAGCGAGCGCTTCATCCGAGACTGGCGGCTCGCTAAGATCGTGTTCGTCATTAAGGACGAGCGCGATCGCGAGCACGACCCGATCATTGGCATCGTTTCTCTGCCGCTGAAGGATATTCTGAAGGATGGATGTCAAGTCACTCGTTGGTTCCCTATTGTGGGTGGTCTCGGGTGGGGCATGCTCCGCATCTCGCTGTTGTTCAAGCCGCTTGAGATGCACCTGCCCGAGGGAGCATCATCTTACGACGCGGCGACGTTCGACCTCCTCTCCCTCTCGGCGTCGGACCTCGCGCCCATTGTCGGCAAGCCTCCGCACCTGCTCGTGGAGACTGAGTATGACCGTGTTGTCCTCGATCCCCCGGGCGGTGTTCTAGCCGACGATTCGGATGACGACACGCCTCCAACGACCGACGCCACTGGCTCTCTCATGTCCGCTCCTGGTCCGACGGGTGGTATCGACGTGAACTACCCCATCACCTCTCCCATCCGTTTAGCTGTTCGATACCGCACGTCGTGTTCTATCCTGTTCAGCTTCCACACGCGCGGTCGGCTGCGCAAGGCCAAGATTTTCGCGATAGGCACAATGCGCCTGATCAACACGCCTGATAACGAGAAGACCGAGCGCATCATCCCCGTTTTCCTGACCAAGTCAACTAGAGCAGCCTTCCGCGCCGCGCGCATCTACGAGGAGTACACGCAAGCTGCGCAGAGCGGGTCGTCGAACCTGCCCTCGATCGGCGACGCCAAGCTGATCGGCTTCATCAAGATTAGCTTCGTGCTGCACCCGGGTGTCTCGCGCGCACACCGCAAGTTGGCGAAGCGCGATCCGAAGTTCAAGTCGGTGTACAAGGCGTGGGAGGCTACGCGCCTGCTCGAGTCAGCCGCGGCGCGGAGCAACGACTCGGATTCGGACTATGACACGGCCGCGAGCGACGAGGAAGACGTCGTCGGGCAAAGGGCAGCGGACAAGATGGTCGAGGACGACAGCGAGGCGATGCTGGCAGGTAACGCGCACGGGAAAGCGCTGCACCAGCAGAACCGTGGCATTTTCCAGCTGAAACTGGCCCGCACGGGCAAGTTTGTGAAAGACAAGCTCGAGAACAAGGTCAAGAACAGCCGTGTCGCCGGCCATGGAGGGAACCTCGCAGGCAGGCCGCACGGACATGACGTTGAGGTCGAACATGAGGGGCAGAGCAGCCTGTAGTGAGGCTGTAGCGAGCGAGCCCGCAGGGCGAGCCAGCCGACGCCCGCTGGAGCTCGGGAGAGCAAGCGAGTCTGCCCCAGCACTGATTCTGTAGCGATTTATTTTTCATTCTAGCGATACTCATAACCACATCCATCATCTGTATTCCGCTATTCAAAGCGACCCCTCTATAACCCATCTCCATACTCGTAGCGATGTCATAATGCTTCTACTGCACATTGTTGAGTTGCTGTTCGCTTGCGGGTCTAGGATGGGGATACGCGTCCGCTAAAGACGAACGCGGTGGAGCTGATTGATTCCAGGGGCGCGTTGTTGTCGCAACAAGGGAACGTGAGTTGCACCGGGAAGCGATCGTCACCGAGCCCCCTGTTCATCATCCCACTAGCATTCCACGCATTCCGCACATCGCTAGTCATTCCGCAATGCAGCTACCGTCCACGCCAAACTTGCATCGGTATCAGGTCGGTATGCCTTTCTCGGTACCGGCTAACCCTTGCCAGCCCTCTGATTACAACAACCAACTTCACTGATTCAATCGATAGCCCGGCTCCACACTCGAGCTCAGGAACGCGGAATGCCTCCCCCCTCTCTTCATTCCATACAGTGCCAAGACGCCCTATGCAGACCGCTAGCGCTAGCGCTAGTGGCACACCGAGCATGCCGAGCAGCCTCTTGACCGCTTTACCACCACCGAAGGCGCGTACGCACGCAAGCGAGCAAGCGAGCAAGCGAGCAAGCGAGCAAGGGAGGAGGGGAGGAGGGGCACCGAGTCACTCAGGTGACGCAGCACCAGCAGATCTAAAGCCGAACGGACGTCGGGCGCCGGGTTCGGCGTTCTTTTCTTCGACCGATGATGTTGGGGCCGAAGCAACGTAGAAGGGGGTCGACGTGGAGCCTCGCTCTCCTCACTCTGAAAAGGTTGGGCTTTTGGGGCGCTCGCAAGGTGGTCTTCCTGCTGCAGGAATCAGACCAAATGGTGCCACAACCTCGGACATAGGCACACCGTTTAAGCGAAGCTGGGTGAGGAAGGGATAGCACTGGTAGTCTGCTCCAGTAGCGAGTGCTCAGTGTGGTACTCGTAACATGGTCAGCAGCGAGGAGAGACGGTTTTGTGTAGTGCATCTGGAGAACGACGGTGAGGATTGTCCACGGTCGGCAGAGTCAGAGGGTATCTATCCCGGAATAGGGCTACTCCAGAATAACGCGCGCTCTTAGTTGACCAGGGTGAACGTCAGATTCGTGGTAAACAGTGTGGAGCGCAACCTCACCCTCTTCGGCTTAGCAAACGCAGCTTATCAAGAAATCGGGCCTCGCTTCGGGATTGGTGTTTCGGCGTAGCGAATCGGTCCCGTCGGTCGACGACATCGGCGCAAGGATGGTCGGCGGCCCGGTGTCAAGAGGTCGTGACACGGGGCCCAGGACATTTGTGCTCCTGAGGAACGAGGGTTGCGCTCAGTTGGAATTCGGGAACGCAACAGTGTGGAATGACAAAGGCACGTGTGGCCCCTCACCCCCTTTCTGGCTTTGGTTGTGTCGGGGCTTAAATCTCGGAGCTCCCGCCCTCCGACACCCGACACCCGAACCACCCAAAAGCGTATCCGAACATTGGTATATCCGGAACACCAGCTGTTACTTTTCGAAGTGGTGCGCAGTGATGTCGATGGTGGGTTAAGTTGGTTACTATGACGCACAGCGGAGCATGTATAATGAGACTAGGCAGGGGTAACGCTCGATTGTGCAGGGCGATGAGGAATGTGGGAGCCGTCTTCGGACGTCAGTGACAGAAGATTGAGGCCGACACGTTCGGGCGTCCTGAGTTATCCCGGTGTCTGACTCCTGGAGCAAGGCGTTGCTTGCTGAAGTCCGTAGCGGCGGAGAGACCATCCTGCAGCGCATTCAGCACAGTCCTCCGTGCCTCCGTGTTAGCGCAGGCTGATGCGGAATGTCAACTCTGTCAAAGAGTCTGGCCATGACTGCGGCGCCGCAGCAGTGCCACCCTGACGCCGCCTCGCTGCAACGTCAAGACTCAAACTCTCGGCGTCGGCACATCCCACCGCTTCACCAAGCGGGAAGACACCCCCCGCTCAATACGATATGCCCCTGCTCATATTCGATAAGCGTGCTACATGCTATTCGTCGTTGTGGATTGCGTGCTCACGCTTTGGTTTTTGGTCGCACGAGACCGAACTCTATCAATCCAAGCGAGTGCGCACGACTGCCACTCTGCTGTTGCGGCACATACCGTGCCGTGCTGATCTCGTCGATCTGTGGCACTGTGTCGCTGATCATCGCCTCGCACACCGAGCACTGACAGGGCGACGAGAATGCGCCGAGTGGCTGCTAAGCGAGCCTCAAACACGGCGCTCCGGTATGCCGGGTCTCACCTGCCCTCATCTGGGTTTCACTCCGCCATCGTGGTTGCATCCGTGCAATCCATGCAGTGACAGAGCACCATGCAGTACCATCCATGGTCGACCTGACTCTGACGTAGTAAAGCGGCTGGCTGCGGAGGATGCTCCGCCATTCCTCACCTCCACTCCACCCTGTCCTGTCCGTGACACACCGGAAAAGGTGATGAGGCGGGGACTCCCACTCTTCCTGCGTATAAACGCGGAATGTAATCCTGAGCTTTCGCTGATCCAAAGCGTACAGCTGCTCTGATCGGGCGTCGCAAGTTCCGGCTGACTCTCTTCCCCAACTGGCATGCATGCGTCTGACTGGTTGAGAGCACGCATCGGCACGCCTCACCGGCTCACCGGGATGTCGACTCGAACGCTGGTTGGAGCGGCATTGGTATTTGGCTGACGCGAGTTGGGGTGGATAAACGCTTTCCGCTCTCCAACTCGGGGCGACACCCAGGGCGTGTTTCAATCGCTGCATTCCTCCTTTTTCCTCTCACTCGCCGGATTGGATTCCCCTGAACTCCTTTCTACCCCTTCTTTCCGACGCGACAGCAGCGGGGACGAGGTGATTGATTGTTGGCTCTGGAGCAGACATGAGACAGCAAGTGACGCCATGACGTCAGTGGCCGGCGCATGGCCAGACGTTAGTCCCGAAGTCTCAACATGAGCGCGCGTGCTTGATACACCCGATATCCGACAAAGTCTAAATCGTCTTTTCGTTTTACCTCGTCCGGCGTGCTCAGACGCTGCTTGGAACCAATACCAATTGTGATCTCGGGCCTGCAATAAGTTGAAGGTGAGGGCTAGTGCAATTCGAGATCGCGGCTGTGACGTGACGGAACCCAACAGACATGACAGGCAGCTGTTTGTCATGAAATCGTGAAGTGCACGCCGAGGAACCAGTTACTAGCATGAGTGTGGTCAGTTGACTGCCCCGGCGACACATGGCGGCGGTCCCGAGGCCGCTGACTATGACGAGGATCCATCGATCGGGTGCGCTTGTTTCCACTCCATTTGGTCCGAGACGGTGTGCGCCGCGAGGCGCGTGGACCATTCACGTACCACCGGCCGCCCAAACACCCACCCCAGAGTACGACGCTGGCCATGCTGATCGCTCTGAGAGGTCTGAGACCTCCGTCCGTCGTGTCGGGTAGCAAATGGGATACCAAATGGGGTCGCAAGCGAAAGGCGCCCAGGCCGCCATACGCCCAAACGCCAGAATCCGGCTGAACCAGCGCCTGCGAGGCGTTCTCACATTCCGCGAGGCATGACCAGGACACGGCATGCACTTCTTGCACAGATATGATAGGCGCAATGGCGGTTGCGCAACGTCGCCTCCTCGTCGGTGGCTCGTGTTCGAGGCTTTCCGACGTTCCTTGGCATGATCAGCCGCTGATGTGCGTTGTTTGCTGCTTGGCGGCCAGAACCGAAGGATCGAAAGGAGGCTCGTGTTGGCACCAGGTGGCCCATGACGGCCCAAGAACTGGGCGGAATCAGAGCTTGCTGCTCTGTTACGAATCAGTTACGGGACATGGAAGCTACAGGGCTACTGGGACAGCACGATAGTAGCTTGTGGAGAGAGGAGGCAGGGGTAAAAAGGTACAGTACAGCAGGGTCAGCGGCGGAGGTGCTGAGCGGTCGCTAGGCCCTGCTCCTGTCTCTCCTGCGTCTCGATAGTGAGTGTGGGGGAGAGCGGCGGTATCGTTGATCGCCCTGTAAGGGTGATGCGGGTATGCTGCGCTGTTGCCCAGTCCTGATCGCCGTCCACGGATGTTCGCCAGGCACGACAGGAACGGAACGGCCTGTGATTACACATCTTCTCAGGATCCACACCCTGGGCTCTGGGTTGAGGTGCTGTTTGCATGGCCTTCCAGTCGTCATCAACCCCAGCATCTAATGCCCTATGGGCAAGAGCGCAGGAGCACCACATGCTTCGTGGGCCGGTGGTCCTGGTCAGCTGTCGATGCCAACGCGGCGCCGATGAATACTGAAAAGCTTGACACTGTTCTCTCTGACACCCCCGTCCTCCCTCTTCCGACTCTTTTCCAGCCTCACCGGCACGTCAGTCCAGCCAGGTCCGAACAGTTGGCCCGACAGACCTCTCACGACGGCCCACCAGCCACCGAGCCCATCGCCGACCCTCTTGCCAGCAGTCGCCACTTCCATCTCGCCGCCACCCCACGGCGCCCACTGCCCGACTCCCCTGCTTCCCCGTACCCCGCACCGATCGCGGTGCACCGTCCGTGACCATAGCGGCGCCCATTTCCTTGCCCCCTCCCTTCGATGCTTCCCTCAATAATTGCATAACGCCCGCACGTTCTCGACCACCTCCAAACGCCAAGCGACGAACGCCTCTTGATTAACTTCCCTCAGTAGTAGCCGTCCACACCTGTGACATGGTGACCATCCCGCCGCCCCCGGTGGCGGGTGACGACCGCAGGTCGGTCTCAGTCCCCAATCGTGCCCACGCCTTCCACGGCGTAGCCGGCGGCTCCGCACGTCCCGGCCACTTTGGCCACCACTTCGCGCCTACGTGCTTCGACATTGCCCCTGTGCGCCGCCGCCGGCTCCCTATTCAGCGAAGTGAGAGCTCCAGCGCCAGCCCAACGCCGCCCAGCGCCTCCTCCGGCTCTAGCTCACGCTCCCCTCGAAGCGACCAGGGTCGCCTCTCCTCCTCCCCGACGACGAGCATTTCACTTAGCACGTCGCCGTACCCTTCCTCTCAGCACACCAACTCCCCCCAGTCGGGCGCGGGCACTCCTTCTTGGTCTGCCTCCTCAGGCTCGATCGCGCTTGCGTCTTTTGGAAAGCGCAGCGCCTCCGCCTCCGGGTCCAATGCGCCGGCGCAGCCGGTCCTTCGATCGGGCGTCGACCTCACAAGCCATTACCGGAACTATGTCCGGGCATTGAACACACGTACTTTCGACTTGATCTGCCGTTATGTTGCAACCCGCGTGACGCACAACGGCGTGACCATGGGGCACGCCGAATTCTGCAGTCTTATCCCACCTGGTGCCGTTTTCATGCCCGAGGACATCATCGTGGACTTCACAAACCGCACGGTAGCGGCACGGCTCTATGTCGAGTACCCTTGCACGACGGGGTGCACCACCCTGTGGGGTGTTGCTCCTTTTGCCGCCGATGGAGAGGAGGAAAGGGGCCGCACGGAGTGTCGAAGGAAGATTTGCCAGGTAGACGAGATGGCATTCTATCGTTTCGATGAGGAGTGGCGCATCGAGTCGGTCAACGTTATGGTCGCTTCGAGGAACCCGATCCGCAGTGGAAGCGGCAGTGATGATGACTATCGTGAGCGTGCCAGGAGTGGATCCATGTGAGCGAAGGAAGAAGTACCATTAAAAGACCAGCAGCCTGGTCAGGATAATCACGAACTCGAGACGGACTCGCACCCATATCATATCTTATCAGTTCATACATTGTATCGTAAATAATTTGTACACGTTCCGGTCAGTGCAGCCGCGGCTGCCCAGATGTAATACCAGTCGAAGATTACAACTAGCTCGAGCGCGGTATGGCTCATTGGACCCACTTCCGTGGAGCCGAGCGGGCCGTGGTCTCACAGCCAGGAATAGTATCGACGACCCAACATTCCGTTGTCACTACCGTCGACAATACGACAGCCGCGGAATTGTCGCCCCATGCATAGTTGCAAAACGCAAAAAATAATTCGACCCGAAGGTCGCCT